GCTGATTCTCTTATCCACAGCGGGGCTGAGAATGCCAAAACTCTTGCCTTCTCGTTGGTCGGAACGGTCCATTGATGGAGGATTTGTAGTGGAGAGGCACGGTAAGGTAGTTTAGACGGTAGGCGGCTCGGGGCATCGGGCGATACACCGTAGCATACGGGCGGATACGCACCATACGCAGCAAAGCTGGCCTAGCTTTTCTCCTTGCTGGGCGTGGGTAGGGGACGTGGCTCGAGACTCGGGGAAAAGGCGACAAGGCGTGCCTAGACTAGACCACTGAACGGACGACGTGCACGTCGGCGCTGCTTGTGCACGCGCCGGCGTATTGCGTAAATGGCTGACAGTCCCAAAATCCTTATCAAGGGTCTCTCATCCAGCAGCGGTTACTTGGTGTCTCCTATCCAGTCCTGGTGCTGCCATTAAGGGTAAGCGCAGGATCCGTAGAAACCGGTCGGTAGAAGAGCAAAGAGGTACGGAGCAGGCGTGTAAGGGCCGTGGAAGCAGCGGGAGATGTTAGCGGCGCGAGTGGTGCGACGATTGCCCTAGCCTGGAAGGAGACAAGATCAGGTTGTTGCGGATTAGTTGCTCCAGAAGCCTAATGGGAACTCCCAAGAGTGCCGGTATCCACGGGAGTTGTATCCGTATGTACTGCATATTCGTAGTAGTAGCGCCCCCCTTCCCTTTCTTTTGTGTCTCAGCTTTGCTTCCAGCAGGATCAAAGGTTGGATCGTGGAAATGGGATACCCAACAGGCTTAGCCTCGCCGACGAAGAGTTGGCCGAGGTGCCGAATCCATTAGACGCGTCGGAGTACCGTCGCTTTGCTGTGTGGGAAGGACATGACCCTAACAGGAACACGTAGAACAAAGGTATCCGTAGTACTCCATATATCTCACCTGCTCGTGGGCGTAGGCTTGTCTTAGCTCTAGTGGCTAGCTGGCCTCTGCGCTTGTGGTGTCTCTTTGGTTGGGTATTACGGATATTGTCCTCTATTCCTCATGGACGCCAAGGAATTCGGATAATGGCGCTCTGACAGTGCGGACAAGCAGTGTCTAGTTGGAACAGGGCAACGTTGGGTCGAGCTCGGCGATGCGAAAAGTTTGAAAGGGCCGTTTCCTGATAACGAGACGATTGGCAAATTGAATCCAACATTGCAGGGATCATGACAGCTGCTCCCAGGCCAGGCCCCCTCCCGAAAGCCTGCCTGCACGGCTATGCCTGTCCAAGCTCAATCACGAATGGTAGGGCGGCTCGCATCCCCAAGTCGTCCTCTCGTCGCTCATGACTGGCAGCAGAGATTTGGAGGACCAAAAGCTTGTTATGATCCACCTACCTTGGAGTCTTGGACGAAGAAGAGGACCGTGCTGTTATCGAAGAAGACTGTGTGGATCTGATCAACATCCATGTCGAGAAAACGACAGGGAAGATACGTACTTTAAATTTTTCATAACTTCTATTTGTCCGCCACCAGGTACCCCCGTGCTGTTTCCGTGCCTGTCCTTCTGGGTGGGTGACCGGACACCACCCCGTGAGGAACGCCAACGGCACGTTTTCCGCGATGCGCGATGACTGATGAAGAATGATTACTGAGAGTTTCTCCGAGGCTTAGCGAGAGGGAAGGGACAAAAAAAAAAAGGCTCATCGCACTGCCGCCGGGCGAGACAAGCGTCGTGGAAGCGGTCATATGCGCCAATGGGCACCGCGCTATTTCAATTGACATTACGGAGTAATAAGGCACTTAATGGCCGTTGGGAGCAAAGAAAGTGCCACTTGAACCGTTGCTGACCGCCGGCCATCCCACCCCGTCCATGACGGGAGAAAGCCAAGGCTCGTGTGCTTCACCTACGAAGGGTAGGGAAGCATCGGCAGCACGCTCCAACGGGCGAACCCCGAGACGACAACAACAAAGAAAAATGGGCGGGCCATGCCTGCCGACCGACCTGGCCTGTCGTCGACTTAAGGGGGGGCGGCTTTGGGAGAGCAGTGTCGTCATTATCATCGTCAGCTGGCCGCGGATTGAAAATCGCGCAAGCCATTCTTCCTGCTCGGCCGGGCACAGCTTCGGACAAGCCAGGGAAGGAAGCGAGACGGAAGAGCCATTTCGAGACGAGGGAATAAGAGAACGTAGCAATCAGGTAATGCAAGTGAATTAAGGTAGGGTCGGGTCAATGGTGAGGAAACGCCAATGTCAACGGTACGCGCAGATGAAGAAGAGCTTACATTAGGATTACCTACAAACCTGCTTAGCTGCACGGCTCCTTGATAGCCGGACCAGAACAAGGTACCACGGATATCAGGTAGCGCTACCCACGGTTGCATTTATCTGCTGTATCTGACCTGGGCCGATGTGCGTGCAATGCGTGAGGTCCTGGCCTGGCCTGGCCTCGCACGGCGCCGAGTGAGCGAGTGGGTGGGTGAGGGAGGGAGAACGTGTGTGGTCAGCGTACCGCCCTGTCGGCGACTCCATAAGAAAGGTGCGGGAAACAACTTTGCACTGGTGCTCCCCACGGTCGATGGTGAGCGAGGTATCGCCGACGCCACAGCGAACCAATGGAAAGCCTCGGATGGGTGGAGAAGGCGGTGGTCGCGGAGAAACAGTGAACGAAGAGAAGAAGACGCAAGAAAAATTCTGGTGCATGAAGCTAATTCGCCCAGGAGAGCAACGAACGGTAGGTAGGTAGGGAGGAGGACGAAAAAAAGATGGAAAAAGGAAAGAAAAAAACAGTCGTGTGGGTCCCGTTGCGACTTCCGAAGGAAACGCCCCACTGGAACTTCCACATCTGGGCCATACATAAACAGGTACCTACGACGTAGGTAGTCGGCTGCACCTGCAGCCCACCTTTTTCATCTAGGTACCTGCCTGTCTTCCCTGTCCGCGCCTGGGAAACCTGCACCTCACCTGGTCCTAGGAACCGTGGCCCGGCGAGTCCATGTGGGGTTCTGTACTTTGTTTACTCGCGAGATTACCTCAGTGCATCCGTATTCCGCACTGTGAGTATGCATGTTGGCATGTATACCTACTTACTATGTACGCATGGTTATGAAATAACGCAGGGATCCCTGGGACCATCTGTGGGTTTGTTTGCATTGGACATATGTCTCCCCTAGTAGTAGAGCTAAGCCCATGCGCTGCCATCCCATCCTCTCCCAGTCATTACATTCCTATCCGCGCACCAAAATGAGATTGAAGGAAGCAACATCGTATCTAAGCTATAAATTCTTTTGTGAAGGAAATTACGCCGGTCCGTGTTGCATAATAACGCCAAGCACGTTATTTTTTCCTTCTCACTCCCCTTCATCTGGGTTACATGTCATGTCGCCCGCTAATCATTTCTCTCCTTGCCGTCATATTGGCTTCCTGTGCTGTCCTGCCCAACTGCCGCCATGTCCAACGAAGCATTTGCACATATTGTCCAATCCTTCCCCCCCCCCCTTTACCGTCGCACTCAATTTCAATTCGTACTGTCTCCTGCTGGGGTACCTCGCCCCCATGTATTGTACGGATATTCCAATACTCTATTCAGACTGAGCGTGCCATTAATCCTTTGCCTCGTACGTCCCATCCCTCGTCTACATTGCGTCTGATCTTATCCTCTGCTGGCCTCGAAGCCCTGTCCTTCTCCGAGGCAAGTCTTCGTCCTTGCCGTTCAGTCTCCGCAGAGAGTGCTGGGGACTAGGGACCGTAAGGTCGACTGCAGTAACCGACTAGCCCATCTAGGCCTGGTACCTGACTGTTGTTGTTGTCGCTTGTTGCTGGCCGGGTTACAAGGTACCATGGATGGACCGATCAATAATGCTTGTAGCTTCTCCAGCTATTGCAGCTTTCTCCGCGACCTCCCCGAGCAGGTTAGGTACCTGGGTATCTACCTACCTTGAACTTTACATTGACCTTGACCTCGACCTTACCTCACCTTCCTTGCCATTCGTCCGTTCCCTTGCCTTACTAGGTACGCAGCTCCTCAACTCACCTCGCTCACCTTTACGTGAGAGGGGCCTTTGGATAGAAAACACTGGAGATGCGAGGGGGGCTACTCGCAGCTTCTGGAGCCTAAACTTGCCCTACCTGCCAATCTCTCTCTTCCCGCTCAACCGTCTGTCTTGCCGTACCGTACTGTACTGTACAGTTGCCGAAGGTTGCCGTTATCTCGCCGCTATCGTGCCGCTCCTTCTTCGCTCATCTCTCGCTGTTTCGCTGTCCTGCTGTGTGTGCTATGTATCCGTAGGCGGGACCAGTACATACCGTCGCTTGCGGGTATGTCGTGGGGATCCCGATTGGGATTGCCCTTCCTTTTTTTCTGGGTCGCAAGGCAAGGCAGGGCAGGTGCGGATGCCGCTCACTCGCCATCACTCACAATCGCTGGGGACCAGGACGGGTGACGAGGACTAGGACTCGGTCAATCGCGCCGCCGGATAGCTCCCATGCTCCACGCCCATGCCCATCCCCACGCCCATACCCACACACCCACACCCACACCCACGCTTGCTTGCTTGCCTGCACCGGCAGCGCAGCTTTCTCCATTGACTCTGCCGCTTGTGTACACGCCCTCTTCCCTTCCGCCCATGTCCCCACGTCCCAGCGGTCGCCTGCTTGTTGCGTTGCTCGTGTCTCTGGCTCTCTCTCGCTCACTTACCTTCGCGGCCACTCCTACTACGGCTCGTTCCTCTTAAGTAGCGAAGCTTCCTCCCGCCTCATCCGGAGTTCCCTTTCCCTTTCTCTTTCTCCATCACCCACGAAGGCTGCCTATATAGATTGCCCTTCACAATTCGTGTGGTGCTCAAACCTCTCCCCCCCCCCCTCATCCCTCTCTTTACCTTAATTACGCGTTTTTCTGCGACCTCAACATCCAGTATTCCTAGGCCCGTCCTAAGAAGAAACACAAGCAGCGCCTCGCCGTACACCTCGGACTTCACTCGACTACATCAATTCCTATCCGCGATAAACATCCTACCTATTCGCGCATAATAAGCTTGAGCAGAGCTCGTCTGTCTCACAACCACCGCAATGGCTGACTCCAACGCCACTGCGGCCCCTGCTCTCAGCACGCCTATTGAGAGCCACAAGTTCGATGAGAAGGAACGCCCCGTCGACGCTCCTCCCGCCAACCCCAAGGTTGAGGCCGACGAGGAGGAGGATGAGGACATTGACGCCCTGATCGAGGACCTCGAGTCCCAGGATGGTCATGTCGACGAGGAGGAAGAGGGTACGTTGCCGCCCCTTGGCTCCGTCGACGAGATGCTAGCCTAGCACATGCTTTTTCTGCCGAGTCTTGTCTTGACGAGTCCTGTCACTGTCGATCAAGTTTTGCTAACAACCCCGTTGTAGAGGATGGAACTCCCGGCATGGGTCGCGTCGTGCCCGAAGAGCAGCTCCAGACCGACACCCGTCTTGGTCTCACTGAGCAGGAGGTTCTCAACCGCCGCCGCAAGTGGGGCCGCAACGAGATGGCTGAGCAGAAGGAGAACTTGATCCTCAAGTTCTTCATGTTCTTCGTTGGTCCCATTCAATTCGTCATGGAGGCCGCCGCCGTCCTGGCTGCTGGTCTTGAGGATTGGGTCGATTTCGGTGTCATTTGCGGTCTTTTGCTGCTCAACGCCGCCGTTGGTTTTGTTCAGGAATTCCAGGCTGGATCTGTTAGTCAACACCGCCCCACATCCCTGGCATGCGTTGCCAAGGGTGCCCCGAGACCACATTGCTGACCGTCTCCACTCTAGATTGTCGCCGAACTCAAGAAGACCCTTGCGCTCAAGGCTGTCGTCCTCCGTGACGGTACCCTGAAGGAGGTCGAGGCCCCCGAAGTCGTCCCTGGTGATATTCTTCAGGTTGAGGAGGGCACCATCATCCCCGCTGATGGTCGCATCGTCACCGAGGATGCCTTCCTTCAGGTCGACCAGTCCGCCATCACTGGTGAGTCTCTGGCCGTCGACAAGCACCGCAACGATAACTGCTACGCCTCTTCCGCCGTCAAGCGTGGTGAGGCTTTCATCATCGTCACCGCCACTGGTGACAACACCTTCGTCGGTCGCGCCGCCGCTCTCGTCAACGCTGCCTCCGCCGGCTCTGGTCACTTCACTGAGGTCCTGAACGGCATCGGTACCATTCTCTTGGTCCTTGTCATCTTCACCCTGCTCATCGTCTGGGTTTCCTCCTTCTACCGCTCCAACGGCATTGTCGACATCCTCCGCTTCACCCTCGCCATTACCATCATTGGTGTCCCCGTCGGTCTTCCTGCCGTCGTCACCACCACCATGGCCGTCGGTGCTGCCTACCTTGCCAAGAAGAAGGCCATTGTCCAGAAGCTCTCCGCCATCGAGTCCCTTGCTGGTGTCGAGATTCTCTGCTCCGACAAGACGGGTACCCTCACCAAGAACAAGCTCTCCCTGGCCGAGCCTTACACTGTCGCCGGTGTCGACCCCGAAGATCTCATGCTCACTGCCTGCTTGGCTGCTTCCCGCAAGAAGAAGGGTATGGACGCCATCGACAAGGCTTTCCTCAAGTCTCTCCGCTACTACCCCCGCGCCAAGTCGGTTCTGTCCAAGTACCAGGTTCTCGAGTTCTTCCCCTTCGACCCTGTCTCCAAGAAGGTTACTGCTCTCGTCCAGTCCCCCGCTGGTGAGCGCATTACCTGCGTCAAGGGTGCTCCCCTCTTCGTCCTCAAGACTGTCGAGCAGGACCACGAGATCCCTGAGGAGATTGACCAGGCCTACAAAAACAAGGTTGCCGAGTTTGCTACCCGCGGTTTCCGCTCTCTCGGTGTTGCCCGCAAGCGTGGCGACAACGGTGCTTGGGAGATTCTCGGAATCATGCCCTGCTCTGACCCCCCCCGCCACGACACCGCCCGCACCGTCAACGAGGCCAAGTCTCTCGGTCTGTCCATCAAGATGTTGACTGGTGACGCTGTTGGTATCGCCCGTGAGACTTCCCGCCAGCTCGGTCTCGGCACCAACATCTACAACGCTGAGCGCCTCGGTCTCGGTGGTGGTGGTGACATGCCCGGCTCCGAGGTTTACGACTTCGTTGAGGCTGCCGATGGTTTCGCCGAGGTCTTCCCCCAGCACAAGTACAACGTCGTGGAGATTCTCCAGCAGCGTGGCTACCTCGTTGCCATGACTGGTGACGGTGTCAACGATGCCCCCTCCCTGAAGAAGGCTGACACCGGTATCGCCGTCGAGGGCGCCTCCGACGCTGCTCGCTCCGCCGCCGACATTGTCTTCCTTGCCCCCGGTCTTGGTGCCATCATTGACGCCCTGAAGACCTCTCGCCAGATTTTCCACCGCATGTACGCCTACGTCGTCTACCGTATCGCCCTGTCCATCCACTTGGAGATCTTCCTCGGCCTGTGGATTGCCATCCTCAACCGTTCCCTGAACATTGAGCTTGTCGTCTTCATTGCCATTTTCGCCGATATCGCCACCCTGGCCATCGCTTACGACAACGCCCCCTTCTCCAAGAGCCCCGTCAAGTGGAACCTGCCCAAGCTCTGGGGTATGTCTGTTCTCCTCGGTATCGTCCTCGCCGTCGGTACCTGGATCACGGTCACCACCATGTACGCCCACGGCCCCAACGGTGGTATCGTCCAGAACTTCGGTAACCTCGATGAGGTTGTCTTCCTCCAGATCTCCCTCACCGAGAACTGGCTCATCTTCATCACCCGTGCCAACGGTCCCTTCTGGTCCTCCATCCCCTCGTGGCAGCTTGCTGGCGCCATCTTTGTCGTCGACATCCTCGCCACCTGCTTCACCATCTGGGGTTGGTTCGAGCACAGCAACACCTCCATTGTTGCCGTTGTCCGTATCTGGATCTTCTCCTTCGGTGTTTTCTGCGTCTGCGCCGGTGTCTACTACCTCCTCCAGGACAGCACTGGCTTCGACAACCTCATGCATGGCAAATCGCCCAAGGGTAGCCAAAAGCAGCGCTCTCTCGAGGACTTTGGTAAGTCTATATAACCTTTATTACCCCGACTCGTAATGAGTTGTCACAGAATAGAGGCTAACCGTTCCATCAGTCGTTTCCCTGCAGCGTGTCTCCACCCAGCACGAGAAGTCGCAGTAAAGAGGAACTCCCTGGCAGAGTCAGGTCTGTCCATGACATAGAATACGCCATGGCTGATCCCGTCGACTCCGCTGGACCCTCTTCCTGGGCCTGATTGACTCTGGCCCCTAATGAGACCGGACGAGATGCCGACTTACGCCCACTAAGTTCATCTTTCTTTTATGTTTAAAGTTTTACGGTGATAATGCTATCATCGGTAATTACTGTGATCGAGTGGGAGAGAGGGAGAGAATACCCTTAGTGCCGTTATAGACCTAATACAAATTCGTAAAATTAGTAAAAATACTTGCTTCCTACCTGTGAAATGAACATCTTGAGACGTAGCTTTGTAGGCCCTTGCTACAGAACAGCTAGCAAACCATGTATACTGCTTTTGAGCGGTCACTTGGCTACGTGTGGCGAGCAGTGCACATGACTGGGAAGGTTGAGCAAATATCAGGTCATTGCTTCAGTGAAGCAATCGTCACTTGGTCTGCTTCTACCATGACTTTATTTCCATTGTCTATAGTCACGTGATTTTCTACTGAGGAACCACAACGTCCTTGGAAGTATCCAGCTCTTCGTGTCTTCTCAGGTCCATGGGGCGGTCGAGTAGAGGCACAACATAAGGGTCAAACGTCTTCCAGTAAGGGTTCTCGAGGTGGTACTTTTGGCTCTATAGTGATTGCTGGTCAGCAAACGAAACACCATGCGTGAACATTCTCGCAGGGTGAGGAGAGAGAGTATGTGTGTGTTGTGATCATAAGGGTGGTGTGATGCAGCTATGCCGGCGCCACTTACAAACTCAGTCTCGAAGCGCTCGACAATGGTGAAGGACCGAGGGTCGTGGACGTCCTGCATGACGAACCAGCTGACGGTCTCGCGGTCCTGGGAGTAGACCCGCGAGGCCTCAATGAGCTTGGCCTTGATGCGGTCGACCGAGTCCGGGTGGTCGTTTGCGTGGAGGTGGACGGTGATTGTATAGACCATTGTCGCGGTTCGGGGAGGCCGATGGAGGGAGGGGATGTTTGTTGAAACGTTCGATTGGGCAATCAGCGTCGAGGTTGGTGTGTAGGTAGGCAGGTAGTTTGTAACGGTGATGTTTGGTAAGAAGGGGGGAGGGGCAGCATAGCTCACCGACAGCTATCTGGAAACAGGTGAGGGGTGGAGGGGTAGTTTTGGAGGCTGGGTGAGGGGGTTGAGAGTGGGGGAGTGGGTTTTGAGAGCGAGAGAGAGACAGCTGAGCTGGTCCGGGGTCTTGGGTCCCAGGTTTAGGAGGGAGGGTTCTACGACGGTTGGACCTCCAAATTACGTGCATGGTGAGCCCGTAAAGTCTTGGTGAAGCTTGCAGCAGACCAGTCAGCGAGTCAATTGACTTGGCAAGGGTGTCCGTTGCCTTGCAACGCGGCTGGCATGGCTGCCGAGATCTATACGACCCATTGTCCGGCAGCCCCCATGCCTCTGGAACCTCCGGCGCTGGCTGTACACTACGTCCGGCAATGATGGCCCGGAGGCGTCGTAGACCGGCATGGTCTGCGCCGGGGTCGTTGTCATACCATGGCCAGCAGCCTTACAGCGAGCCACACGCCTATCTAACAAGCTAGCCTGCTGTTGGATGGCGAACAACAACGCTCCTACTCTCGGAGCCGCCTGACCTGAGACCAGAGAGAACTTTGGAGCTGGTAAAGGGCAGAACCTCCAGGTCATCGGACCGGCCATTGTTATCGCAGTAAGGCACACTAGGGCAGACGAGACGGTGAGGGCGGTGAAGGGGACAGATTGATACCAAGAGGGCGGACGCCGGTCCGATTCTGACTCTGTCGTGTTGGCGCGGCCGACGATTCCAGCGAGCCTACCCCAGACTATACTAGCCTAATAGGCCGCCGCATCTTGCCTGTCCGCCTTCTGTGCCTTCCCAACTTAGCTTCCTCTGTTCTCTTTTGCTTATGAAAGCGCCGTTGTACATTGCCTGCCTAGATAGGTAGGTAGGTAGGTACCCAGAATGAATGTACCGCATCTGACCTCTGGGAGAACACTCATGTCAATGCCGGCTCCGGCACCGACCCGCCAACTTCACCTCACCGCGAGGTGACCCACTCTTTTCTCTTCCATCTTCGGCCACGGCGTCTCCACATTTGCACAACCACCATCCATCCTTTTTTCCTCGCCATTCCATCCCCGTCACACCCATCATTGTCGCGTATCCAACGGAGAGCTGCACCTCGGAGTCAGCGATGCCATCTCATCCTGCCGGTCTCTCTCCACGGAACGTAACCGCCGATCTCAATCATTCTCGTCATCACCACGACATTTTTTGCTGGCGTTTTCATGCACGTTTCCGCCCCTCCCACCCCGCGGGCACGCTCTCAGAAGCCGTACAGCTTGACACTTACACCCACACGCCGGCAGTCCTCTCACAGCATCCTTGATTAGTCGACCAAACTGTGGTGCCCTGTTTGAATCTCGAATCGAGGAGGCAAACTAGTGTAGATTTATTTCTTCTCCTCCTAGTGCCCCATTGGGGCATACTATCTTTAGCCGCCAACATCGCTAGGTCCCAGTCGTGTCCACACTGAGGAGACGAGCAATCACGCTCTAGCCTCTTAACTATACCATCACGGACCTAAGACACTGGCTCCATCAAGCCGGACTGAATCCCGGACACCATGGCACCCCAACAGCGGATGCAAATCCCAGGGTACTACTACGGTACTATACACACGCCCCTCGTGATCCTCCTAGTCGTCCCAGATTCCCTCTTAGCTAACTTGAAAGACGGCTAGATGAGGGAAAGGGCAAGTATTTCAAGATCGAAAAGAACACATCGGCACCGCAGGGCGCCTTTTGGTCTGCGGACAGCGTCAAACGCCGCAAGATCCAGCATCGTGAGGCCGAAGCCGTTGCCGTCCGTCAGGAGCGCCTGAAGCGCCACATTGCACGCTCCGCCGTGTTGAGGGATCCGCTCCTTGGCGGTGTTCTCGACGTCGAGTTCGGTCTCCGGCGCGAGCGGCAGATGCGCGCCCATGCCGGCGTCGGTGCGGAAGACGTCCCGGCCGTGGCCTGGACGAAAGGGCTTGTCGACAAAGGTGAGGTGCCGTTTGTGCCCAGCTTCGCGAGGCAGAGCTTCCCGAATATACCATGCTTCTATGTCGGTGGAGATGATGTCAAGACGGGGCTGGGTGTTGCGTATGCTAGTGAGTCTAGGCCCTCCCTCAAGCTGGCGCTGGAGGTATGCTGATATCGCTAGCTCTGGATGAGGAGACTTTGATAGGGTCTTACATTCCCACCGACGAGAATGACAGGTGAGCTTCACCAGTGACTCAATGGCTGCGCATGTTCTTATTGTACTAGGGTATCTTTTTGCACCGATGCCTCAAGCCGCCCAGAGCGCCGCCTGTCACACCGGCATGAGATGATTGGCTGTCCACAGATCTCTTCCATCAATTATCACCCGCATTCCCACCGCATCATTGTGACCTCCCGCGAACCAAGCAACACATGCGACATTTACCTCTTCTCCCCGCCCAAGTCCGCCCCAGACGATGATCGGCCTCTATGGCTACTCGACAGAGGTAATGCCCTTCTCCCATTTCACTTGACCCTCAACACCCTATTCTAACGCACCGGCCCATCCATCAGCAAACAACCTCCGTCACATCTCCTTCAACACGGGCCGCCGCGAAGGCGTTGTAAACCAAACGACACCAGCACCGCCCTCTTCATCTTCCCTCATCTGTGTCATTGGAACCTCATACGGCCTCCTCAAGCTCACCTCAGACGAACGTATCCACTGGCTCGGCCCAGCCCGCCCGCGCCCAGGCCCCGCCGAAGGCGACTTCTTCGACCAGTCATTCCTCCCCTCTAACCCCAACGTACTTCTCGCTGGCGGCCGCAACCGCGACGTCCGGATGATCGACATGCGCGTTAATTGGACCGAGTGGGATAACATCCCCGTCGGGCCCGTGGCGCGCCTGAGGGCCGTGAACCCACACCAGTTCCTCGCCGCAGGGCCGCGGTCGCGGATGGCACTGTTTGATATCCGCTACCGGAAGCGCAGGCCAAACGGTACGAGGCCCGTGGTGAATTTTACGGGCTACCGGAACGAGGCACACATGCACATCGGCTGGGACGTTGACGTGGATTCAGGGGTGGTCGCAGCAGCGCACGATGATGGCCGCGTGGGTGTGTACTCGCTGCTCTCGGGGCGGAGGCTGGCGTGCCCCACAGTCGACGCCGTCATGGCGAGGACGCCGATTCGCAGTTTGCAGTTCCAGACGATGCCGGGGCGAAGGCATGCGAGCTTGTTCGCTGGCGTGGGGCCGAACCTGAAGGTGTTTTCGATCGGGGCGCCGGGGGCGGACGACGAGTGCTAGGTTTTGAGACCATACTGAGCTGCCGTGGAAAACCCTCCACCAACTGAGGTTCCCAGAGGGAGACTGCTGGTGGGCAGCTTTTCACAGCATTGACTCTGCCTGCTTCTGCTAGGCTGATTGTGTCTTTGGTAATGATTTCTCGCCCGTCGAGATTAGGACGGGAAGGTATAAGCATTAAAGCAAGCAGGTAGATCATCCATTTTCCGCAGGGAAACGACGTCCACTACTATACAGCAGCTGCTGCGTTTTGTTCTTTTGGGTTCCATACGCATATCTCGCTGCCAGAGGTTCTACGCCTCTCCTGTAACGCCAAACCATATCTCAATAAGGCTGGGCCCTCTCCGCCTGGTAATGATGACTTCCGTGCCGGCCAAGTACGCCATATCAATGACACTATGCCTCCGCCCAGCCCGCACCGCCCAACCAACCTCCAACGCCAACATTCGATCGCATTTGGATTTAGCTGGCCGCCTCTTGCATGTCTGTACATATATGTAATAAAGTAAGGGGAGCCGTGCTATTCAGGTATTCGGGTTAAGCCGAATACCTCCTGGATTAAACATACGGCCCTTGAGAATATTTGCCCGAGGCGATTAGACCTTCAAATTGTACGTCCCCGCAAGCTTGGGAAATGTTTGATTGAAAGCCTGTCCAAGCGTCCAGTTCTCCAGCCTCCGCAGGTGCCGCTCAAATACAGGGTTGATCACCACCTCATCCGAATCCGGCACCTGTAGCAGGGTGTCTGTCTCCTCGTAGGGCCAGTTCAAGCTCAGCGTCGTCGTGAACGGCACAAAGAAGTTGTCGAACAAGTAATCGCGAGGGTTGTAGTCCCGGCAGAGCTTATCGCGCATGGCCGGGAAGGGCACGTGGTCGATCCAGGCGGGGTGCTCGGTGAGCAGCTGCGAGGGCAGCGGGCGCACCCACTCGGGTAGACGGTCGTAGCTCTCCTGCGTCGGCGATATCTGCCAACGCATGATGAGAAACATGATGTACAGGACCGCGATGCGCTGGGGCAGGGCCGAGAGGTCCGGGAAGGTAGCGAGGATGTCAGTGAAGACCTTGGAGAGCGGGTGCGAGAACTTGCTGTTGGCGGGGTTGAGGAGCGACAGCACCGACGGGTAGCGCGGGCCGATGATCTCGTTCGTCGGGAGGCCGTCGGCCGCCCGCTGGCGGCGCTCGTGGAGGAAGTCGAGGAGGAGGCTGTCCAGCGGGCATGTCGGCCCGCAGTTCTTGATTTTTGCCGAGTAGCTCGCCAAGCCTCTCGGCTCGGTGGGCGCGCTTGGCACCTGCTGAGGGCATTCGGCCTGTGACCGGGGGGTATGAACGGTCGGTCCGCTGAGGGACGGACTTCGATTAGGATGGACGGAGGCAACAGCGGTCCAGTCATGCTTCATGGGAACGTGGTGATACATCGGCGAATCCTGGGCGCCATTGACGCCACTCTGGATCTTGGCAAGGCGAGCATTCTGATCGAGAAGGAATTCCAACCCTAGCTTCTCCGGGCCGAGGTCAAGGCCATGACGGAGGTCTTGCCGCTGCTGATTCAGCATCTTGCTCGCGACTGACATGTGGTTGGGAGAAGACGGGACCGAGACGCCGCTACCCGGCGTCGCCTGCCAGCCGGCGGTGGGGTCGATGGAGGCTGGCGAGGCCACGCTGTTCGGCGTCGACGCGTTGTTCGCCGAGACGGGCCCATTCAGCTGATGGACATGCGAGTAACTCGCGCTGGGGGAGGGGAAGACAGGAGGTTCTACCAGAGATGTGGATCCGTTAGGGCCGTGCCGGACATGCAATTCGCCGAGCTGTGACGGCTCGGGCTGGGTTGGCGGAGAAGCTGAGATCAGCGGCTGGATAGAGGCGATGAACGCCGCCAAGCGGCGCTTCAGGTCGGCATTCTCGGCCTCGACGGCCTCCTTGGCCCTCTGGACGGCCTGCAGGTCCTGGTAGGGCTGCTGCGACGTCAGCTCCTGGATGCGGCGCTCAAGGGTCTCGATCTGGTTCTTGGTGCGCTCCCGGATGGCTCGCTGGGCTTCCCTATCTGATCAGGGGCAATGGCACATCGGTTAGCCGTGGTGTGTCATCAGTAGTTGCAACGGAGGGGGTCAATGCTGTGGGGGATCGGACGAGGGTATAGCGGGCAGCGTACGGAACGATTAACTTCAACGGGAGACGCATGGGTTGTGTGTGAAATCGGGTACGATACAAGCGTGGAGCAAAGACATGATGGCAGTACGGGCAAGCAAGGGCGGTGATTATGCTCACCGTTGGCGCGCTTCTTGGCCAACTGCTCGGGTGTCAGATTGGCGACACCCCTGGAGCCAGGACCCGTGCGACGTTTTTTATTCATACCACTGGACGGCTGCGAGGGAGACGAGGCATCGCCGCCGATCGGCGTGCAGGAGTCGTCATTGCCGGGCCCTGCCGGGCTGGGCTGGTCGGGGACACCGCGCTTGTTGTTGTGACTGAAGCCGGGGGTCACTGACGAAGCCACGGAGCCGGCGGGACTAGGATGGTTGGCAGCATCGGAGGCCATGGGAAATCGGAAGGGGTGGACAAAGAGGAACGGCAGACGAGGATCGCGGAACTCCGCGTCACCTCCGGACTCGCGTGGTCAAGTCAGGCCAAGAGAAAGCCGGGTGCTGCCCGTGATCCAGCGGCGGCGACCGAGAGGCATAGGCCTACTCTCCGACCTGTGCCCGGACTGTGGATCAAATCAACTGGATGACAACGACGGGCGAAGGAGGTCGAGCTCCTTGCCGTGTCCTCTGCTTGGCGGCCCCGCTTGTTTCCTGTGGAGGGGAGATGGGGCGTTGTCTTCTCCGTTGGGCCCCTATTGGATGTTTGTTTCTTGGTTCTGCTGGAACTGGCGGCACAAGGATGCGGCAGACTGAGGTGCTGGGACTGGCGGTGCGGCGTAGCGCAGCGGAGCAGTGAGCAGAAAATGCGAGTAACGAAATTTGTGGTTTCTCGGAGGTCGGCTTGGCTTGGAAGGGCGGGGAATAGGCGAATCGAGGGGGGGTATGAATCGTTCAGAGGTTGCTGAACGACTTCGGAAGGCCAAGGTCCCGAGTCATGAAAGGTCTGGTAGACAGTAGACTGAGCAGATTCGTGCTAACCTCGGGCATCTTGTCGCGGGCAGGGATGGTCGATGGGGCAGGACAAGTTATTTGAGCAAAACGTCGCCGGATGCGGCCATGAGATTTTACGAGAGTTGGTCTTCTCTGAAAATAGGGGATTCCAACCAACGACAATGGCAACAACAACAATAACAACAAACAAGGTGCGTTTATAACTACGAAGAAGGAAAGACGAGAGAAACTTTAACCGGGTTTTGGAATAGAGTTTGTGGCGTCTGGACGGCGAGCGAGGGGAGAGGTTCTGGCCATGGTCCGCGTCCAAAATGTGCAAAGCCCCCCCCCTGCCCAATCATGTGTCGTGCGGGCTATTGACGCTACCTGTGCAACCTATTATGGATGGTCCTGGATAGTCACCACTATTAAACCCTGTAGTGGCTTCTATGTTCGCCACCACAGATCTTACTCGATACGTTCACATGTCGAGTGCGATTTAACAAAGGATCTTTGCAAAAGTACAATAAAACAACCCATCGTCCGCATGGGCGGCGTCAAGCCACACTCCGCTCCCCGTTTGTCAAACCATTCCTGGTCCCTAAGCCAGCAGGCGAGAAAATCTGGGTATCCATTGAAAAGAAAACTATCGTCGGTATCGTCAACATCGTCAGTGCACAAACTCGAGGAACTGCCTTGCTCGAGACACTCTAATTTTTCATCGCCTCAACAAATAGCTCCCGCATGCCCTTGAGCAGCACCGCTAGCTCTCTCGTCTCGTTAAGCTGGTCGAGCACCCGCTCAACCCGCTCGCGCTCCAGCTTGGGTCGGCAGTGCCGGATATCGTAGTCTCGGCTCGACGTGTTAAGCTCAAACCATGCTTCTCTCTCCCAGTCCTGGTCGTCGACATATGTGTAGACGAACTTAAGCCGGTCGTCTTTGCCCGCGCCTTCGATCCGCAACCCCAGGTTCTGCTGCCAGAACTCAAGTTCGGGTACGTTGAATCGTGACTGTGCTTCAAGTTGCTTCGCATGCGCCCGCTGCGCCGCCAGACGGGCGTCGATCTCCCGTTGGGTCTCCTCTATTTGCTTCTTGAGGGCGTCTCTAGTCGCCAGGTGCTTGTCGCGTTCTTCGGATAGCTGTGCGATGGCTGCTTGCATCTCGCGGGTTTCGGCCTTCTCTTTGGCAACCGTCTGCTGATGCGTGCTGGTCTTGAGCTGCAGAATTTCGATATCTTTCTTCTTCATACGTTGATCCTCTATAGTAGACGTCAGCTTTCTGATCTGTGTGTGTTGGGTGGCTGTGCTTTACGTACCTTGCAGTTCCGCAAGGTTCATGCGAAACTCGTTCCTCTCCTCCAAAACGCGCTTTCGGCCTTGTTCGATGAATGTGTCGAACTTGGAGGTAAATTTAGCCATGCGGTCGCGAAGCTCCTCAAAGCCGAAGTTCGCATTTGGCAGCGTCTCCGCGACAGACGGAGTCGCCATCAACGACTGTCGGTTGAGGCTGGCGGACAGCGACGATTCTCGGAATGCCGAAGACATGGTGGGCAAAAATAAAACTCCGGGGGGTGTGGCCCTCAACTTCGGTTCTGGTTTCGAGATGGTTATATACGATCGAAAGCGAAAAGTCCGGGATTTGCACGTGAGGGAGGGGCTGGTGATGATGGGATGCAATGGCTGTGACAGTAATTTTGGTGTTTATGCCACGCGTTGCTACGTCAACAATCCCGGGGTTGGAAAGAAGCGCTGACTAAGACTACCTTTGTCAGCATATGCAGGCGATTGAACCGGGGCCAACCAGCCTTATCAGACCCAACGTTTCCCGGTTTCAATTGAAGAGGCATCACGCTGGATGCAAGCCCGCCGCAAGCGCACCTACACAGGCCTGCTGTTAATGAGTGCGGTTGCATTCTCATCAGCAGCGGTCTTAGCGGTAGGCTAGTCGCTATCAATTTCGCAAAAGCTGGCCCTTCGGTCACCATCCTCGAGGCAGGAGACAGCGACCTAGCTCGTGGTGGATGCCAATACCCACCACTCATGGCTTCGGATTTCTTCTTCAAGCACGCGAGGAAGATGAGGGGAGCAGGAGGAACAACTTTGTGACATGGAAAGCACATGATGACTTTTATTGGTTTGGGAACAAAAACGTTCCCTCGGATGCAAAACTTCTGAACCATCATCGCCCACCAGTTCCCTCTAGCATCATTATCTCTGAACCCTCTCGCCACTGGCATAATCTTCAGCACGTCCGACAGTAAACCATGCGCTACAGGTGTCGAGTTTCTCGTCGGTAATGCCATCTGCCGAGCGAATTCGCATTGCAATATCAACGGTGCCAGCGGCGAGAACCGCACCGCCACTACCCTTCGCGAGATCATTCTCCCAGGAGGCTATTTCTACTTTCGTAAGCTCCTGAGGTTTAGTGTCATCGGTATCGTCGATGAACTGCGCAGATTACTATCCCCATCCTCGTCACATCTTATGCCACTGAGCTCATTTACTTGGCGATTTGGAGGCTAGTAGGTGTCTGTTGAGCTACCGAAGGTCGTGATATGGTTCATCACTGGTACCTTCAGGAGTGTGTGATTTCTTCACGCATGAACACATTCATTTGATTCTTATTCACATAGTCCTACTGTGTTTATAAAACGCCTGAATCGAAACTTTGGTCTGGAAACTCTCACCCAGCTCACTGCGGTACTATGCTCTCCAGTGCGTTGTATTTATGTGGCATACCAACGCACTTCATATACCTTACGCATGTCGACTGCGCTGCCTACAAGTCACGTCCAGGAAACATTGTCCAGGCTCGAACAGAGAGGTTTTGTAGTGAAAAGAGGAACCAGAGCTTCGAGCTGTCTAGAAAATAGGCATTGGTGTCTCCCGATTAACACCGCCAAAGATACTCTAGCCATGGCTTCCATAGACAAGTACACAGCTTCATGCCCTCTTTCACAACTACAACCAAAGATAAGGCAAGGTGACTGGACGATATGTAAAGAGGCCAGTCATCTCCCATAACGACTCATCTGCATCCGGGCAAAGAGATGATTCACACTCCCGTAACACTAGCCCTTCCACTCGCCTTCTTGCTTAATGCAAACATTTAAACGCTCTTTTAGGACCCTCTTGCTCTTTCATGTTTTCAAGAAAACTCAACTTCAAATTCTGTCGCAGCTGAGTTTTGTCGACACTAGACAAATAGAAAAGCCCATCAAAGGTAAGATTGTTCTCTTTCCGCCTTCGGTTATGACGGATTTTCGAGCAAATCTAAATGCCCTCATAATTCCAGATTTTGTTGCCTTATAAATGTATATACTGACCAGAATAGACAGGAAAGCAACACTAACGATGGCCGACGCCATGATCATTCTCGAAACTCACATCTACTCCAACACTCCCAATGGCCTGCCGCCCTGGGTCCGCAGTTTCCATCTACGCCTCTCCGCGACCGGGAAGAAGGCCGACATCCTCAAGCTCGTCCATGATTCTATGGTTCGCCTTGGCCGCTCCGACCCCGTTGCTGAGACGCAGATCACCCTGTATTGGACTCGACATGGCCGAGTCGTATCCATCCCAGGGACCAGCAGCTCAAACGCCATGATCACTCTGCCCGTCTACCGGCCGCCGCAGCTCTTCAATTTCAACGTCGGCCACCCTATGGTCTACCCGCAACATTCCCAAACGGCGATGGCCTCCGCCTACCCACTGGCTCTCACCTACTCGGGTGGTGCCAATTACCTGCACTCGTACGGCCCGAACCCTGTCATGATGCCGCCTACCATGGTTCCTGCCCAGCAGACTTGGATGGTCGGCTACGTCAACGTTCCGTTCTTCGGTGCTGATCGTACCGGTGGCATCGGAGGCCAGCCCATCGTCTCAGATGTTGTCAGAGAGGCCCGTCTCGACACACTCGCGGAGGAAGGCCTTGCCGGCATGCTGGAGTGGGCCACAGGCCCTACAGGCCTCAAGCTGATCCTCATCGTCGATGTTGACGGTCGGGGTGTCATCTCTGGATACGTTGGATCTCCCGCCGCCCCAGTTGTCCCGGAATCTCCCTCTCCAGCCTCTCCGGCCCCTGCTGCCTCTCCCAATCCGGGAGACTGAAGCGCTGGAGGGCGGAATCGAACAGACGACAAGGACGATACAATAATTAATTACGAGAATTATACGACCAAGACCAAATGTCATGTTCCATAATAGAGACCAGGCTTTATACATATCCTTTTGAGAGGTTTGAGGATTGGTGTTTATAGACCCGTCACTGAGCCTGCGGAACATATACCGACGAAATCCACCCGTCTACAGGTAAGTTCTAAACCCCTTCTCCCCCTTCCATATCATTACTCAATGCTGGGTAGTCTTGAGTACCAAGCCAGTAGTCAAAACCTCTTCTGAATGCAACTCTCGGTCGATATTGAAATTAAAACCTTCCTCTTAAAGCCAGGCACTACAGACGCCCATCTCACAGTTCAACAAATTAGTAAGATGCACCGTATTCCCTAGTAACTTGCTACTTTTTCTCTTCTTGCAAAGCCCATCGCTGCGGAGACCTGCTGCTTGTGTTCCTGCTGAGAATCTCGGTAATGTATTTTCATTTCTCGCTATTGAATACTGGAATGCAACTGTGCTCGTGCTGTGTGCTGTATCCTAGGTCCCATCTAGGTTTGGCATAGCTATAGAATACAGTGAAAGACCTTGAGAATTTTCTGTTTACCCGTGGTCAGGGTTCGTGCTTCGTTCGCTGTTACTTCTGAGGAGGGCCAAATCGTACATACCTACTCATAATCAGATAGAATTCTCGTTTCATTGAGTAAGCCGAGTACATGTTCTTCTAACTCTTTTTCTGGTGAAGTACAAGATGATGTCAAGCAAGCAGAGCCCTCGAGTCCACGTGCTAGAGGAAGTATAGTGAGAATGGCACATGTCATCACCATAGGTATAATCCACGCGATGAGCCTTTGCTCAGGCTCGTGAGCTCCTTGGTTGCGGCGGGCTGCGCAACGGATGACGTCGTCGCTGAGCCAGCCGATGAGCGCCACATACAGAAGCGCGATGAGGAGCTGTCCAAGCTGAATGAGGGAAACGGATGCATTCTTCTAGTTGTACGGCGGCTTCATCAGTGTTCCCGCGTATGTCATTTGAATGGAGGTATTGATGCCCTGGAAGAGGTCTTTGCTGACAGATACCCATAGAACGTGAGGGAAAAGGTAGAGTTGTCCGATCTGCTTCAGCAAAGCCGGCACCGATTCCATGTTTTGTACACAAAGATCTGGAGATCAGAAACGAAAGTCTGCTTTTCGTATCTCTCTGGACTGCCAACTGTTTCCCTGACGATCGTTGTTTGCTTTGGAGCGGGTGACTGGCTTCCGTTTACATGCTGGGCTGCTGTTCCGAGCTGGTAGGCCATTCGGGCTGGTTCCCGTGAACGCCTCGACGGGTCGGCCATATGCCGTCTTAGGAACCAAGAAGGAGATGAGAAGCATGGCTACGCCCGAGAAACCGGCAAACATTCAATACCAAGACCTCCATCCGAGTACATCAGCCATGTATGAAGGTACAATGGCCAAGCTTTAGTTTATGACGACTTCGGCAAATGCGTAGATTTCAAAGACGTGGGCGCGTTGGTAGAGAACTTGGATGTCTTGCAGCACACGAAGTTACAACTTTGTAACAGGGTCGGAGCAACCGGACACTTTGACTCGCATGATAAGTAGTGCCAGGATTTGGCACTGAGCCGCAGCAAAGGCGGCGATCATGCGGTTCGTTGCGCAGAGGATAGCAGACATGAAGAGAATTACAGTGGCTACTAGCACCACGGGACCTCGGCTGACGGCTACGGCTACGGCTATTGGCATCGAGACCTAACTACCAATGCCTGGAAACAGGCTAGAGACCGTTAAGAGATCCGGCAACTGACCAGCTGTGATTTCTTCACGCTCATAGTCGGGCATGACGAAAACAATTTCGGACAGAGCGGTGATGAGACACACGCTGAATATCCCGTCTGTAAGGCCTCTATGTAAGCCAAGACCTCTCTGCTAGGGCTCCAAATGCCTGTACGTCCCATGATGTACACAATACCATCATTCCCGCTCTGAGTTGTTTATGCCATTTCGGAAGGCTTAGAGGGTCTACAAAAACTGATTATTTACCCATACTCGAAGACACTTATTCGCTCTTCTTGGGTCGTGGTGGTTGAAGTCCTGTCACGCCTTCTGGGTTTCCACTTGAAATCGGAATGATAATCACTCTGTCCCCTGTAGCCAATGTAGCTTTCCGTCGAAGTATCTGATATTTCTGGAAGTTATTCAGGAACTGTTTTAACATTCTACGAAAGAGCTCAGAATCCCTTGGTTATGACGAGTATATGAGCCAGTTCGTGTACTATTTCAGTGGAGGTAGCGTCGTACCTTGATTCTCATCTGACCAACACGATGTTTCATTGCCGGGTTTGTCTCTGATATATCGTTTGCCATCACTTACTGTCACCTCTAGCTTCGCGAGAGAGAGACCATTAAACTCGTTCATGAGAAGGGTAAGTAGGCCGGCGTAGTTAAAGTCTGTATGCTTTAACCAACGCATACGACCAACGGCTGAAGTCGATAGGCTGCATGTGCGGAACAAGAGTCCAAGGGTAGAGTCTTTGTGTTAGCTTTCGACGAGTCAAGTCAAAAAAGGAGTGCTCATCCGATTCTACGTAGCAGTACGAACACCGAACTAAGGCCACTTCACAAGTTCCAAATAAGAGTTTACGCGCAGCACCGCGATTCGAACCTGGAACATTTATCGATGCCAGGATGTGTCCAATGGAATCATGAAAGCTCAGGGTTCTTGTACCTATGTGGTAACCTGGGAGTATCTGTACCTACTGCCGCCCTTCCCCTTGCCCTGAGTTTACACAAAAAAACGAAGCAGCCTGTAGGCAGACTGCTTACAACTGTCACCGCCGTGTCTTCCGCATAGAAAGTTTGGCCCGGCCAGTATATCATACCACTTTCTGCCCCTCCACCGTCGCTTATGAATCGTAAAGTATCCGCAAACTCTCGGGACAAGAGGGGCCATGCGTCACGTCCGAAACCTCGAGGACCAAAATTCCCGGAAACGAGAGAAATTATGGGCAAAGCCTGTAGTTTCAGGTGAAAGAGTGATATGTCGAGATGGCGCCCGTTGTACGACAAACATCCAAAATGAGTTGCCTGTTTCCGGGAAACGGAGACGCCGGTTAGGAAATAATTGCCGATCTCAGGTGCACGCCGGGTGTCAATTTTGGATGAGCGCAGACCCTTCGGCACAACTTTGTAGTCTTCGAGACACATGTGTTCATTGTTTGCGCTCACAACCTGTGTCATGCCATTACTACCACATGGCTCACATGCAGTGATACCTCTGGATGTTGCGCCACTGCCACTTTGGTTGAGACTAAAAGAAATATCTTCCGCTCGTGCCCCCCCTTCACCAATACGGACGATCGGTAAGTTCAATATCGAAGCCAATACTGCACTGAAGGATCTGACTGTCTTGACCTACGTCTTTGGATTCTCTGCCAGGCCGTTGCTGCTATATCTAGCAGCATCTTAGTCAGCGGGCTTCTGCAATAGAACTGTGATGTACTCAAGCTGCCAGGCTGCCAGGCAACTTTGACTGCATAGTCGGCGCTGTTAGCCGAGTGGGGTTTGCCTCGGTTTTCTGGCAGGTTGTGATGGGGTAAGCGCAATAACTCAAGAGGATAAGACGGCGACAAATGCCATGACTACGGCAAAGCATGCTCATCTCACGACAGCCGTGTCGTTTGATAGCGCCTGCAGCTTCGCGATAGGGCCTAGTTATAGGGGGCGTCAATACTCAAACCTAGAAATCGAGAGGTTGTTTTAGATTGCTGATCTTCGTGGCAAGCTTTCTTCTCCTTGCCGACCCCGTCTTCTTTGCGAACGACCTTCCAAAACATTGTCTAGAGTTGGTGTGGCGAGGGATTGCGCTTAAATGCTTAGACTAAGCATACTATACCGGGCCATCGTAGTAACGCCATTGTTCTACGGACTCCAGGTATAGCCCTGTATCCACGTTCCGATGACATACAATGCGGTGTGGTCTCTCATCACAATAGAGACAGGGTTGACTTTCTCGGGGGCGAGGATGGAAATATCCAGCGTTCCAATCATGTTTGATTTCTCACCAACGTGGTCGTGGAGAGGTTGGTGCGGGTCGGAGAAAGGCTGCCGAAGAATCGTCTCCATTGCTCAATGCAGCAAGCATCCTTATTATAATTAGTCCTGTGGCCTATGAATGGCGGCCAAGCCTGGGGTGTCCTACATGTTGCCCTTGATAAGACATATTCTGGTAAGAAAAAACTATTCGTCCTTAATATCAATCTCTTGGGATTCTATCTACATGACGGCGTGTGCGTTGTTAGAAAGCGGATACTCCCGTAAATGTGTATGCGACCCTACGGCGGACCGTCTCGGACTCGTACCTTAGTACATAGTGTATATAGTTTATTACTGCCGAGGCTCTTTCGACGGTGCTGCTTGTGTTTCGGTACTCGTACAATTGCAAAAATACGTTGGGCTAGATTTAATATTTGACCTCGAACCATTTGTTTGACCAAAGAGTTGACAACGTTGTCGCACCTCTAGGTGAACTTTGGGGGATGAACAATAAATGCCCACGGAGCTTTTGCAGCAAACCAATTGCTGAATCGCTGTAAACGGTGTATATCGCACAATCGGGTTAATGCGTCTAGTAGAGTACCCAGGTATGTCGCGTCACTGTATTATGTAAGATATAAGTGGTTTTGTGGATTTTATCTGTTCCATGACCATCAGAGCGCAACCAATGGTATCGTCACCAATCGCGCAGGACGTGGCGCCCGTGGATCTGGATTATGCTGTACGCTAATCCTAAATGAAACCAAGCACATCGTCACGGGGCTCGCTCAACAAGCTGGGAAACAGGATGACCAACGCTTCCCGCACGTGTCGCAGCCACCAAAGAAGTCGCGAGATGCTATCGAGGTAGCTTAAGTACGATCCCGAGCATTTGAAGCACGTCGCGATACCCGCCGATAAGAAGGCGCACCCGACCCTCCGCCACCATACCGCCCCCAGAAAATCTCCGCAATCCCTCCTCTACCCACCAAGCAGGCGCTGCAAGCCCACCAGTCCTAATTGATCTAGACCATCCGTCGACGGGCTTAGGGGAACGGGGAGGGAGCTCCACCAATAACAACCACAACTCCACTACTGATAACTACGAGCTTGCAAACTACAATCACATTACCGCAAGGAAGACAGCCAAGGACCGCGAGACCCGATTGCGGCAGAAGAGACTTTGGAAGAGACAGTGGCTCGAAGAGCAAGACGATATGAAGTTCTCACACAGCATTCAGTTCAATGCTGTTCCGGACTGGAGCAGTCATTACATTGCATACAGCAACCTCAAGAAGCTGTAAGTTGCCCATGCGCCTCACGGCGGTCCTGTGCGCGTGCGGATAACTAATGCCACGTCGTAGGATCTACCAGCTCGAGAAGACTGTCCACCAAACCTCCTCCGGAGATGCCGAATCGAGACCCCTCATCCGAAACGAAGATCCCGAAGAAGTTTTTAGCCGTGCGCTTGGCGTAGAGTTGGAGAAGATCTGCTCCTTCTATGTTTCCAAGGAAGGCGAGCTTCTTGACGAGGTCAATCAGTTGCTGGGTGACATCGGTAACCGTAACTTCGAGGACGAAGAGAACGGTGGCGAGCCACGACGGTCGTTTGGCAGCGCGTCCCGCCCGGGGCTGTCGGTGTCCAACGCCAGACGGACTTCCGTCTCCATTGACGGCAATATCGAAGACAGCGACGATGATGACGACGACGACGAGACAACAGGACTGGCGAAAAGTCGCTCCAGTCTGGGTTTCGGCAGACGCAAGACGGTTCCGCATCTTGGGCAGTCGACAACAGATATGACAGCATCTACTGAATTGACGCTGGCAAGGTCATTGCGGCGGTACAGCACCGCTCATGACGAGTTGCCGGACCAGTCTTTCATGTACTCTTCGGGCATCATGCTGAAGAAGCGCATTATTAACCTCTACGTTTCTCTCTGCGAGCTCAAGTCATACGTACAGCTGAACAGGACGGGCTTCAGGAAGGTCCTGAAGAAGTTCGACAAGATCCTGGACAAAGAGCTGCGAGTCAAGTACATGAGTGCCAATGTCGACTCTGCGTACCCATTCAAAGTCGAGAACATCAAGACGATCGAAGAGAACATTTCCAAGATGGAAAAGGCTTACGCCGAGGTTGTCACAAATGGCGACGAAGGACTTGCCAAGCGCGATCTCAGGTCTCACCTCCGGGAGCATGTCGTCTGGGAGCGTAACACTGTCTGGCGAGACATGATCGGAATGGAGCGTCGCGCAGAGGCTGCCAGCCTAGGAAGATCGCTTCTAGGTAGGGACGGAGCAGCTAGACTGAGGAGACTTCAGGGCGATGATGAACTTGCCCCTATAACCAAGGAAGTCGTCACCCCTGTTGGCCGTTTTGTTGTTCCCACATGGGTCGCGAGTACGCCTCTGCTCACTCTTTTGGTCTCTGTTGCCGTCTTCTTTCTGCTCATTTTCCTGCCCATCATGGAGAAACCCGAGCAACAGAACTGCTTGGCTTTGGTTGTGTTTGTCAGCATCCTTTGGGCTACAGAGGTCAGTGTCCATGAGGCGGTGGGCACAATTTGTTACTAACCTGCACATAGGCCATCCCGTTGTTTGTCACGTCGCTTATGATACCCTTCCTGTGTGTCGTTTTGACTGTTGTCCGCTCCGACGACAAGCCGTACAGGAGACTTGATGCGAAGGCCACGACTGCCTACATTTTCTCGGCCATGTGGACGCCTGTTATCATGCTTTTGCTTGGGGGCTTCACGCTCGCGGCCGCTCTGTCAAAATGCAAGATCGACAAGCGTCTTGCAACCTTCGTTCTCAGCAAGGCGGGCACCACTCCACGCACCGTTCTAATTGCCAACATGCTCGTCGCTGCCTTCGCCAGTATGTTGATCAGTAACGTAGCTGCGCCAGTACTCTGCTTCTCCATCATCGAGGTCAGTACCCGCCTGATGAATGTTACTGGTGCTACAAGCTTACACCGACTCTAGCCGATGCTGCGCACCCTGCCTTCCGAGTCCAACATGTCCAAGGCCGTTATCATGGGCATTGCGCTTGCTTCCAACATTGGGGGTATGCTCTCACCCATCGCTTCGCCGCAGAATGTCGTCGCTATCGGAATCATGAAGCCGGCGCCTACCTGGATCCAATGGTTCTTCATTGTCATTCCCGTGGGCATCGTCTCACTGCTCCTCATCTGGGTGCTGTTATTGATCACTTTCCAACCAAGCAAGGGAACTACCATCTCCCCGATCCGCCCTGTTAAGGAGAAGTTCACCGGCATCCAGTGGTTTGTTTCGATCGTGACGCTCGTCACGATCGGACTGTGGTGTGCAAGTCATCAGATGGAGTCTATCTTTGGCGACATGGGTGTCATTGCCATCATTCCCATCGTCCTCTTCTTCGGTATCGGAATTTTGACCAAGGAAGACTTCAACAACTTTCCATGGACCATCATCATCCTTGCTGCGGGAGGTTTGTCGTTGGGCAAAGCTGTCAAGTCATCGGGTCTGCTGCATACCGTTGCCGACATGGTTTCCAAGGAAGTCGAGGGGATGAGCCTTTACGTTGTGCTTGTCGTCTTCTCAGCGCTCATCCTCGTCATTGCTACGTTCATCAGCCATACTGTTGCAGCTCTTATCATCTTGCCGTTGGTATTTGATGTCGGCGCCAGTATGGATGAGCCTCACCCTAACCTACTGGTTATGGGTGGAGTCCTTATGTGCAGTGCCGCCATGGGCCTACCGACCAGTGGTTTCCCGAATATGAGTAAGTTATTTCCCGAGCTGATTCAAACCCTTGACTGACATCTATCTAGCTGCTATCATGAAGGAGGACCCGACGGGCCAGAGATATCTCAGAGTGAAGCACTTCATCAGCCGAGGTGTGCCCGGCAGTATTCTTACTCTGGTTGTCGTGGTAACTATGGGTTATGGTCTTATGAGGGTAGCCGGACTAGACTAGGAGGTGTCTGCCATAAGTCCCCAGACACGCTGAGTCCGCTCCAAGAGTCGTTTCATGCCTGCATTTCAGTCTGCTTTTGGTCGTCTTTGTGGCATTCAGGGAAGGGGCGCCGTATTATGGGAATATTGTTTTGAACTTGGAAGGTATAGACTGGCCCGTTCACATAGAACACTCTTCACATTCATCCTGGAATGTGCTGTATACAGGTTGGAGTCAGCGATACAATGGTACAGTGAAGCGGTTACTCGCAGAATCGCATCCTCTTTGTGAGACTTATTTCAAACTTGGGACTAAAGATCGGAATTGGGCAGAGCCGCAGCCAGGGCATGTCTTCTAGGCGAGAACACCTACCTAGGTACCGTAGTGTAGGTGCGCCTAGGGCTGCCACTGTGCATGAAGCGAATGTGTTGATCCCGATTCGCCAGCCAATCAGTTCCTGTTAACAACACAGGCCGGAGGGGGTGGAGACAGACTTGCTTCAAGAGGAAGGGTAGCAGGGGCGCTAGTCCTCATTTGGATGGAATACCGTAGATACTGGTTAAATCGAATAACTGCTAGTGAGCAAGCTAACGGTAAGGGGTATTGTGGCCGCTGTGATGGGTATAGTGTGCTGGCAGAAGCAGGGGTCTAGAAGTAGCAAAAGCAGGGGTTAGTTATGTACATTAGAAACAAATTAGGTAGTAAGGGCTAGCAAACAGACTTTAAATTTATATTAGCTTTCCTTCTATCCTTCTACATCTTGCTAGATCTTCTATAGCCTTATTAAACTACCTTTAATAGCTTAATAGACGTCTTTAGCTAGAGATATATACTCTTAGCAGTTATTATTTATATTATTATTAGATATCTTTTAGGCTACTTCCTTAATTTCCTTCTTTATATAGGCGTTATAGTTAAAGTTATTCTAACTATCTTATAATATCTTTTTATTTAGTATGTCCTTAATCTAAATCTTATTAATATTACTCCTATTTAGATTAGTACTAATCCTACACTAAAGAAAGGATTACTAGACTATATTACCCCTTTTAGCTAGGTAATAGGTAGCTATTATAATAGTATAGGTAACTATAACGCGTTTTATTAATATAGACTACTTAATAGGCTAGCTAGGCTAGCTAGGCTAGATAGGTTAAATTAGCTAGATAGGTTAAATTAGCTAAATAAGTTAAATTAGCTAGATAGGTTAAATTAGCTAGATAGGTTAAATTAGCTAGATAGGCTTACTAGGCTAGTAGGCAGTAGCTTACTCTTTTTGCTATATATATTTATCTATTACTTTAGATAACTACTGCTTAAAGGGCTTATTAATAGCAGTATCTAGAGGTTAAAGGAGGGAGGTTATACTAGGCAGTATAAGGCTAGGGGTAACATAATAAGAATAAAGTTATAATAGTATTATAAGGGTCTTATAAAAGGTAGTAACGTTTATAACTAATAAATACTTTTATCCTGCTATAAAAGGGAAGAATTTATTAGTTAGCTACTACCTAAGGAGGTATTTATTATTATAGGCTATATTATTATACTTAACTATTACCTTATTACTATATAAGTTACCTTTATATACTATAAGGTAGCTACCTAGCTAGCTATAAAAAATTAACTTAGGTAGTAGCTATTAAATCCTATTAGTAAAGATATAAAGGATTAAAGTAGCTTACTACTTACTCTAGCCACTATAGTTACTTTTACTAGCTATAGTACAGGCCCCTTAGGCTAACTAAGTTAATCTATTAAGGTATTTAAAAAGAATAGGGGTCTTATTAAAGTTAATAATACAGTTAGGGGGAAATTAGAGGCTACTAATAGGCTAGTAGGCTAATAAAGGCTAACTAACCTACTAGTTAAAGTAGAGGAAGTTAGTAATAATTATAAGGTATTTAGTAAGTAACTTTAAGGCTTACTTTATAAGCTAGTAGTATAAAATACCTTATTATATATAAAAGCTAATAAACTAACCTATAGAGAATTAGAAGGGGTAGGTATAGGTTAGTAAGTTACTAGCTATAAAGGCGTTAGGGTATATAGCAGTAAAAAGGGCTTAGGCCTCCTACTTAAACTATTAAGTAGTAATAACCTTATTATAGGCTTATTATTACTAAAAGTAGCTATAAAGTTTAGCCTCTATTTTAGGCTACTTTAGTTATTTATTATAACATATAGATATAGTTAGGTTAATAGTATCTTATTATTAGTACTACTAAATAACTATTATAAGGGGTATCTTAAAGTAGGTAGCAGCCTCTTAATAGGTTAGGCAGTAGAGGCTGTTAGCTAGGTTAAGATAGGTATTACTAGCCTGTTACTATTATAGTTACTTTAATAGATTAATTAGGTAGCAGTAGTGCTTAAGGTAAGTTAATACCTCTATTTTTTTTTACTAAGAATATAACTATTTAACCTGTTAAATTAGCTTCTTTAGTGTATATTATTGCTTAACAATAGGCGTAGGCGTTTTACCTATTTTCTTATGTAATAGTAGTGTATTTAGGTTGACTTTGCCTAGCGGCAGGCGGTTAGGCATTATGAATATTATGGTAGGTTAATAGGTTGGTAAAGTTAACTATAGATGGGCTGGCTGGCAAGCAAATGGGTGGATGGGTAAGTGGGTGGATGGGTGGGTTGACCGCCTTCTATTTTAGGCTTAGCGTAGTGGATATACGCTAGCTAATATCAGCTAGCTCGTCCACTAGCGGTTATTCGATTTAACCAGTGTCTACGGTAGAGGTCATCGGTTCCCTTGTGGGGGCATTCGTCCTGACGTACCGCCAGGCGGCGCATCTTTGCCCAGCCATACCCGAACCAACGCTCGAAGCTTAACGACCTCTCTCACGCGCTGTCATGATCGCACATTGACTGCTGTAACGATCCGGCGCACTCCTTAAGAAACACCCCTCCGAATGACAGCTTGCTGAACGATCGCATATTCGCCTTGCGGGCTGGCGCCATGCTTTCAGCATTTACAGCTCGGCCGATCATCGAGCTAAAGCCGGGAGTAAAGTCCAAGATCGAGACAATCCTCGCGCATGGTGCGTTGCCTGGAATACTAACCGCTGCATAAGAAATTATGGCTGACGTGTTCATCCAGGCGATCGTGTCTTCGTGGGCCTCAACAATGGCGTCCTTCGTATTTACCGAGTAAATGAGCTACCGCCTCCGTCACCGACCAAGGCCAATGGCTCTCAGCCGACCGCAACGAGCCCACCGAAAGCGATCGATGGCGATGAGCCACCTAAACAGATCGAGAAGCCTACAGATCTGCTACGCGAAATCGAAAAGTTCTCAAACAGGGCCATCGAGCAGCTTGCCATCATCAAAGAAGCCAATACGCTTGTATCATTGTCCAACTACTACGTGTCACTGCATGACCTTGGGACCTACGAACCTCTCGAGATGTTATCACGAACAAAGAATGCCACCTGTTTCGCCGTAACATCAAACATTGTTAAGGACGCATCCACTGGGATACCCGAGATCATTAGCCGCTTGGCGGTGGCAGTCCGTCGCCGCCTGTTACTATGGAGCTGGCACGCAAGCGAGTTGGGTACCGATGTGGAAGAAGTCACACTGCCGGAATCGATACGAACTGTGACATGGGCCAGCGCGACAAAGATTGTCTGTGGAATGAACGCCGGATACGTAATGGTCGATGTGATTACCCATGAAGTCGAGGATATCAATAGCCCCAGCTCGGTGGCATCAGGCGGACAAGTCAGTCGCTTCGGAGCTGTAAGCAGTGCGGGCATGGGCTACATGGGTCTTGGAGGGTACATGCCCAAACCGCTTGCCACAAAACTGGCCGAAGGGGAGCTGCTGCTTGCCAAGGACGTCAACTCCATGTTCATCACTGATGAAGGCAAACCGATTGAAAGACGACAGATTCCATGGCAGTCCGCCCCCGAACAGATCGGATACTCGTATCCTTACATCTTGGCATTGCAAGCTCCATCCAAGGGCTCCCTTGAAGTGAGGAACCCAGAGACTCTGCATCTGCTACAGACCATCTCGCTCCCTGGCGCGGCGCAACTGCATTTCCTGCCCCCCAACCTCAGTCTCGCTCATGCGGGCAAGGGATTCCATATCTCTAGCGATCGATGCGTGTGGAAGATGGGCTCCACAGATTATGACTCGCAGATCGACGAGCTTGTGGAAAAGGGCAAGTACGACGAGGCCGTCAGCATTCTGAACATGCTGGAGGACGCTCTGCTCCAGAACAAGAAAGAAACTCTTCGAGAAGTCAAGATGCTGAAAGCTGAAGCCCTTTTCAAGCAAAAAAAGTACTACGATTCCATGGATCTTTTCAACGAAGATGACGTTCACGCGCCGCCTGAGCGAGTATTAAAGCTTTTCCCCCCTTCCATCGCTGGAGAGATGTCGGGTTGGGCGCACGGTGTACAGCCAGAAGAATCAGGCAGTGATGGAAAGGAAGACGAGGGAGAGTCTCAGGAGAAGACAAACGGCGAAAGGTCTGTTAAAGAAGATACAGATGCAAACCCCACATCACCTGCTAAAGGGGGTGTTGGCTTCGCCAAGCTGTTCATGGGACACCGGAAGCCAGCGCAACCAGACACTGCCTCGATCACATCTAAGAAGGACCCGGTAGATGTTGAGGAAGCCAGCAGTCACAGAAACAAGCCTGCAGAGAATCAGCCTCTTGAAGGGGACGACCTTCGAGACGCCGTTAGGTCTCTAGCCGGATACCTCGTTGGAACGAGGACCCGCCTGCAACGGATCATTGATCCAAGTACTGGCAAGCTGAAGAGATCGGACACGAACGGATCTACTGAAGAGGCGATGAAAAGTTTCATGTCGGGGTCGCATCTTGACGAGTCGAGTAGCCAACTTGAGGGAGAGATCCTAAGGACTTCAAGAATCGTCGACACGGCTTTGTTCCGGAGTTATATGATGACCAGCCCTTCCCTGGCCAGTCCGCTATTTCGCCTCCCCAACTTCTGCGATCCAGATGTGGTGAATGAGGCGCTACTCGCTCACAGTCGATACAACGAGTTGGTAGACTTCTTCAGTGGCAAGAAGCTACACTCCCAGGCACTGGAGCTTCTGAAGCGCTTTGGAACTGCTCAGGAACCTGACGAAGCTGCGCCAGGTCTTCACGGTCCTCAACGAACTGTGACCTATTTGCAGGCCTTACCACCATCCGAGATCGATCTCATTTTGCAGTACTCCGAATGGGTATTGAGAGCAGACCCCAAACTAGCTATGGAGATCTTCATTGCCGACTCCGAAAACGCAGAGACCTTGCCTCGTGGTCGGGTTGCGCGCTTCCTCGGGGGGATTGATCTCAGCTTGGAGGTCCAGTATCTGGAGCATATCATCAGTGAGCTCGACGAATCGACTCCAGAATTCCACGATCGTCTGGTTGGGCTTTTCATCAAACAATTGAAAGACAAAAAGCGGGATGACGAATGGGACGCAGAAATGGGCCGCTTCGTGCAGTTCCTTCAAACCAGCAGCCAGTACGGCCTGACCAAGGCATTTAGCCTTATCCCGCGCGACGGTATTGCCTACTCGTTCTCAACTGTTGGTATCGATATGACTGACATTGGGTAGATCCCGCGTTTTACGAGGCTCAGGCTATTGTTCTAAGTAGCGTGGGGTCGCATAAGCAGGCTCTGGAGATATACGTCTTCAAGATGAAGAATTATGCTAAAGCAGAAGAGTGGGTTTAGTTCACACGAAAAGGTTTTTTCTTTTCCCTTAACCGGATACGATCTAACTTGCGCAGATATTGCAACCAAGTGCATAAGTCTAAGGACTCTAGACCTTCATCTCCGGATCAGTCGCGGCGACCGTCATCGTCTGGTGACGCTGAGGACCCATCCCCGTCCATTTACCACACGCTTCTTTCATTGTACCTCACACCGCCTCCACCTCACAAACCAGCCAACGAGCCGGCTCTCGAACTACTCTCAAGGCACGGGTCGCGTCTACCGGCAGCTTCGACGCTGTCCCTAATCCCCGACGACCTCCCTGTCCGCGATCTTGAGTCATACTTCCGCGGTAGGATCCGGTCTGCCAACAGTGTCGTCAACGAGTCGCGCATCGTGGCTCGGCTGCGAGACACGGAGTTGGTGTCTACACAAGCCCTGCTTCTGCTTGGTGACAATACCCCTGGAGGTCAGGGTGGACGCAACAGAAGGGTAGTCATTACGGAGGAGCGCCTCTGCGGGGTATGCCACAAGAGACTCGGGGGCAGCGTGGTGTCGGTTCTGCCGGATAACAACGTCGTCCACTACGCCTGTCTCAACAAGGCATCGTCGCAGAGGCCGCAGAGCTCACGGGCGGGGACTTGGGCCCGAAGGTTTTCGTGATCAAGGGGCGCGGGTGTCCTTGCGGGGGGTGGTTTGGTGTTGGTTTTCCTCGTACATTTTGGTAATTGCATAAACCCGGGCAGGAAGCTTCAGCATGATACAGTAATACCCCCCGTATATAGGTGGCAAGAATGTACGATGGCGCTCTGAAGGGAGGCGTTGCTTATTCTAGCTCAGTCATCGTCGGGAGGCGCCTCTTCGCCGTAGTTCTCCTCCTCAAGTGCTTCGTCCACGGCGGGCTTGGAGGTGGCGCCGTTCGTGGTGGTCTCTCTGGCCTTGTCCTCCTCCATGCGCGCGGTCAGTTCCTTGTTGATATTTTCCTGGGCGGCGTTGATAGACTTGCGCAAGGCGTTGAGGTAGGTCGCCTTGTCGCCGGCGCTGGGGGTCGGCGGGGCAGGGAGGGACTCGGAGAAGGCGAAGGGTTCGTTTGTGGGGGACTTGTAGGTGGCTGAGAAACGGAAGACCGGGGCCGAGGCCGCGGTGCCGTTGGCGTCTGTCATGGTTGGGGTGGCGGGGGAGTGGACAGATCGTAAACAAGGTATTGGGACGTTCGGGTGGCCGTGTTGTGCGTCGTCAGAAGAGAGAGTGTGTATGTCTGTGTGCGTGTGTTTGTGTGAGTGAGGGGAATAATAACTATGACGGAAATTGGGCAGGTGTGGCCCGTCCGGGTTTGGCTTTGGGGGAAAACGATGGCCCCTCCATTCCAGTTGACTCGAGGGCCGCGCAGTATTACATAGTAATGTTCCGCTGAAGATGGGACCTTGGGGCCAACTGCGGGGTTGATTACACCAGCCCAGCCCACGCTCTTGCCCAGAAACAAGTCAGGGTCGCAACCCGCGTCGCGTCAGTGGGAACAAGGGGCTGGTACGGATGCACTGCACACCATCTAGTCGGTAACAGGGAGGAGGATGACATTATGTTCCCGTTCCTTGGTTCGGGGCCTGGCAGTACGCAATACGACGGGGAATGGCGATGGATGTATGATGATAATGGGTGAATTGGCCTGGCCTCGGGGCGCGCTGGCTCATCGCAGGTAGACGAACATGACCCATTCGGCTCCGTGACAGCAAACCAACAAATCGATAGACAACCGCGTCCACCGAGGGGGGGGGGTTACTCGGAGTTGATATGAGGCTGCAGGCTGATACCTAGATAGATGGCTGGGTTGGGTATTTGTAGATCGCAGGTAGGTTACCTAGCATGCTTATTACTACCTACCACTACGTAGCTAGCCTGCGGAGGTAGACTGCGAGATGAGAGGGACCCAATCCTGCCAGCCGCATTGATGCTGATCCTGTCCTCTCGTCTAACTCTCTCACACTCGGTCGGCCCTTGAGGCGCAATCCACTTCGCTTTCTCATAAACACCCTATTTCCCTCCCTAGCCTCATATTTTCTCGGCCTTCTTACATCACCAATTCCCGCAACTTTTATTTGCGCATAATCCTACACCACCATTTTGCCGCGGCACCTCCCAGCCGTGCAAACAATTATCAACAACCCAACCCTGCACTCGCCGGCTGCTTCCCTTACTCAACACAGCCAAGAAGCCAAACGGAACAAACCTTTGCGCGAATCAGGCCTTTTTGACCCAATCTCGAATCGTCCGAAGCTCCAAGATGTAACAGACCCCTAACATATCCTCGACAATGCAACCAGCACGACCCCCGCCCCGAGCGCCGGGCAGCTTTAGCCCTCTGCCGGAATCTACGGCCTCCAACGTACCGCCGCCGCAACGTCCACGACCACCTGCCCGCGCCGAGTCGACATCCAGCGAAGAGAGCCCCTCGATCAATTTCGTCAAGCCGCGAACCCACGCTCCCAGCGCCCCTACACAACCTTCCAGCACCCCGATCTATGCCCAGTTTACATCCCAGCCCAACTCGAGCACCACAAGCCTGCAGAACTTTTCGCGCCCGACTGCTCAGCGATCAGGGACCACGCCTGGAGGGCCAGCAGGTCACGCCTCGGCCGGAGGAAACGATCTGAGCGTCAGCGTGAGCGCAGTCGCTGCTGCCCGCACGGCGAGTCCCTTGACAAAGGGGCATTCGAGGAAGCACAGTCAGACCCCCGGTCTGTTCGACTCGACGCTGCCGTCGACGAGCACCTCGAATCTGTCCCAGGTGGCCATATCACACCCGCCTGCCAGCTCATCTTCCACACAACAGCAGCACCAGCACCAACTGCCGAGCCCCGCCCTTTCGGCGAGCCATATTGCGGCACAGGCGGCCTTCCAGCACCAGAACAGCCAATATAACCCGCAGCTGCAGCACGCCCGACAACGATCGCAGACCGTTCCCAGCCCCAACGGAGACGGTGACGGCGCGAGGAGGGGGAGCAGCGGAAAGGGCCCACTCAGCCCTCCTGTCTTAAGCCTGACCGAGGCAAGCGGTCCACGAGAGAGCGGGTTTGGGAGCCAAGGATACCACAACGGCCTTCTGGGAAGCCATTCAGCCGCTGCGACAACAGCCGCGAACGCAGCGTTCCCGCGATCGGGCCAGACTTCACCAGGATTGTCACAATCGCAGCAGCAGCAACAACTGCAACAGCAACCGCAGCCTCAACAGCAGCAACAACAGCAACATAGTCCAGTTCATCCTCCGCCACAGTTGATCCTAGATCAGAAGCTGGTAAAGCCAGAAAAGTCCAAGGTCAAGCTCTTCTCGCGCCCGGTCAAGATCGGCACCAAGGCCGATCCCAAAGATAAACCACTCCCGAGCCCCAGCAAGATCGGCAGTGCGCTTGCTTCGCTACAGCGGGGAAATTTTAGCACGAGCAGTCTGGTTGATACCAGCAGCCAGTCCATCTACAACCTCAACAATTCGTCTTCGGCCACCATCCGCGCAGTTCCCGAAACACCCACCATGGAAAAGGAGGGGAAGGAAAAGGAAAAGAAGCATCATTTTTTATCACGCCAGAAGCATAAACTCAAGGATGATTACCATCTTCCGCTGTCTTCCGCATCGAGCAACTCGAAACCAACAGACCCCAGCGCCCCCTCGAGTTTGTACAGTTTCAACTTACCCCCTAGCCCTGCCCCAACTGCAACGTCGTTTGGCAAGGCTCGGCGGGACAAAAAGACTGAAAAGGAGACCAGCAGCCTCAACGTCGAATCGAGTTCGCTTCCCGCAGAGTGGCCAGGGCCAAGCAGCCTACCAACTTTGACGCATCAGTCGTCGTATCTCTCCGAACCAATTGACGCAGGCAAGTACGGTCTCAACAGCATGGCCCTCGACGATGCCTGGCCGTATTTGAAGGCGAAAATGCTCGTCATCTTTGAGGGCGAGGACTTGCGACAGCCAGTGGAGGATTTTAACAAATTGGTCACGCTGCACATACAATACTGCATTCAGCGCAGGTCACCCAATATCATCCTCGAGGACTTGCGCGAGCTCCTTGCGACCGGCTTTGCGTCTTTAGATATGACTCTCAGACGTACGCAAGAGGACAAGGTCATCCCGGCTCTCGTCGAGATGTGGCTCATTACCTACACTTCCATCCTGCCCTATATGCAGGCCGTCTTCCTACCTCTGGACCTTGAGTTCTCTGGCTGCGGCGTGCTCATGAACCACGACCAAGCTCGCGACTTCTGGGGCGGCATCAAGGCACCGTCTTCCGACAGCGCGCCCTATGTCAGCCCCGCGTGCGCCGTCCTCGATGTCCGCCGTATTGTCCTTACAGCGTATCGCGACATTGTTATCCTTCCCCGCTACGACTCACTCAAGGCTATTTTCTCCCGACTATCCCTCGAGTTCCTTCCGTCCTCGTTCGCCTCCCTAGCCCTCGCCTCACCACTGCCGGACCCGACGCTCTCCTCTAGCCCGGCAGACACTATGTCTATGATGCGCCCCGGAACGGCCATGAGCCTGGACCCGTCCGTTTCGAGCTACAATTCTAACGCGACGACGCTCCTGGGCGACGGCAGCTCGGGGGGCGGCGGTGGAGGGCGCAGCCGCGGACTCAGCAACGTCAGCTATGCCAGCGCCGGGAGCGACGGGCAACTGCGGCCGTTCACGCGCGAGCAGAATGTCGAGGACTCTAAGCAGGTCACTGAGATGGTCGGGCGTATGCTACAATGTATGAGCATTCTCGCCAGCATCGGCGGCACTTCCGGCGACGGCAGCGACGAGGGCAACAAGCGGATGGAGGAGCTATGCCGGCTACTAAAGCTCAACTGGCTCGGCAGGGGCCGGACAGGGAGGAACCGGAGGGGTATTGTTGGCGGCAGACGGCGGGAGATTCCCGAATCCATCAGAGAAGGGCTGCGCGTTGTTTGAGGGGGATGATGGCCACTCTGCGAGTGGGGTGGACCTTTTTTTTTCCCCAATGTTTTTTCGGCGTTCGCATATGGTCATTGCAACATAAACGCGGTGTATGGTTACGGCCTCCGTGACGGCGTGTTTTTTCTTATTTTATGGGCAGCGGCGGGCAGGGGGAGGGCATCTATCACAACACCGACGATCATAGCGAAATGGTGTTTTATATGGCTCGGTTGGCAAGGCAAAAGTCATGAGGGGAGAGAGGATGGTATCGGTTTCCGGAAGCCCCTGATTTTATGGGCGTGTACTGCATGCTTCTTTTTTTTTCTTCTCTTTTTTTACATGGTTGGAGCATTGCGAATTGAAACGGATCAAGTACATGACGTAAATGTCTCTCATCTAGCATCTGACGTCGTTCCTGGCGTCTGAAACTGGCCCTCAGTCCCGGCGGCCTCGTGGCGGTCGAGACTTGATGGAAGCAATGTAAAGCCTGCCAAACCGGAGTAACTGGAAGATTGAGATTTTCTTCCCGAACGTGTTCACAAACTGGACCGAAGGTAATGCATCGAGATTCGAAGAAATTCATGATTTTCTATTTGTATTTCTGACTCTGTAAAGGCACGGAAGGATGGTTGCCGGCGCAAACCCATCGAATATGAGTGGTTCTCTATGTAGCAAACCTGATTTCATGTTAGACAAAATCCTACGTGGAAGATAACAAAAAATCGTAAAACCGAGAAGGTCGGTAAAGACGGTCAGACATCCAAGGAAGAATTGGCCCTCATGCATCACTTAAGACGCCCTCTTTTGAAAAGAAGCGCCCGCCGGAAAAGCTCGTGGCCGTGACTCGAGTGAAAACTGCGAATTTGGTGGATATTTCATCATGTTGAGAGGGAGGGAAGAGGGCAGGCGTGAAAACAAGTAGATGTTTTGACTAACCTTAGATGGAAATGGCATGACCATCGCTGTGGATGTTAGTCGATGTAGTATGGTAGCAAGTGGCTGTTGGCCATGGTTCTGAATATCTATTCTCACAGGTCAGCAAGAACATTTCTTGGTACATCGATGCTGATTAGGTGATATGGTGATGTGTCAGACAGAATATACTGGCAAGTAACAGGTTCGCCTTGACGGGAACCCGAACAGACTAGGTTTCTTCATGGTCGATTCGGTTGGGAAAAGAAGACAATGTTTCTTGAGTGTCATCATTTGGAGATAGGGGAGAGCAGCAAGCAAATGTAACCTACCTGAAGTGTGGAAGCTGGAAGCTGATCGTAGTGAGTAGGTCGACAGTTAGTAGCTAGCAAACCTTTGCTCGTCACGATGCTAGGAACGCGCACCTTCCCGTAAAGCTTGAATTGAAGCCTTTGGAACGTCGCGGGCTCGCACGAGTCGGGAAGGAGGGAGCGCGTTTCTGCCGTCAATGAGAGCCAAGGTGTGATGCCGAGAAGTGGTGTAGAAAAGATTCTGACGTGCAGAGGAACAGTTTTTATACAAGAGGCTCACGAAAGAAAAAATGGAGACAGAGTTGGGAAGATTTTTTTTTTCTAGCACCTCCATATGGCCCCACACTACACGTGACCGGACCTCGGTGAGTGTGCTGTTGTTCTGGATCGGGGGCCCAGGGGGGGTTAAAAGTAACCACGTGACCGACTACACTAGTTGCACGGAATATTCGCCGTGATACCGGTCCCCGCCTTCCGAAATGCACCCTGGGCCTTATTGGTCAGCTCCTCAAGATTCATGTCACCAGACGTGGATGGAAGGGGAAGAAGGCCGTGGGCACAAAAAATGGGAGGAGAAACCACGTATCCGGGTGGTTCGGGGAACACGTGGTGGCCATTGACAGATGCAAAACCCAGCAAGGGAACGGGCAGGTCGACGCGATTCCAGCGCTGTCATTTTCTTTGTCTCCGTTTGTCATCTTACTGGCGTCGCGTCCCGGTGAAGTGGGAGAGAGGGAAGGCTGGAGGAGGATGGGAATTAAGGAGTGACGGGGTTGCAACAAAGTTGCAACAAAGCGAGGCTTCTCTGACTCCTGCCTCCTGCCTCACTGCTATCCTGCGACAACTGCTTCACCCCTGGATGGATATTGCTGAAGAAGAGTGGCTTGTTGCATGAAAACGCTGATCGCAGCCACCATCTTTTTGCGTAGTTGAATATCTTGCACTTATTATGGAGCTTCCCGCTGCCACAGTCCGGCATATCCATGCGTATATCCTTGATAGATGCATAGCGTGCTCCTCTAAGCGGATTAAGCCCCACACCCCAGTCGAAGCAATGGGTTGTCCCAACTTCCCGGCGCTCCAGCCTGACATTCTGGCATGGTCGCCCGCCCACCTCGCGCTCCTCTGTCCCTGCTTTCTTCCCCGTCTCGACCTCTCTCGATCGACCTCAGGGTTTGGATTTGGCCGCAACTTGACGCCTCACCGTCCGCAACCTCCTCTGCTTTTCTCTCTTCCCCTAATTCTCTCTCTTAAACACCCCTGGGCCCAGCTCCTCTTTATTTTTATTCCGTTGCATCGGGGTCCCGGGACTCGTCTTGTTCGTCTTGTTGCTCAATCGGAAGCCCCAACCCGCTTGCAAAAAAAAAAAAAAGAGTCCAGAGCTTAGATCCCCCCAGCTCTCCCCCCCCCCAGGTCCTTTGCCTGTCTTGTCTTTGCGTCCGTCCTTCCGCTCAAGCCCAACCACACACAGCCTGCACCGCAACCACTCGCCCACCTCGCACTCTCCAAATCTCCCTCTCCCGCTTTTTCATAAGCAAGGCGCCGCGGAAAGGCTTGTTTGTTCGCCCGCGTTCGACGTGTACGATAAAAAAAATCGGGCATTCAAGCAACCCGCTCCGGATGTCATCGACTTACGTCGATTGAAGCACATACGGCCAACCACTTTGTTCGTTCGCTTTGGTTATCGCGCGATCATCGACACGGGTCTTGCGTTGTGTCCACCTTTTTTCCTCGAGATCGCAACAGCGCATCTTCCCTCCTCCTCCCCCCCCCCCCCCCCTTCGTCCGCTCGCCACGTCCCTTTTACCGACGCCAACTCTCCTCCCGTCACCGGGCTCTTTTTAGTTGCACCCACCCAACAACCTGCCCGCCGCCCCGGCCCTCTCCTCCCGTTCTTTTTGTTTGTGGTCGCATCCCAACTTCGCATACTCAAAAATTACACGTTGTCGTCACGCCGATCATCGATGCCTTTGCGGTTCCCCTTCACCAGTTGACCCTGCCGTTTCGCAAGAAAGACGCCCCCTACCGCAATCGATAACGCTAGTCGAAACCGCCGCACCACCCTCGCGCGATTGAGACCACTTCCCGCGTCTCGCAAACCACGACCTGCATCCTTTTCGCGTCACGCCATCACCCTCGACGCTCAACCCACTACGTCGCGGCCGATTGCCGATACCATCGAGATCCAACACGTCTAGGGCGCATGCGCATGAGATAGTGCGGAGGGAAGAGACGTCGATATCCACGCTGTGGATCATCGACACCCTGAAGACATGATGACGAGTATGGGACCGTCTTTTGCAGGTCATCCTGCCGGCATGCAACAACATCCAGGTGTTCCAGGCCATCCTATGGCTCAGGGGATGCCTCACAACCCGGGTCAGCAAGGCCCGCCGGGCGGAGGAATGCCTCACCAGATGCATATGGCGGTGTCAGGGCCTGGTGGTCAGGTTAATCCAAACCAGTTGATGGGCGGTATGCCGCCGGGTGCTGGTGGTCCGAACGCTCACGCTCTGCAGCATCTCAATCCTGCCCAGAACCCAATGTTCCAACAGAACCAGTTCGCCAACTGTATGCCTGCCCTTTCAATTGTCCCATCCTTGTGCATCTCTAATGAATTCGCGCAGACAACAACCCAGCCGCGATGGCGCATGCCACCCAGATCGCACAGCAGCGGTTATTCCAGCAGCAGCAGCAAGCACGGCAAGCGCTCATGGCGCAACAGGCCTTCAACGCGAACATGGCCGGCGTCAATGGCATGCCGATGGGCATGCAGATGAACCCCATGAACGCCGCCCAACTTGCAGCTATGCGGCAGGGCATGCGACCGGTAAGGATATCATCGCTATGTTCGCCGCAGGAAGCGTACTGACGTAAGGCGGTAGCAGGGACACAACCCTCAGGCACAAGCGATGCTCGCCCAGCAGATTGCTCTCCAACAGCAGCAGATGCAACAGCAGGGTCAACAGCAGGGCCAGCCGGTCCAGATGAACCCCCAGCACATGCAGCTTCAGCAGGCCCAGCTGGCTGCTTCGTTACAGGCCCAGCAGCAGCAACAACAGCAACAGCAACAGCAACAGCAAGCTCAGCAGCAGCAACAACAGCAGCAACAGGCTCAGCAGCAGGCTCAACAGCAACAGGCCCAGCAACAGCAGGCTCAGCAACAGCAGGCCCAGCAGCAACAACAGCAACAGCAGCAGCAGCAACAACAACAGCAGCAGCAACAACAACAACAGGGTCAGCCTCAGGGCCAACCGCAGCAGCCTCAGCCGCAACCTCAACAGACGCCTCATCAGACACCGCAGCAGCAACCCGCGCAGCCCGTTAACCCTCAGTCTGCCGGTCAGCCTACGCCATCTCAAACTCCCGGGCCTGCTCCGAACCAGCAGCCGCAGCCTCCTCAGGCACAGGCCCAGCCTCAAGGTCCTCCCCAAATGTCTGCTCAGCCTGGGCCTCAACAGATGAACCCTGCGCAGCAGGCCGCTGCTCAGGCTGCTGTTGCCAACAATCTTGCTTTGGCTCAGCAAAGAAGGGAAGGGATGAAGGGGCACTGCCTGCTTAAGCTGATGCAATTTAGCGAGCACCTGAGCGGCTTCCCCGTAAGTCAAGCTTCCAGATAGTGGTTTTGAATCTGCTTATTAACAAATGCACAGGGTTCCAAGGGCAAGGACGACCTGTCTTACTGGAATAGCTTCGTCAACCAGTTCTTCTCCACAAAGGGTGTTTTCCGCCACTCGGTACACATTACGGATGTCGAAGACCAGGCAGATAAGCAATACGAAATCACATATCCCGCTCTGCCGCGATACTTCCACACACACTTTGACAGTGGTGTGAAGAACATGCAGTTGATCATGGAAAAGGGAACTACCGACAGACCACTTCCAGGCGATGGTCACTGGATCGAGAACACAAAGTCGAGTCTCGTTTATTGGTTCGAGAGCGGCTCGCACGTAAGTCGGTCTTGCCTCTATCAACAAGAGATCATCTAACACCTCATAGCTCGTTGCAACGGGAACCGTCAGAGCGCACTTTGATGCGGAGCAGAAGATTGAGCTGTTTGAGTTTCTGACCAGCAACCACGAAGAGTACATTTCTCGAAAGGCCGCCATCGAAGCTGCAAAGCCTATACACAATTGGGTCAAGGAGTGGCACAAGGTCAACTCCCAAGATAGCAAGGCTTCGCCGGAAATGAGCAAGAAGGGCAAGGCCCGTCCCATGAAGTCTCCGCAAAATCCTCCGCCGGAGGCGCTTGTGGACCTCCCAGAGTCGGCGGTCAAAAGGGGTATGGGTGTTACCGAAGCCGTCTTCCAGTTCCTCGAGGTATGTGACAGCTCGCTCATGCACGGATGTGGATCTCCGGTACTAAGATGACATGCAGATTGCTGAAGTGATCGGTCAAATGAACCCACTATTCGCCTTCTACCACACCCACCCTAACCTCGGCCCGTACGCTGCCCTGGAGCAATACGTCAGTCAGATCAACGCCGTGCCTGCAAATATGAACGGTCAGCCCATGCCTCAGGGCCCGAGGACGCCCAGCTTCGGCCAGTTCCCCATGGGTGCGAGCCCAGCACAGCCGCACATGCAGCTACCTGGGTCGCCTCATGTCCAAGGCAGCCCTGCTCAAGGTCATATGCAGGCACCCGGCATGCAGATGCAGCAGAGCCAGCAAGGCACCAGCTCCAGCGGGCCCAGTGCAAACACGTCTCCAGCTTCCAACAAGCGAAGACGCCCATCTGGTGTCAAGATGGAGGAGGACGGCTCACAGGCCCCGACCCCGGGCGGCCCCCAAGTCAATGGGGTCCAGAACAAGGGCAAGCCGCCTACACCGCGGATGGCGAAGAGGATGAAGGGCAACCCGGCATGAGCCAGGGCAATGTCTCTGGGCATCCGGATTATGCTCTAATACGAGTCGGGCTACACAGACTCAGTAATGCCTTTTTTATGTCATCATTATGCAGCATGGCGGCGTCTTATTGCTTGGCTTTCTGGCTCTGGAATCCTGGGGCTGTTCATACGCGGGTGTTCAGCAAGCATATCGGTCGTTCGGTGCTGTCTGTGAACGATATCCGCCACAGGGCCATCGGTCGTTCTCGTTTGGCATATGGGCTCTCTTATCGATCACGCCCATCAGAGGAGCAGGCAAATTTCTGCATGATCTTGGGCTGCGACGTCGCCGCTTAGTCTGCTGTACAAGTGGTGATGCGCGCGCCCAAAGGAGGCTCTTATCACTGTCCAAGAAAGGCAAGCGTGGGCTACAAGTTGTCGCCCTTCAAACGAGACACGCAGAGGCTAATCGAGGCAACGAACGTTGTCCATGTTCCTACAACCCTCCTGTACGATATCAAGCTCGATCAGCTCGGGCTCACTGTTTCACGTTGTTGTCGCTTCGACTTTGCCTTGTTGCTGCTCCCTCTCTCGGGTCTACGCTCGATTAAGTCCCAAGAACTCTTTTTGTTGTTTGCGAGGAATCAGTCGGGGAAAGATGGCTTTTAAAAAAAAGAAGTTCTCTGGAATTTTTTGGCGGGAAAGTTTTTCTCGTTGTCTGGCGGCGAAGACGGTGGTGTTATGTCGGCGTAGTTGTTGCTGATTGCTTTTTCTCTGTTCCATATCACAAATACCTAGTCTTGCCAGAAAGGAACCATGCATACCTATACATATGACGGGATGCTTGTTGACTGCGTGATTTCGCCATATCGGTTTCGTTTGTTCGTGCGCCATCGTGGAGAGTGAAGGGCACATACCTCAAGTCTTGTGGCCATTTACCTCGAAGACAGGAGATCGAGTTTATGTTGTGCTGTACTATCTGCAGCCTGCCCGCGGTCCCGTAATGACCCCACGCCGACGATGGGAACCGTCTCCCTCTTGCCCCTGTATGGCAGCCATTCCCATCCATAATACATCGCGTCTACATCTTGACAACGATAGACCCCCTCACTACGCTGCCTCGAATTCCCTAGACACGGCGGCATTCACAAGAACGGTCTCTCCTCGCCGCCACGTTCCGCCCTTCCCAACCACATATGAACACCTCCCCGTCGCCACCGATCCCTCAACCCAGGCCCCCGACGCCGCGCGGGTCGTACACGTGGCCCTTGGACGGCGCGTGGATGAGCATGTCCCCGAGCAGGAGGCGCGGTCGGGCGTTGTGCGTATTCGAGTTGCAGACTACCGTCGCCGTGCCGTCGTTCGCCTCGGGGAACGAATTGTTCAGGTGTCTGGCCTTCGTCGTGAGCGGGTTCGAGCGCAGCCGCTCACACAAGATATCGTCGGGGCGGTCGAGGATGACTTCCAAGCTGGACGAGCTACGGCGGAAGAGAGCCATTTCCTGGCAACAGGTATATGTGGTGAAGCGGCTGGCTGGATATCTATATGATGGCGCAAGGAGCCATGTGCCGGACAGCGATGTTGTTCCGAGCAAGCAACTCGCCAGCTTCGCCAGCGTCTCCATCGCCTAGACGAGGCGAGACTGGGACTGCCTCTATGGCTGATACGGCGATATCAACAACTACCCTTGCCTGCTAGGATGCAATCCGACAACTCCAGTACATCATGAATGGCGGTTGCGTTATCCGAGGGGAGTTGGCGATTTCCGACGTTGCTTTGCAGTTCCTAGTGACGAGAAGCGTTTGCTCACTTTATGCCATATGACTCTCCTCCTCCCTTGTCCCTAACCTCTAATGACATGATTGTGACGAATCACCCGACTTGCAGGAACGGTTTGTCGGACGTGCCAGTCAGCGGCTCTCGTCAAGGGGGTGAACTATGCTGAAGCCAACTCCGAATCATTGCACTGGGCTATGCATCCCACAGCGTCCGTCTCCTATGCATGTAGCTTACGAGTGTCACTATGTGGATTAAAACCAGAGAGACGTGGTGGTTTTGATGTTTTGTTAGGATAATTAGAGTTAGTGTATATACTCCGTATTACGTACAGCAAACCGAATGTTACTCGTTATAAGCAGCCTACATCAAAATTCCATACACCAAAAGAGCAGATTGATATTGGCCAACAGATAGCTTCAATAAAGATGAAAGATTTAGCAAAAGTAAAGGTCCATCCAGGATTCGAACCTGGGCCTACGGAAGGTTCTGGGTGCGAATCAGAATCCGACGTCCTAACCAACTAGACTAATAGACCGAATCTGCTAACTGAGGAGGATCCCCATTTGACGGAGGCTAGCGGAGACAACCCCAAATGATAAAACACGCGTGATTCCAGGTTGTTCAACAGACGTACTGCGAAGCCTACAGAGTCACCCAAAATCGAAGTCTGTGCCTGGGGGCTGTTACGATTCACTGACCTGGCCCTTCCCTCCCACCAAATGATACGCACTTGAGGCCGCCTGGTTTTGGACGGACTGTCGAGGGAGCAGAAGTGCAAAACTAAATGTAAACTTGATCCTGGATCGGTTGACTACGAGTGAATAACGACTATGATATGAAACTCCTGGACGCCAAACCATGCTATGCGCCATAAACTCAAAGAAAGAATTCGGCGATGGCCGAGAAATACACCCCCCTTGCCTCTCTGGTTGAGGAACGTGCCTTCAAATCAAAAAGCGACTGTCATCACTTGACCCAGCCCTGCTGCGTTTCCCACCTCGGCTCAGTTCGACGGGCTTTTACCCCCCTCCCCCTCTCTCTCCTCTCCCGTGCGGCTTGCACAGGCCCTGATTATTTCAGGATAGCGATCAGGAGAACAAGGATGATGATGAGCACAACGATGGTAATCATCTGTTTGCTCTCCCCAGCATCCCGTGCGACCTTGCCGAGCGACCGCCGCGCACGGTCAAGCCGCCCCTGGTGCCGGTCCACAACCTCGTCGACCTCGTCGAGCATGGCGACGTGCGAGTCGAGCTCGTCCCCGATCTGCATGCTCAGCTCCCTCTGCCGTCCGATGGACTCGCCCAGCCGGTCGAGGTGGTCGTCCTGGTCGCGCATGATTTGCGAGTGGTACGCGTGCAGCTGCTGGTTGTCGAGCCCCTCAGCCTGGTCGCGGTACCCCGCCGTGTCGGCCGGGTCGTCGCGGTACCGACCCTCGCCGAATAGAGCGGCGGCGGCGGGATCCTCGGCCGCCGCCGGCGCCCCGCTGCCAGGGGAGTCGGTGAAGCGGACGGTCTTGTTATTGCCGGCGGCAGAGCCGGGAAGGCCGCGGAGGCTACCCTTGAGGGGTTTCGTGGACTGGGCGGCGGCGAAGTCCTGGGAGAGGGATGGGTCGTTAGGCGAGGTTGTGGTTGACGACGTGGACGGGTTGGAGAAGCCGTGGAACTGGGAGGTGAGTTCGGAGTATTGCTTTTGGAGGGCGGGCAAAGAGTCGGTGATGTTCAGTGCGGCGCTGTCGTGAGGTAGTTAGCCGGGCGCCGCTCGGGGGGACGGAAACGGTGTAGCCTTTTGGCGTTTAGAGTGCTCTTTGGTGGGCATGCTCGACATGACGTCGCATGATATCCTGGACACCATCAAGGAGGAAATATCACCAATGGGGGGAGGCTCACGTCTCATCACCAGCACCCTGAAGGCGCTTGACCTCGGAGTCTAGGAATTCCAGACCATCTTTGAACTGGTCCAACGAGCGGGAGATGTGGCCGTCCTGGGTATCAGCTTCGAGGTTGAGCGACAAGGCGCGCTGGCGCTCGAGAAGGGAGAGCTTGATGTGGTCGGCAAGGAGGTAAAGCTGATTCAGGTTGGACATTGTGGACGTGGAGGCCCTTCGTTGCAAGGCAGCACGAGAAATCAAAAGTCTAACAGCTTCTCCAATCTCACTTCGGATATCGGGGACGAGGCGACGAAAAAAAGCAACAAAAAAACGGGGGGGGGGGGGGGGGGGGGGGGGGGGGAACTCGGTCGGGAGGAATGGTGGTTTGCGGACTTTGTTCTTGGATGGTTCGGAAAGGCTGAATGAAGATTGGGGGTTTGGACGTGTTCATGCGCCCGGGCGGTTTGAGACGTGCGCTGACGACTGCGAGGGTGGATTACGAATTGGGTGCAGGCAGCGGCTGCAATTCCTATTTGCAGGGCCACACGGGCTCCAAGTCTGGGGCGTCCGGGGTAACTAACATAACGCCTCCGGGTGGTTCGGGGCCGCGGAGGTAAACGGGTCTGGGAAACATCCTCCATGATTCGTCTAGGCAACAACACAGAACACGTATAAAAAAAGAAAGAAAAGAACTATACATATTCGTACTTTAGGCACATTCTATTTGATGCAAGGCAACTTTTTACGTGTGCTTTCTCGAGATCCTACGCAAGATTTCTTCCTTTAAAGTGCCCTGGGTATGGCTACGTCCATCCCTGGTGATTGTCACATGGCAGAAAAGGAAAAGATGTGTATAAGACGAATCATAGAATCTAAGATGGTGAATTGTATCATTCTGTTATGGCTAATGTCCCCCCCTTCACCTAGCAACTCATTTCACTCATCAATAATTATCGGATGACATCCCCCTCCTTGTCGATACCGGCTAGGCTTTCGAGAATGTCGCTGCCAAGTATCCCTTGGGCGCCACCAATTGCCATCTTGGGCTGATCCCACCACACTTCATGAAACTTGAGAGTCTCATCACTCGATGCCACCACAATGGTCCCTTCTCTCGCCGTCCGGCTTCCTTTGCGCGCATCAGCTGGTCCTCTCGGGTACGGGATGGCATATAGAGCCCGGGGACCGCCCGGCCACGCTACGGCGCTGATTTGTCGGCAAGACGGCCAACTAAAAACAACAATGCGGTATGGGTGCTCGGTTTGCGCGTAGCCGTGACTATAACCGAATGTGGCCGCGATCTCGCGCTTCGTCGTAGACCATATCAAAGAGGTGACTTGCGCCCCAACAACAATGGTAGCCAGGGGTGTGCTCGTCCCGGCGTGGAAGAAGTGAATGCATTTGTCGCCTAACCCACCGCCGGTGGCAACGAGTCCTTCTTGCCAAGGACAGAATGCAATAGCCTTGATTGCGGCGTCATGCCTCCAACAGTGTATCTCCGTGCCATGCCCAAACAGTCGAAGACCTTGCATGGATGTTTGAGTCGCTCGTGTAATGTTCTCGGCAACACCTACCTCTATGGTTTCGCTGTTCGGGAAGGCGTTTAACGACGTTTCTACGCTCTCCCTTTGACTTGGACCAACCCCGGACTGGTCGGCAGGCAGTGTGCCTCTTTCAAAGGAGCCATCATGTTCCATCGAACGACGACTTCTGCGGACCACGGCCGAGTCGCGTTTCTTGTGTGGACCTTCCATCGTCCGGCTCATCTCAAAGTAGCAGGCGGTGTTGTCGTTACTTCCCGACACAAATTGCTGCCCGTTTGGCGACCATACAAGGGCACAGATCTGCGAGGTATGGACGGCAATCTTGGCTATCGGTGTTACCTTTCCAAACCAAGTATCTCTCGAGATTTCCCACAAGCTAGGCCATTCGACCATGTAGTGCAGGATGCCCCCCTGACCGTCTCCAACGAGTATGTCTTCCGTTGGTACCAGGGCACCCGAGTTGAAGGGATTCTGGGATGGCCTTTTCATGACTGTTGGCCGCTAGCTTACGCACTCGACCGGAAACGGGTGGTGAAACCAAAACCGGGGTAGAACTTCGTCAATGAAGGACAGCAAACCAAAGAACCCGTCTTTTCTTCCAAATGCAAGAATGGCTTTGCCGCCCTGAGTGGAGGAGAATGATAGGGATGTCAAGCTGTTCCGTCGGAGACGCGGCGCACGGTAGACGGGCTGGGGATCATGCTGCTCGGACCATCTGTAAACCGTGTTGCCCAAGGCGACCGCCAAGCATCCGCAGGTTGGAGAGTATGCCAGTGGAGAGCGGTAGTAATCGTCTTCGAGCTCTGGCGCCTGAAGAACTCGGTAGGGCCCCGAAGGCAGATTGCAGCCTGGGGGCGTTTGCGCCTCAAGCGTGGGCCAAGACCTTGAAGATGTGCTCGAGGGCTGTAACAGGCCTATGCGAAGGACTCTGGCTGCCTGGTCAATCTTGAGGGCGTCGGCGAGTCGCTCCTCATGTCGTTTCTGGTCTTCCTCCTCCCTCGGCCGGGGCCCAAAGAAGCGAGTGGTTATACGTCGGCCACTAGCTTTGATCTTGACTGGCGGTTCCGGTGTGTTAGTAGACAGAATCGACGGACGCCCAACAGTTACAATGGCCCGGGAGGAGGGTAGCAAGGATGGTGGTGGCGGCAAGGCTTTTAGCCGGATCTTGTCGGAAAGGGGAGTCTCTGCGTCTCGGTGAGGGATGTAGCGATGCATGGCCTAGGGAGAGGGGAGAAGATTGGATCTAGGAGCGGATGAATAAGGGTTGCAATGTAAGAGAGGGGTTCAGGGGCTAGGAGAGAGCTGTGCTGATTATGCCGCAGATACACATGATGCTGATTGTAGACTACCTAGTCGAGTCGCTCCTTCCTTGCGGATATATCGCTAAGAGCAGGAGGTGGCGTATGGATTAGCATACCTAGGTGAGTACATACTAGGTAGGTACTTCCGTCGAGATACAAATACGGGAAATGTGTGGGAGCACAATGAGGCACCCACCAATGCATTCCATAAATAAAAAGGCAGAAACGAGTGCTACGACTGCATTTGTTGTAAACTGCTCATCCGGCGGGCCACCAAGACTTTCACGGGGTTGGGGTTAACAAGCTGTCAGAATAAGACACGCCGAAGTCATGGTATAAGTCCAGACAGACAAACCACACGTGACCGAAGCACATGCTGCGGTCCACCTGGAATCGCCTTATGTGAAACGCCACATCACCGCGTCTCGGGCAACCGCGGTTGAGAAGCTTCCCGTAGTGACGGATCAAGTCGAAAACCGATGATGGTAAGGTTCCGCATTAACGGGAGCTTGGGCCACTGGCTAAGACGGCATCCATCTTCTTGGGGTTCCAGTGGACAGGGTCAAGAGTGGGAACCTCAGTGGGGAACCCCCTGCTCCTTTCAATGTGAACCGGTTCCCGCATCAGCTGCTTCATGCCGCCCAGAGCTCCCTGTGCCTTCATCCGGTCCATCCTCACTAATCACTCCGCCCGCTCCAATCGTCCTTGTTGGCTTCCTTGCTCCTCCCTCTTAAAGCTAGACCATCCCGCTCTCATAGAGGAGCGCCCCTCAGGTCCCCATGGAAAGCGTAAGTACTCACCACCCTCGCCAGTCTCATCATCTCTGCGCAGCACCTTTACCTCGTCGCGGCTCAATCTCCAACACCTATACTATCCAACCCCCGCCACGTCCCAAGCTAACAAACGACGCGACAAACAGCACGGCATAGCCCGTACAGCCAGGAAGCCAAGAACCGAAGCCCAGCTGCAATCAGACCTCGCCAAGATCGAAACCTTGCGCTCCGTCGAGGACGCCCTGCTCCGCGCCGCGAACCCCTCTACCGCCGACGCCCTCGACCCCGCCGCCACCCTCGCCCTCACCACCAAGCTCCTGCGCCTGAACCCAGAACACTACACGGCATGGAACGTCCGCAGGCGCTGCCTAACCTGTGGATCATTATCAAGACCATTGCCTGGGCCATCGCCATCGGCGCCGTCCGCGAGTTCTTCAGCAGCATGCACTACGCCTCCGTTCTCCACCGCTGCGTCAGCCTCCTCCTCGGCCTCGACCACGACCCGGCCCGGCCCCGCGTCCCCACCAAACCAAGCGAGTGGGAGGAGTGGTACAACAGCTGAGGCCGGGGACCCCGCTGCGACCGGGCACCAGGACGCGACTGTGTCGGGCGGAGAAGAAGGGAGCAAGGGGCCTTCAACCGAGGAAGCCGTCGGGACCCTCAGGAACGAGCTCATGTTCACCATCCCGCTCCTGCTCGAATACCCCAAAAGCTACTGGATCTGGAAATACCGCTCCTGGCTCCTCCAGCAGGCCATCGACCTCCTCCCGCGACCCGTGGCCCGCCGCGTGTGGGAAGAAGAGCTCGGCCTCGTGTCCAAGATGCTGACCAAGGACCGCCGCAACTTCCACGCCTGGGGCTATCGTAGGAGGGTGGTTGCCACGCTAGAGAGCGCGGCGCTCGACGGCAACAGCCTCGTCGAGCAAGAATTCGAGTACACAACCAAGATGATCAACGTCGACCTATCCAACTTTTCCGCCTGGCACAGCCGCTCCAACCTGATACCGCGCCTGCTGGAGGAGCGCCACGCCGACGACGGGGCGCGGCAGAAGTTTTTAGAAGACGGTAAGATGACTACTCTTCTTCTGGATTTGGACGGCATCGGGCCGGGACTAACACGGGGCCAGAACTCAACCTCGTCCGCGAAGCACTCAATGTGGGGCCGGAGGACCAGTCGCTCTGGTTCTACCACCACTTCCTCATCCAGAACATGACCGAATCGGACGGGCGTTCCAAAATCGCGCCGAACTTGTCACGGGAACAAAAGGTCGCGTACGTAAAGCGCGAAATCCAAGAGATCAAGGACCTTTTAGAAGACTATGACGACATCATGTGGATCTACAAAGCGTTGTTGGACTACACGAGAGCCCTGCCGAAGATGGAAGGCCGCACACTCAACGGCGAAGAGACGGACGACCTCAAGACGTGGCTGGCCAAAGTACGTCAACTGGACCCCATGCGCAAAGGGCGCTGGGGCGATTTCGAGAAGGACTGCGGATTGGCTTAAGAGGCATGCAAATCATCGGTTCCAGAAGTTGTGCTACACCAAGGAGCAAGCGAGGGGGGGAGGATTATGAATTATAGCGACGAGGTACATGTACCCATACTTCGGTAAAGATGGCTCTTTTGTACATTCCAGTCATGAGATCATTATATGCACACACTCAGGCGCTGCATTTGCCCTTGACAAGGCTGGCATTCTCTCCCACCAGCCCGTCAAAGTATGCCAGCAGCGCCTCGACGGGGATCATGTCCATAAGGCCCAAAGCTGGACTAGACGACTTCAAGACCTGGCCGCCCCAGAGTACCCTCACGTACCAGCCGCCCTCACTAACACCAACACCGACACCAGAGCCTGGTACGGATGTGGCTGTGGCAGGTGGGTCTTCGCCATCGGCTGCGTTCTTCTTGTAGAGCTCGAACACGACCTCGGAGCCCATGCCGGGCCAGACCATGTTGTCGATCTGCAGTATCGAGAGCAGCCGCGAGACGGAGCCGTCGTGGGCCACGTTGTGGTAGTAGATGGTCTCGCTCTCGCCCTTGACAGCAGCGCGGAGGTGCGTGGCCAGCTCGGCGATCCAAACACCCCATGTCGCGACGCTGGCGGCAAGGGAGTCGGGAGCATCGCGGTAGATCTGAGAGTACTCCCAGTGCCCCAAACGGTACGCCGCGTCGGCGAGGTCCTGGGTGACGCAGGTGGTGCTGTTGACGCCGTCGACGAGCTTGCAGGGGAGGGACTTGTCGTGACACTGCCGGGCGGACAGGTTGTCGTAGTAGTGGTCCAGGGAGACGTGGAAGCCCGCGTCGTCTACGGGAACGCCCGAGATGTCGTCGAGCGTCGCGTAGAGCGGGCCGGCGGCGGCGAGATGCTGGGCCCAGGCGGCGTTGGACGAGGACTTGATGCGGTCGAATAGGGATGAGCCGGCCGGGCAGGCGTACTGCGGCTCGAGGGAGTCGACGCCAGCGGCCTGGATGCCAAGGGCGAGGGAGTCAGTGGTCCCCCACATGCCGTTGACGACCATGCCGGCGACCTGGCTGGTGATCTGGTTGTTGGTGACGCGGTACTTGACCTGGCGGCGCCACTCGGGGGAGTTGACGGCGTCGCGGGAGGGGAGGAAGCGCAGCAGGTCGTGGTAGACGCCGTAGAGGTCGGCGCCGTGGAGCCACGAGTCGTCGAGGCCCTGGGCGGTGATCTGGGGGAACTGGCAGGTGCCGATCCAGCCCGCGGGGACGAAAGGGTTGACGGGGGAGATGTAGACCTTCCAGTACGTCTTTGCCGGCTTGTTGCCGCTGGCAAAGGGCTCACCGTAGTAGAAGAGGCCCTGCTCGTCGCAGTTCCACTGGTACGACTCCACCGGGAAGGCGTTGGCGGCGTAAGGCGTGCGCTTGTGGTGGCGATGGACCTGCAGGGTTGATTCAGCGGCTGCGCCGAGTTTCAACGATATGGCACGAGAAGGGCGAGACGACGTACCAGTTCGACGTATTTGAGCTCGTACTCGTCCGATGGCTTCACATACTCCGTCTTGCGCACATGGGGCATGTTGCACCAGTTGTACTGGCCATACTTGTCATCAGGGGTCTCGGAGGTATCGTAGATGAAGCCCCAGACGCCCTCGCCGTTGATGACGGTCGCGAGGTCGTTGACGTCCGACTTGGCGGGCGCGTGCCAGCTCACGTCGACGCCGGCGGTGGCGGCATTCGCAGCGCCGCTGCCGAGGATAGCGAGAGCGGCGAGCAGAGAGGAACCTTTGGGGGCCATGACGTGCGGAAGGGCGAATTCGACGAAGACGAGGACGCTAGCGACAATGGCGAGCGACTTCAACCAAGCGACCGGCGACCCCAGAGGCCTTCTAGGAAAGAATAATGAGGGAGCCATCCATACTTTATGTACGGGCTTGTTTTCTTTTCGGCAGAGCAGGGGCGGCTACCGGACAACTCTTATCTGTTCAAGAGCCCTTGTCGGTTGAGTATCCCACGTGCCAGGCGCGGTACGGCGAGAGGGAAATGAAGCTACGACGCAGCTCCAGGGATCGATCGTAAGGGCGTGGGGGGAATTTGCCGGGAACCCTAAATGTGACATGCGATTGATCGTATCGTCTCTCGCCTCGAGGTGAGACAGGTGAAGACGTTGAAGCTTCAGTGGGGGGGAGCGCGTGCGCCACGTGTGAGAGCAAACGCACCGACTGGCTGGGAGCTCGGGGGAGAGCGACAGGGGTCAGAGCTCGGGGAGGGGGGAGGGGGGCGGCCCCACCATACGGATGGGGGCAGTGTATTTCGGCGCCCAGACCGGACCTAATCTGCCTCTAGCAAGGGGAATTCCGTAAGCAGCCGGCAATCTCTGTGGTGGAAGAGGGTTACAAGATATCTAGAGTAATATTCTTCTTGATTCTTGTCTTCTCTCTCCCTTGGAGGACAGACTGTTTCGGTATGACCGCTGCGTATGTTGCTCTTCACTGAAGGCACAGCAAAGTTGAAAGCAAAGACTGCACTACGCAAGAAACTGATGGAAGATAATGCGTGATTGTATTTGTCTTGCTTCTCCTCGGCCTTTCTATCCTCCCTCTTCTCCAGAAATCTTAGTAACGATTTCGAACCTGAAGTAATCTTCTCCCTTGGGGTCCTCGCAATGTGCATTTCTTAATCAAGCTCTCCGCATTCTTTGGTCATGGACAATACCTGAATTAGAGAAAGATCGAGCAGGACAGTCCATGATCTGATCTGTCCAGCACAGTGTTAAACGCCTGGCTCTGTCTACGATTCGTCATGCTCTGACTCTCACCATCATCTCAAACCCCTGCTGTTAGCTTTCTTCCTGATCTTTTCCATCTCTTCTATCTCCAGTTGGTCCAGTGTGCCAACATGGAATATTTCTCTTCTGGGGCAGTCGCCTCCAAAGGATTGAATGCATCCTCAAGTCATATATCAAAGCCATCCCCGCCATTCCCCATTCACACCGTATCGAGCCAGCCGATCTGAAGTAGTGTCTAATTTGAGATAATGTGTGGAATTTTTGGGGGACATCCTTTCGTGTTTATGAACCGTACTTGCGAGTTTCCTCGACGAGCCCAATAAGACGGCCCCATTACTGACCCTCTTGTCTGGTGAAAGATGATTCACTCGGTGCGTGGAGTGAGGTTGTCTAATATGTGATAGGCATATGTCTGTTTCATGGAGAAGGTTCGATGTATTCTGCAAGCACCGAAACAATGCGTTCATGCACCGGCTGATTCTTGAGGCTGTATAAGGTCGGTCCTCGTTGCCCAGCCCTGGGTCGGGCGCATGTTGGACTGGGATGAAAAGACGGAGAGATTGGAAGGGCGAGGCAAATATGTCGGCAGCGATAGGGTGCAGCCGACATCTATATGTTCTCTAAGCGCTTGGATATCTACATCTAGGTCAACCATGCAATCTACAACACCTCGTCTAACTATCATGATGTTCAGCCGTTATTCCCCCATGCAGTGACAACAGCCCCGACAACCTCACTCCCCTTCGTGATGGCGACCTCATGCCCACCCTTCAGCACCACGACCTCGACAGCGTCCTCCCCGAGCACGGTCTCCGCGTCCCACACCGTCTCCCCTGGGACCACGATATCGTCACTCTCCCCTAGCACGAACAAGACCCGCCCCTTCCTCAGCCCGGGCGCCGCGCCTGCCCTCCTCGCCGAGAGAGCCTCTCCGAGAACCCTCCACTCCTCGCACCCGCGGTCGTAGACGGGCGCGTGTCGGATCGTGCTCATGTAGCTCCTCACGTAGCCCGGGTGGGTCTCCATCTGCCACCTCACGACCTCGCCGATCCGGCTCCCGCCCACGAGCCTCAGCTCGTCCCACTCCGGCGTCCCGCCCTCGTCGTCGTCGACGGTCTCCTTCTCGGGGGCGTCCCCCCCGCTCTTGGGGTCGGCCGGCGCGATCCTCCGCGCGACGAACCACCGCCGCACGCCCTCGGGGATCCACTCCGAGTTGTACAGCAGGCGGCTCCTCCAGCCGACGTGGGCGGCGGACCGGATGAGGCCGCCGGGGGCGACGAGGGTGAGGGAGCGAACGAGGTGCGGGTGCGAAGAGGCAAAGGCGGCGGCGACGGCGCCGCCGAGGGAGTAGCCCAGCAGGTGAAAGGCATCGTTGCCGGTCCAGCCCGGGAGAGGGGAGGAGGCGAGGGCGAGAAGGATCTGGGTGGTGTACAGGCGGGCGTCGTGGGGGATGTCGAGCGGCGCGTCCGAGTAGCCGCGGCCAAAGAAGTCTGCTGGGTGTTAGACTAGGGGCCGTCGAATGAAACATGAAGGTAGGTCGAGGAAGGAGTGATGAGAGTGAGACATGAGGCTCAACCAGCATAAACAAAGGAGGGGTTAAAATGGTAACCTTCATTAGCCAGGCTGCAAAGTTAACTCTTTCCTCTTCACACATCACACCTCACCACACCTCATGTACCAACCCGAATAGATACCAAAGAAGAAGAAAAAAACAAGGAAAAAGAGGAGCAAAACACCGGCAACAAGACTCACCAAACGTCATGACCCGCCAACCCTTCGCCACAAACTCGGCCGCGACGCCGCCCAGCGCGAGGCACGGCGTGCCGATGCCGTGCAGCAGCAGGACCCTCTCAGACGCGTCCTCGGGCCCGAACTCGTAGACACGCAGGTTCCCGTAGGCGGTGGCAACGTCCCGGCCGCCGGGGAGGGCGCCGGGCGGGTACGGCAGGGCGTCGCGGGCGGAGGCGGAGAGGGCGGGCAGGACGGTCCATTTCGGAGACCGGGCCGTCTTGCGGGGGTCGAGAGCCGGGCGCGGGGTCGTCGTCGGCGTCGTCGGCATCGCTCGGGAGTAGGAGAGGAGGAGGTAGGTCGTCGTCACCGCCGCAGCCGCCGCAGCCGCCGCGGCTAAACCGAGGCCGAGGTGCTGGGATTCCAGTACCCTGTCTCTCATTTCTTTCCTCCTCCCTGCTTTATTTTATTTTATTTTTACTCTTCTTTTTTCTTTCTTTCCTCCTTATGAACCACACGGGGCTAGAGTAACCCTGTGTTACGTGCGATGTGACAAAAAACGAGGCTTTCGAATACTGGTACGACGGGACACCGGTGCAAGGGTTACATGACGTGCTGGCAAATAGAATCCCCACGGGTTTGGGACGACGACGGGGGGGGGGTGAGTGCGCGGGAGTTGGGCCGCCGGGGGAGCTTGGAACAGAGGCCCCGGTCACCATTGCACGGAGGTCGGGAAAACATGGGGGAGGAGAGGGGAGGGGAGGGGTCGCGAATCAACAACAGCAGCACGGGGAGTCAGAATGCATAGTAGTAGAGACCGTTCTCGAGTCGAGCCTGGTTGACTAGGTAGTCACCTTACGCCAGAGAGGACCGGACCGAGGCGGTGTCAGCTGCTTCGGGCCTCGCCTAGCAGACACTCGATATCATTGAAGCCGTGGGAAATCATGCGTTCGTTGGGAGACGGAGGGTTATCGCGGAATCTAACGTACGTAACGACGTACTATTTAGATGGAAGTATCCACATACGAGTACAAGCAGGGTTCGCAGATATCGGGGTCGCCGCAATGCGTCCCGTGCCTCCCCTCCCTCCCCCGAGTCCGTCCGGTTAGTCCAAATCCGAGGCCCGTTGTGTTGAAACGATCAAGGACTTGGATGTCGCAACGTCGCAGAAGTGGCCGGCGGATGTCCTCTCTCTGTCTCTGTCTCTGCCCTCCCCACCCTGCGCATACTCGGATCTGCGCAGGGTCTCCCACTGCTTCTGTTTGGGGAAATCGAGCAATGCCACTAGTAGTAGTGTACTCACTCACTCAGGACTCGGGCCGGGAAGGGGACTTCTCTTGATCAGCTGTCTGCATAACCCCGGACGCGGTGACATGACACGGCGGGCGGGATGAGGAAGTTTTCTGCATCTTGCGAACGTCTGTCGAACCGTCGCCCCCCTCCCTCTCGGATATCTACACCACTGTTACGAATCAGAGACGGATCAAAAGACGCCGCCGCCGACTGCCTACCTGCACTGCGCCGCGCCGGCGTTGCTTCGGGAGTGGAAGCGCACAAGGGCCACAGGCAGACACTGCCGAGCGCAGCATTGTTGTCGTTTGACAGGTTGGCCCCTCCACCACAAGCCTAGTCTTTAGTGTATCAAGAATAGCCTAGGTTTTACTGCCGGCATGTGCCCCCCCTAATGCACGTCGGCTAGGTATGCACATGGTGTCTCTCTTCTACTCGTAGACTGGCCGGGAGTTATGTCCTGGCCGGTCCGTGTTGCTTGGCCAGGCGGAGCGCCGACGGTGGCCTCTCCAGTCGGCATTGCAGTGCACTGCTGCAGCTCTTTGCTTTTCCAACGAGCGGCGCCATTACATAGTACACTATCCGTACACCACACTACATACTATTATGTAGCGGCGGCTCTCTGCGGTGAGCCCAGGTGACTCGGCAACCCAGCCTGCCAGTCCAAGCTCCCGCTATACTAGCTCCGTGCCTGTTGTCTTTCCTATTGTCTCGTCTTTTTACTCCCTCTTCTCCAACTTTCTAACTCAAAAGCCTACTACGTAGGACCCTGAAGGGGAGAGGGAGAGGGAGGGGAGGGGAGGGGAGGGGAGGGGAGGAGGGGGGAAGTGTTTCCCCACTGGATGACGGCAGCCACAAAATTACCGTGGGGAGGAGATAGAGATGGAGAGAGAGAGAGAGAGACAGGGAGGCGGAGGGCGGTGCTGCTGCTGCTGCTGCTGAGACAGCGAGGAAGAATAAACCTCCGTCGACCGTAACAGACGATGCATAATCCCCGGAATCGAGGCTGGCACAAGCAAAAAGTCGTGATTGGTTTACTATAGTAGCCCAGCCCTCGATGCCAGAATGGCGGTGTGGCAGTAAAGAAGGGGCTTTTCATGCCCCCTTCCCCCCCCCCCCCCCTTCACTTCAACCTGATTTGTCCACCGCCGCTGTGCATGTAGCCTTCGTCCTGGTGTATGGCGAATAGGCAGACAGAGCCCTGGTTTACCATGGTACCAGAAGAGTGTGGCTAGTTGTCTGTCGTTCACCAAGGAGGGACGATCCGTCCGTCAGATCTTGCGGGATGAGCCCCGTCTCGTCCGGCTGTGTCGTTCCAGGGGAGCGACAGCAAAAGCGCTAGACAAGCACCTGCCACCGGTATACGGTACACAGCATGCAAGCGGTTTCACGCAGGCGTCCGTACTGTGGAAGGGGGGAGGTGAGGGGAGGGGAAAGGAAGGTTCGTTGCCGATAGAACAATGGCACGGTCGACGGGGCTATGGACAGTAAGAATGGCTGGTTCGGGGCTGGAAACAAAAGAAGGTTGCCCAACTGGCCATCGAAAGCTTCTTCCCCCTCCTCCAAGCCCTCCCCGAAGAGAGCTTCGACCTTTGTCTAGGTGTAGGGCCTCGAGAGCGGATTGGATGCCGCGACAAGAACCACGATGCCATGTGTGCCAACGCCTAACTCAATGGCCGGGCCTCCCCCCACACCTACCTCCAAAAAACCTCTTGTCTTCCCTCAGCCAGCGTCGAGACCCAGACCCTTGGCAGATGTTGGCTTGCCCGCCCGCCCTGCTTGCAGGCACCGGGCTACGTATCTTACTTTGCTTTGCAAGAACCATGACTTGGTGCGAGAGTGTCAATCCTGCCTCGATGGAGAAAAGCATGCCCCTCCGGGAGAGACCCTCGGCATACCCTAGCACCGGTGAAGCTAAAGACCCTGAGACCAAGACGGTCGTCTGGCTGGCTGTGAGGTCTGCGTACAGATACAAGCACCGAGTCAGCCATGGGGAACGTCGGGCTGGGTCAGCAAAAAATAGCAGCCGCCGCCCTCCCTCCCGTCTCGTCCCAGGCGCTGGAACCGACAGCCATTCAGACAGATGGGACGGGAAACGGTTGGCAAACGGACGCGACGTCGTTCGTCGCCGAAGGAAAGAATGGAACGTTGGTCGAAGGAGGGCAAGGCAACGAACAGGGGGATGGGGATTGGGTGAAACTGATGAGGCGACGTACTGGACGCGGGGTGACAACGGCGACGGGGGAATGCGATATGCGCCCCCTCCTATTTCGTCAGCCGGATTCCCCTTCAGCTCCAGCTCCAGTTCCAGCTCCAGTTACCAGCTATCAGCTCCACCGGGGAGAGATCACGAAGCCATTGTCATGTGTCTCAGCATGGTTTCCCGTCTTCAATGCCTGGGCAAGATTGCCTCGCCTCCGCAGCAGGGGGTAGCCAGGCTCACCAGGCTCGGGTCCCCAGTCCCAGCCCATCTTTCGCAGTCATCAGCCGGGTGGACAGGGAGCCTGTACTGTGCCACAGTGGACGGCGGAATAGGACAGGACCTCCAAGGGTCTGCTCCAGGTGGCGGGCTGGCGGGCTACTGGTTTGTACCTGTACATCGCATTTCACCTAGTGTGTGTGTGTGTGTGTGTGTGTGTGTGCGTGTGGTCACGCAGGGGCCCGTTCGCTATTCATGCATGCACGGTGGAAGGTCCACGGGCAGAACAAGATTTTGGTCTAGAAGGGCGGCACGGCGGGAAAGCTGACGGCCAAGGGGCGATAAAGTTAGGAGGATGCGGATGGAGGATACGTTGAGGTTTAGAGGAGCCAACTCCTGTCAAGCCAGCCCGCCGTGCTCGGTAATCGGACAACAGCGGCCGTCAACCTGCTTGGCATGGATGGTGAGCCGGACGGCAATGCTGAGAACCAAGGAGGGATATTGCAAGAGAGGATGAGCCGATTAACCAGCCCTGTGGGTGGCTGCATCATCATCATGCTATATTCGTCAGTTGGCCACTGACGGACGGTGCTGGGGTAGGGGGAGGGGGGCGAGAAACCTTCAATGAGATAGATCTGCGTGAGCGATGAGAAAGAGAGAGGAGGGTGAGTGAGTGAGTGAGGTGAGTGAGGTGAGTGAGCCCTGGGTGGAGGGGGGCGACACACCCAGTGACGGATTGGCAAAGCAGGGTGACATTATCTGCGGTTGCCCCGCTGTTAGTGCGCAGGATAAAAAAAATAAAATAAAAGTTGACGAGTGAGACTGTGGGTGAGTGAGCCAGGCAAGATACGGATACAGGTACATCCTGCAGGTACGTACCGATGCCCTGTGTGGATGAGGGCTTTTCCCTCCAGTCTCGTCGGGGCGGTCTGCAGGTGGCAAGGCGGCAGGCATACACTGTGAGGCAGTTGGTGCCTAAGTCTTGAGGCCCACATAATGACCGGTCACCCCCCTCCCCCTGGGAAGGGTCTTGTCGATTGATTCGCTTTCCTACACTATCCGTACACTACCTAGATCAAGCGTGCCAGCCGCCACGTTTCCGAATCCAGGCCACAGGGCAAGGGGCCCAAGTCATTTCCTCACGGGTTTCGTTCTTCCTTTTTGGGACCAGAACCAGGATCTTAGCAGCCAGTCACGGCGGGAACCCGACCCCACCCAGTGCTTGGATGCGCGCGTGTGTTTGGCCAAATTGGAAGGGGGGGCAGGCAGGTCACTGCCTCGTTGTTCGTCCAGGGCTCTAACCACCTGCATCAGTGTGTTGCGTAGTGTGTACGGATAGAAATACGCACACACATACGCACACACATACGCTAGGTAGGTACCCATACAGGCAGATAAACATGGTAGGATATATGTGTACGTGCCCAGTGTCCCTGCCACATCACAATGTGAACAATGTGTGGACAGTGTGGATAGCAAAGCCCATCCGTGACAGTGCGCATGTCTAGCATCTGCGGCAGCGTTTAGAACTAGATTGTGGCTGGCAATCCCACGCTAGGTGGGCAAGTCTACCTCGTACCTAAACTACGGATACTTGGTCCTACTCCTTCGTCTTCTTCGTCATGTCTCGCTGCCGCCGTGCAGATGGACGGGATGGGGATGTGCGAGGTCGATTTGGAGGTAAGCGGCCAGGTGGTCCGTTGCACTGTTCCAGTCGTTCTCTGCTGTGTATCCATCCGTATACACACCACTACTAACTACCCTGTCAATAAGTACGGTGGTTAGCCGATCCAGTCCAGTCCGCCCACCGCCCAATCGTGCGGGTGCATCAGCAGCACCAGCAGTCCGTTCCATTGTTGTTACCATTGTTGTTCCCCAAAAGTTGGGATTCGGGGCGGACAGGGGGGCATGGGAGCCACCAAGGCGAGGTCAGAAGGGGTTTCACCTGGGACTGGAGCAGACAGACAGCTGCACACTGTGAGCGAGCGGGACAACATGAAGCCAGCCGAGTGTGAGAGAGAAAGACTTTCCAGCCAAGTATGGAATGGGAAACACTAGGCTGCGTCTCTCGTGTTTCTGAACATCGGATCGCGCCAGTTCAAGGCCACTGTGGTCGCACTTCGGGCTTCCTGGGGACGGGACGGGACAGGACATTGCGGATTAGAGCCCGCGATGGAAACCCTGATGCGATTGTGCGCAGCATCTTGGACTGACTGCGTTGCGTCAGCCTCAAAACCATGCCGACAAGTTTGCCCTACTCTAAGGAGCAGCCAGCGACGACGAGATCGAGACCGTCTCCCCCCTCCCCCCACAAGGACGCAAGGGATGAAGAACGAGAAGGAGAAGGAGAAAAAGCAGCAGCAGAAGAAGAAAGACAAAAAACAAAAAACGAAGAAAGGCACGCCTAAGCGGATCAGCGAAGATGGGACGAGAAGCAGGATACGCCGTTAGTTGCACCACGGCCAGGACCGAGAGCAACAGGCGCGGCGCAGCGCAGCGCAGGCAGGCATGCAGGTCACTTGATGGCAGATCAAAAACAGGAGAGACATCTCGATGCCGAAGGAGAGGAAGAGTGGGATGAGAGGAGCATGGGATGTGTACGTGGACAGGCTTGGCATGGCATGGGTTGACAGGGACGGGGGGAGGGGGACCCACAGTGAGGACATCCAGTCCCCACACCATGTATACGCAGTACCATGTACGGATACACACACGCACATTGTGACAGTCAACAACTGAGAGAGAGAGAGAGAGAGAGAGAGAGAGAGAGAGAGAGAGAGAGAGAGAGAGAGAGAGAGAGAGAGAGACAGCACAGCGGCCACAGGCAGCAGACGCCGTAAAATGGAAAGGGAGCAAGCAGCCCCAGCCCGTATTGTGTCTCGTCTCTAATCTCGCTCAGTTGCTCCCCCCTACAAGTAGCGCAGCATTATTGAACATTGCTGCTGATTGGATTCCCCATCGCGCACGCTCGACACTGGGGTTCTGGAATGAGAGGTGTGCGCAGCCAATCTCTCTCCATGGCCGCAAGCGGTGGTGCCAGAATTGTTGTAAACAAGGACGAGCGACAAGTGGCGGTAACCTCGTTCATCTCAGGAGTCAGGAGGCTTTTCCTTCGGGTCCCCGCCCCAACACTGAGAATGCCTACAGGTACAACGCACACTACAGCTACAGACACGGTGAAGAACAGGGAAAGGGGGGTGCCTTACAGTGCGTCTCTGCGGTGGGCAGACGCAGTACCTGCATGCCACGCATCAGCTGGCCCTGCGTCGAGGTTCCGACCCGAAATGCCTAGCAATGCCCGGGCCGGGGGAGGGAGAGAGAGAGTATGTGTGTGTGTGAATTGGTGAGTGAGTGGGTGAGTGAGTGAGTGAGTAAGAGAGCGAGAGTGAGAATGAAAGTGGAGGGCCAGGGTTACTGCGTAGGTTTTCTGCACTCTGCCAGGTACACTGCAGCAGCTTGCTGGTCTGTCAGTCAGTCAGTCAGCCTGTACGGATATATGTCTCTCTCTCTCATTCTCCCCCTATGACTGTTCGTGCCAGGGACACCCAGGTTGACCAGGAACACGCAATGCATCAATTCTCACATCCTCCTCCCGCGGGCACAGTGCAGCGTAGTGCACTTGCGACTACCTCACCTGCCTAGGTATCGTAATTTTTACCCGTTCAGCATAACCCCGGCCTTTCCTCTCACTCTCGTCCAAATACATAGTACTTGTAGCGTCTCTCATCCAAATGCGGCCGGTCAGCCCTCGCAAGCTCTCCACCCGTACCACCCGTACAGTATACTGTCCGCCGCACTGAGGGGTGGGTAGTGGTTGACGCCAGCCGGCGCCACGCCCCAAATTTACACCAGTACCACCAGACAACGCTAGACCTGGGCGGCTCTAGGTTAGGATCTGTCAGCCAATGGGAACCCGGTGGCGAACTCGCACATGGCGTCAAGAAGTGGAGTCACAGTGCTGTTCGACCATGCACTGTCCCCTCCGATCCTTTTTCATTGGGCAACTGTGGGCCCACCGCCGCCGCCGCCCCCCCTCCCTGCCCTTCGCTTTCCTTGCCCTCCGTGTCCTCCTCGCTCCTGTCCGCTCACCTTTCCACCGTTCCTCCCACTCTCCCACACTCCCACTATCCTGCTCGAACCAACAAAACCATTGCTTTCTCCAGATTCCTCCCTCCCGATACTTTACAACACCTCTTCCCCCTCCGTCCAGACATACCTTTTTTATTTTTCTAACCACCCACCAAAAAACCGCTTAAACACCCGATCATACACCACAACAATCCAAAAGAAAAAAAAGCACGGCTCTCTTCAATACGACCTTTCTACCTTGAATTATCATAACGTGTATACACTTGTTTCTCCTCGCACAACGTCGACTCGGCAGGTTTCATTGTTTGTGTTCCATACTGCAATAATACCGCACCTCGGCTCGCCCACAACAAACATAAGTCTACCGCACCTCCGCCAAACTGCCTCCCCAACCAACGAGACCGGCATACACCCATCCTCTAACAACGACATCACCACGACACGGATATATTTACCCTGCACCTTCATAAACAATGTCTTCATACTACCAATTCAACCACCACCAGGCGCATCCCACCCCGGCTGTTCCCGGAGCCTCCCACAACCACCATGGCGGCCGGAATCGCAGGGCCCCCAGACTCTCCGTCTCCCAGAACCAGCATAAGCAGTTCCGCGGCGTGCGCAGCATGAAGGAGTTGACCGAGTCAGCCACCCTCAACGCTTTCCGCACAAAGTTCGAGGCCGGTCGCTCCTTCGATCTCGAGGACGACATGGAATTCTGCCCTGGCCTGTTGACCGACAGCGACGTGAGTATCCCGGAGCCCTGGATCTACCACCCATAACGATCCTGTGACTAATGTTGAGACGCCCGCTGCAGATGAACTCCATCCACAGCTCTTCTGAGCGCTCCTCCTTGGCGAGCAACTCGCCAGAGTCCTCGCCGACTCAGCAGCCCCAGACCATCGCCCCTGGCTTCTCCCTCAACTCGTCTTCCCCAGCCTTCATTCCTCCCGCCTACCAGCAGTCCGCCATGAAGCTTCACCAGCCTTCCGCCACCCGCGCGCGCAATGCCATTCCCATTGTCAACCCGGCTACCGGCATCACCATGTCGAGCCCTCCGCCTTCGGTGTCCCCGTCCAGGATGCAGCAGAGCATCCGCAGATGGTAAAGCGCTAGTCCCGCTCTCGCGACAGAGGGCCGGGGCTTTGCGCTTCCTGCCGTCTGTGCTGATGCATGCTCATGTGCAAATTCCTGCTCATTCGGCCTTTCTAGCCGATCATCTTGGCGGGCACCGAACAAAAGAAACTTGAATGGCATCGATGATCTTTTCTCTCTTTGCGGGCTGGGTACCTGAAGGCTTCGACGAGGCTGCTGGCGTGGTCTGGTCACAACGTTGGCTCGAAAACAACATTCCTCTCTTGTACAAACAACCTCACGCGACATACACTTGTTTCAAACCGACGAAAAAAGTCCTCCATGAGGCCTCTTCCCTGGCGCGATGCGAGAAGTTATCGATACCATTTTTTCCTTCTTGGGATATTTCGACTACAAAAAAAAAATGGACAAAAATCTTTCGGTGTCCTGACCTCGCAAGATGAGGCTGGACTTGCACGAATGGCGTTCCACACGGACGGTTTTGCAGTTTCACGACATTGCATCGGTGTGTCAACACCACGGCGGAGTTCTCGGATATAATTAATTCGCGGCATCTTATTTTTCACGGACAGCGGGACGAGTTTTTGAATTTCCAGGATGATTGAAAATTTCAGTTATTCATCATGGTGCTCGACGGGTCACGAAGTCATCGAAAAAGATCATCTCGACATATAGAATGAGTGTCTTTTCAGCAACTTATTCGGAGCAGCAAGGAGGGGCGCGGGACAACAGGTGTTTCTGTTCTGGGCTGACATGGGAAATATCAAATGGGCGGTGGCGGGCAAAGACATGCGTTGCTATTGTTTTGCGGCAAATCTCCAAAGCTTGGAATCAGGGTCCGGGAAATACCTTTTTGGGAAAGGTGGAGTTGGTCATGATTTTGGGTGCGCGGTCAGCTGGCGAGCCTCTGCATTGTTTTGTCGCCTGTATCATTGGGCTTGAGCGATGCGGACGGGAACACGCGCGCGGCAGTGTTTTTTTTTGGATTTCTTGTGGCCTCTTCTCTCATTTCATTATTCGAAGATGGACTATTCCTACTACTTGCTCTCCCGGGAGAAGCACGGAGCTTCTTTTGCATCTCGGGACACTGGGAAACGAATGGTGGTGGTGGTAGTGGGGGAATCACCCTTGTCTGGAGCACTTTTTCGCGAGCATCTTGGGATAGCTGTGTTTTTGCTGGGAAGCGGGATGACACGATCAATTGGCTTCTCGTGTGGTTTTCTGGATCTGGTAAACGGGGAAATACCATTAGGGGGGGTGGGGGGGCTGTACAGGAAAGGAAATGCTCAAGACGTGGAAAGGTGTTCAGAGGGTCGGACTAGACTTGTCCGATCTTGTGGCGCGAAGCCAGCAAGGCGCAATGCAATATACGATACGTTCATCTCAAAATCGGTCTTTTACCCTCTCGTGTCAAGTGATGCACTTTTGCCATGCCACGGGCGCCAGCGTGGGGTGGGCACGGAACAGCATCTCGCGCGCGGTCGGATGAGCTTGTGCCTCGATAGTCGTCGCCTCCCTAACGCACTTGACGAGTCACGATATCGAGCCGGCGCAGTCGGAAGAGAAGATATTGCGTTACAGGACAAAGCGATGACAGTGTCCCGTGGGGTGGTTGCATTCGACGCTTACCGCCCAGGTAGCCAGCCGGCCACCTACCGTTCATGCTCTCTGCTCCGCTCCGCCCCTAATAAGCGACTCTGCTAATACTGCCATGCAGGACATCTATACATAAGAGGCGTCTCGTCTACTATTGAAATGGGAAAGGACGGGCGGGCTGATGCTGAGTCTCCCCCGCGACCGTGAGAGACCCCGGCCCTCGCCGTCTCCCTCCCCCTTGTTTGAGCCGCCTGGGCTGTGTTGCGGCTGGGGCGAAATGAGGGGTAGCAAGCAGGCTACCTTACCACCTTACGTAGATGACAGGCAGCCAGACAGGCAGGCAAGCAAGCAAGAAAAGCAGACAGGTTGCCGTCGTCGTAGTTGTCGACAAAGAGCAACAAGCGCATGGGGAGTAGGGTCCGTCTTAACTGCGTGTCTGTAGCCGCCGGCATTAGACAAGGAGCAGACGGCACTTTTTTCCCCCTCTTGTTGGCGACACACGACTGGGGCTAGACTAGCACCACTGGGCTGCGATCCAAGCCGACCTTACCTGTTCGTGCTGCACGCTGCCGCAAGGGGGCACAGGGGCGCGAGGTGGTGAAGAAAGCGGCGGCGGCTGGCGATGCACACTGGGCAGGAAGTGCTGCAGGTCCCAGACCAGACGAGAGAACGAGATAAAAATCACGTGATGGGTTGACAGGAGGAGGGCCTTGATGGGGAAGGACGGACAGGTGGGGATGGATGATGACGATGAGGTTGCAGATGACTGGCCGGCCGCAGCTGGTTGCCGTCTGGCCGCCACCCCTTCTGCTGCTGCACGTTGCTTCCTTCACCTTCCGGAATGCGATGACGAGAGGAAAGCGGGCTTCTGGCCAGTGGTCACAAGCGAAAAGAAAATGGCATTTTGCGGGGCCGCCCGGGTTTGGTTTGCTGCTGAGGGAACTGCAACCAGCTGGTGAGGGGGGAAGCTCGGTCCTGTGGATGTCACTATTCGGGACATAGCAACGATCTAGTGACGTCACGTCCGGGTAACGAGACAGTCGAAAGCTCGGTTTACCTAGGTAGATGTCGAGCTACCGGTAGCCGACAGCCTAGCTACCTCGCCCAGCATCGTCCATATTTCTCTCTTTTTTTTTCCCCCTTCTCATTCTTTAATATCTCCCCCTTGGCTTTTTGTTATATCGACATTGTATCACCCAAGAAAACCCTCCCAATTGAATTCAATTGCTCAAGTTTCGGCACCGCAGCACAGCAATACCAGACAGAAACCATGGCTTCCCGCATCGTTCTCGCGTCCACCCCCATTGCCCGTGGCGCCTTCGTCATCGGCAGACAGACTGCTGTCCTCGAGCGCGGCTTCAGAATCTCGACGACGGCCAAGGCCGGCTTGAAGGAGTCTGCGGCACGTGAGTCCATCCCCCCCCTTCCCGTCTTTTCATCTCTATCGCTTCTGGTCATCAAGCTGGTTGCTGGCCAGCTACCTGCCGATGGAATGGGCTTGGTGTAACGCTGCAAACTTCATCATGAAGTAGCTCTGTGGCCCGGCCGGTTGTAATTCCATTCGCTTGATCCCACCCCTCGTTGCCCATCTCCTCAAGAGTTGGACACAGGGGGGGGAGGGGGGCTTAGAGGCCCAGTACCACCGAGCACACCTTACGCAGACCTGGACACGCAGCAATCAACTGACACCATCACAGACGACGACAACGGGGCGTACGAGAAGCACAAGCAGGACTCTCTCTCCAAGCAGAAGCAGGGCAAGGGCCACTGGAAGTCGGAGCTCGCCTCGGACAGCGAGGAGGCCGTCAAGGCGGACCGCCACGAAGATTCCGACCCCAAGACGATGCAGGAAAAGACCAAGGGCCACGCCGAGGAGAAAGCCAAGGCCGGGACGAGCATGAGTGACACTCACTAAGTGAAGTTCCTTTAGAAGGCCCTTGGCACTGGTTGATGTTTTTTGACCTCAACCCACACACGCGCAAGAAAAGAGCATGAACCATTTTGCACCACCACAGACAGGCTTCAGAGAGTCATGCGACGAGTTTTAGTTTTTTTCTTCTTCCCCACGGGGCTTTGGGGATTCGAGGCGAAGACATAGCGCAATGCGGTAATTAGGAAAATGGCCCGGTGGGTGGGGGCGGTAAAGGTGTTGTCGGAACTGTACTCGTACGCAATCAAGTCGCCCAATCCAAGTCATTGATTTCTGTTTTGCAAAAGGTAGAAAAGGCTGATTGGACATGTGGTGTCTGATGATGAAAAATGGTGTTGACGAACCCGGCCAGGGACAGCTATTCGATGCGATACGGAAGCTCTTCGATGACCCGGTCTTACATTCATTCCACTGGCAAAACAGCACCTTGAAGAGCAGCATACCCAGAATCACGATGATACGAGAGCCTCTGGGTCATTTTGAGTACAGCGTAACAATTCTACGGCACATCTTAGGGCATGCGATATATCGACTATATATATATGCATATTATCGAACCAAGACAAATATACAAAAGTCGTCCCGTTAGTCCGAGGTAGCATCTCTATTTCCTCCACTGAACAGGACAGCCCCTCGCTTGGCTGTTAGTGTGTATGAACCATACAGCAGTTGAGCCCTATGGTGTAAGATCTTTGGGCTTCTGTTCTGTCCATCTCTTCCTCAGCGTATGTGCCGCCATCTTGGGCCTCCGGTCTCTGGTAAAGACGCCCTTCTTGTTGCCGTCCACCCGGAAGATGAAGCTGGAGGGGGTCTGGAAGTGGGCAAAGTTCCAGACGTGCTCGCCGACGACGCTGTCCACGCGGTCGAAGACCCTGTGGCTTATCTCCAGCACCCTGCTCTGGTACTCCTCGCTCCACGGGACGTCGCCGACCGTGTGCAGGCCCGCGAGCGTGTCGGCGCCGTACTCGGACACGATGATGGGCTTCTCGAACTTGGCCGCCCAGCCCCGGAGCTCCGCCTCGAGGCCCTCCTCGGCGGCCTCGAGGTCCCCCGTGTGGAGGTACCAGCCGTAGTAGCGGTTCAGGCATAGGACGTCGAACAGATCCGACATGAGGCACCGGTCGACGCTCGCCTGGTACTCGTTGGCGTAGCACAGGGGCCGCGTGGGGTCCAGCCGCCGGGCGAGGGCCACCAGGGGCTCAAAGTACTCGCGCGCGCCCGGCTCGCTCGCGCCCGGCTCGTTGGCGATGGCCCACATGACGACGGACGAGTGGTTCTTGTCCCGGGCGACGAGCTCGCGGGTGGCCTTGCCGTGGCTCGCCCGCGTCTCGTCGTCGATCGTGTGTCACCCTCGTCTACCTGATACCTTGCGTACTCCCCTTCCCCGAGACCAAGGGGAGGGCCTACCGGGAACTCGACGAGCTGTTCGAGCGGCGCGTGCCGGCGTGGAGGTTTTCCAAGACGAGGACTGCGCACCAGAACGGCATCGAGCTGCGGGCTGCCAACCAGTAGAGAGAGACACCACGCGTGCCATTCATCGAGATACTCTGTAAGAGACCGGTTCTCATGCTCACATCACTTGGGAGTGGTTGATGATCTTTCTTGGGCAGTTGTTCCTATAAGTATACTGGCATAGTTCCGGTCGCCATAGAATTGTAGTGCTTAACATTTGCGCAGTATCACAGTTCGCCTCACAGGCGCTGGGCAGTTTTTGGTAGAAGGGCTTGCGAGATAGGTTTTGAATTTAACTGAATGGCTACTATGCAGTTCAAAGGCGTCTGCCTGACCCGCCCAGATGTGACGGATACCACGCGAGCAGCATCGAGTCTGCCAACTCGATGGAACTAAGCCCAGAAAGCTCCCGGTCAGCGATTTAGCTTGCCGCACTCGTGAAAGACACAACCTTTACGGAGCCACCGAGCGACTTGGTCGCAAAGTTGAAGATGCCGTATCGGTAGCCCATGAAGAAGGGCCAGTCGTTGTTCAAGGTGAGCTGGGAACCGAAAGAAACGAAGTTGTTGCCGTCCAGGCTGTACGAGAAGGAGCCCCTCTTCCCGGAGCCCGGTTTGATGTCGGCGGTGGCGCGGAGCCAGACGCGGCGCTGTGAGACGCCCACGCTCGCGGCTTGGGATCCCGTCGACGAAGTGGCCCAGGTGCTCGCGACCATCTTGAGGCCGTTGTACATGACGATGGAGTAGCTCGAGCCGGAGCGCGCAACCGCGATGTATGCCGAGTCCTGGCGCAGCAGCGACAGGCCGGCGCGGTCGCCATCGGCCAGGTTGGTGAAGTCGATGAGCACGGTACCGGTCCCGACGGGGCCGTGGATACGCTTCGTCAGCGTGTTGCGAGCGGCGTAGAGATCGCTCGTGACCGTGGCCGTGCTCAGGGTCAGCCCGTTGTTGACGCTGAACTTGCTCGTGTCCGGGTTGTGGTTCCACTCCCAGGCCGGGCCGAGGGACGACCCGCTGAAGGAGTCGGTGCCGAGCGGGGACTGCACGGAGCGTTGCGTCGACGGGTAAGGGTAGGAAGTGCCCCAGGCGTTGTTGGACAGGGTCACGGCCGGGAAGCCGTCGGAGCCCCAGGTGACCGGGGCCAAGACGGGGAGCCGACCGCCCGGGTAGGCGTCGATGAAGGCCATGTAGTACCACTTGCCGTCCGGCGTGTCGATGAGGCTGCCCTGGTGAGGGTTTCCCGCCCCGGAAACAGGCGCGGACACGCTCAGGGCGAGCGCCTTGAGGGTGTACGGGCCCCAGGGGCTGCTGGCCTGGAGGACGTACTGGCTGCTCGCCGGCTTGGTGACGAAGATGTAGTACTTGCCGTTGCGCTTGTACATCCGGCTGCCCTCCAGGGTCCCGACATTGGACGGGGTCGAGAACACGACCTGCTTCCGCACCTCGGACAGGCCGTCGCTGGAGAGCTGCGCGACGCTGAGCTGGGTGTTCCCGTACGCCACGTACATGGTGTCGTTGTCGTCGATGAGGAGGCCCGCATCGTAGTAGCACGTGGCGATCCTGGCCTTCTGGGTCCACGGGCCCGTCGGCGACGGAGCGACGAAGACGTACGTGGCGGAGTACTCGATGCAGCCGATCCAGTACCACATCCCGTTGCTCTTGCGGTACTTGAAGGTGGAGGCATAGATGCCCTTGACGTAGGCTTGCTGGCCCCCGGTCAAGCTGTACTTGGAGCCCCAGTCCAGCGACGGGACGGCGTGGCTGAGGTACTCCCAGTTGACGAGGTCGTACGAGCGCAGGATGGGGGCCCCCGGCGAGTAGTGCATCGTCGACGCCGTGTAGTAGTAGGCATCGTTGACGCGGATGACCTCGTTGTCAGCGAGGTCCTCCCAGAGCACGGGATTGTTGAAGTTTTGGCCGAGAACGAAGGATGCGAAGCCCACGGCCGCAGCCAAGATGTTGCGAAGGACAACCATTGTTTCGTAGGAAGAAAAAAAGGACTTGGACAACCAACCAACATTGGGCATCAAAACCGACAAAGGCGACCCATGATTGAGAAAGACCGCCAAGAATAGGCCCAGTTGTTATACTCACGCAGCGGAGAATCATAATTGAGGACATATTGCATTGACAACATCATGTATCCACAACCGATTCGTGGAATACTGAGCCTGACGGCCACCCCCTGACAAAAAAAAGGGAAACTGCGCATTTAACAGGTGCGGGTCTGCCGTGTTACGCCAATTTAAGTTTTTGCAATCTCCACGAGACGACGATCAATATCGAAGTTCCCGCAAGCCAGTCGTTTATTTGGATCTCAGCGCGGCGATTGATTTGCCGTGAGTAGCGGGGCCATAGTCGTTGCTCGTCGAAGAAGTGATCTAGCCAATCGCATCTTCTCAACACGCCCCGGACTCGAGGATAGACACCAGCGTATGGGAACTTCATTTAGCATCGAGTCTATGCAGTGGATGCATTGAAGAAGTAGAAGCCACTGGTTGATGTTAGCGCTTACTCGGACCGGGTAATGATGCCTTTAGTTACTTTGGATACTGTTGTTGACCAAGCAAAAAGACGACGGGGTTGTAGTTGCAGGCACTGGCAACACAAAGACGTCGGGCAACCAGCTAAACCCTCCACAACCACGGAGACTTGTTTCTCCCATAGGTAGGTTAAGCGTCTACGTGGTAGAGTCTCTTTTCAAGCTAGCCCGGGGTTGTAAATTCCGGGACGGGAAAAATATCCAAGTTGACCGCAACGTGATGCGCTAGCTATACGAGGGGCCCGTACTCGTATAATCCACTCTCGAGACCTGCTAGCCAACTCGGTTAAAGTCAGAAGGGGCTTGCCATGGTCAGAAGGGGCTTGCCATGGTCGTCGGCCTTGTGGTGTACGAGCTGGTGTGACACGGAACGGCGACGATGTCTTTAACAAATCCGGCGAATCAAGATCCGGCTGTCCTAGCTGGCGCATGAGAACCGGCTGTGTTATTGATGCGAATTGCAAAATCCGCTCTCATGCCCACACCACGACGGACCGGGTTGGTCACATGAGCGCAATACCATATACTCGCTACCGAAAAACGGATTAGCCTGATCCACGGTTGCAGCACGCAGCCTTGCATTTCGTTGTTGACAAAAGAATGCCAAGTAGCCTGGTGACAACGATATATGATGCCAACGGTCTCTTGGCGATGGCATCAGCCATTCAACTGCTGAAATGGGTTGACTGTTGGGGAAGGCGCTCATCACGCATGTCTTGCGGACGTCAGGAATCCTGCCACGCCAACTATATTCAACGAAATGCTGTATTTTCCGTCCTATGGGTTGCGAATGTCACCGGAATATGCGGCTCCGCCGTTGTCGTGTCAGACACTCTCATACGCGATCCAATGAGGGCTCGTCAGATTACTGTAGATACAACTCCAAGGAGACAACATGAAGCAGGCGGCGAAGAAACGCATCTCGATGGCGTGCCTCGTCGTGGTCGTCATCGTCGTGGTCGTGGTCGTGGTCGTTGTCGTTGTTTTTGTTGACGAATATAAAATACCTATGACCCAGATGTGAATCCAATGCAGTCTAGCTAGTCTCCATCGAACCGACCCAAGAGCCCCTCGAAGGCATAAGTCAACATGAAGTTCCAGCTCGCGTTCCTCTTTGTGCCGCTGGCCGCCGCTCTGCCCACGGAGTTCCAGAGCAGCAACGCTGAACTGGCAGCCCGCTCAGCGTTGGAGGACCGCCAGGCCTCTATCAGCATCGACCAGCGGTTCAAGAACAGGGGCAAGGTCTACTTCGGAACTGCCACTGACCGCGGCCTGTTGCAGAGGGAGAGAAATGCGGCCATCATCAGGGCCAACTTCGGCCAGGTCACGCCGGAGAACAGCATGAAGTGGCAGTCCCTCCAGCCGAACCAGGGCCAGTACAACTGGGGCGACGCCGACTACCTCGTCGACTTTGCCACGCAGAACGGCAAGTCAGTTCGCGGGCACACCCTCATCTGGCATGCCCAGCTCCCTACGTGGGTTTCCAACATCCGCGACGCCAACACGTTGCGCAACGTGATCCGAACCCACGTCACTACCGTCGTGACGCGCTACCGTGGCCGTATCCGCGCCTGGGTGAGTAGACGGAGGTTCTCTTTCCCCCCCTTCGTGTAGTGGTGTTTTTGACAGCACTCCATGACTAGCTGAGTTGAATCGAGTTGAGATGGCAATGGTTGCTGACGGAACACAAGGACGTTGTAAACGAAATCTTCAACGAGGACGGCACGCTTCGCACCTCCGTCTTCTCTACCGTGCTGGGAGAGGAGTTTGTCAAGATCGCTTTCCAAGCGGCCCGCGCCGCCGACCCCAACTGCAAGCTCTACATCAACGACTACAACCTGGATCGTGCCGGGGTCAGCAAGGTCAACTTGATGCGCTACTACGTTGACAAGTGGATTTCCGAGGGAGTCCCCATTGACGGCATTGGTATGTTGTGTGCTTTGAAAGATTCACATGTCTTCTTCCCGTTTCCCGTTGTCCACATAGCTAATGCTAGTGCACCATGAAGGCACCCAAACGCATCTCAGCGCCGGCGCGGGCAGTGCTGTGCGTGGTGCCCTCGACCAGCTCGCCTCGGCCAGGGTTACTGAGATCGCCATCACTGAGCTCGACATTGCGAACGCGCCCACGGCTGACTACAACGCCGTCGTCAGCGCCTGTCTGGCCGTCCCCAAGTGCGTGGGCATCACCGTCTGGGGTGTCAGTGACAAGGTATGTGCAAATTGTGCCCGTCGCCGTTTACCAAACGTGGCATCACTGCTATTTCGAGGGTTCGGTACTAACGCCTGCACAGGACTCGTGGAGAACGGGAGCCAACCCTCTCCTCTTCGACGGCAACTTCAACCCCAAGGCGGCATACAACTCCATTATCCAGCTCCTTGGCTGAGCTCGGCGTCTAGATCCTCGGATGAAGTCAATGCCCAGCAAGTTGCAGCATGCAAGGAAACTATTTTCCCTGGGTGGACATGCTTAGTTGTACTGTTTTGTTTTTTTGGCCGAAGAGATGCCATCCACAAATATGAAACCATGGAGAGACGTCTATTATTCCTGTCTCGTTGCCTCGTTGTGATGTCATCCATTCATTCTGTGTTCGAATTCCAATATCGACAGAGTTGAGAGCCCTTCATCCAGACTGACCGGCGTCCAAGGCTAGTCCAACATCTCTTGGCCGGCCCTAGATGGTGACAAAGCGTGAGACATTCCAGCGAATCGGAAAAGTACTGATTCGACTTGGGTAGGCCAAGGATAATCTGCGTCAGATGGTCTAGAACATTGCCCCATTGGCCAGGAACCGGCCAGAATTCTTCAGACGGTTCGGTACTGTACTATTCCCACTTTTCGGCCACATGCGTCTCCGCGCGTGCTCAAAGCCCAAGGTTAACACACAATATTGATGTGCTGATTTGTGCTTATAAAAACGGTCGAGTTTGCGAGGCAGCGTGTATTACACACACTGGTCGTGAAGCAGGGAAAACCGTGCTTCAATCACTTGTCAAGGACCCTCGCCTTGACGAAGCGGTTGATTTGCTCGCGAGTAAGCTTGTCGTTGTACTGATCATGGCATTCGTAGAATGAGATCATCTCCTGAGTACAATCAACCATGGGGGGGATTTCGACGTTGCACTCGGCCAGCCAGGCACCATACCGCTGCACCCGGCCGAATCTAGCCTCCGGTTGCTTCTCCTTGTCTGCCAGATTCGGCGTTCCTGGCGTGGGAGGCAGTCCTGGCATCCTCCCCTGAGCCTGGGCCAGCGCCGCACTTGCGGCAGCAATGCCTGCGGCCGTTGGCTGGTTCGAGCCGGTCATATTCGAAGACGGTCGCAGGATCAGCACGAGCAGGATTGCGGTGAGTGCAATGATGTGCGGCGGGTACAGCAGGGGCAGGTCCGTCATGTAATGGTCGTTGATGATTGACCAGCCCAGATTCACGTCATCCTGTGTCAGGTGCAGTTCCTGTTGGTAGTTGTTCAAGGTTCGGTACGGCGCGTGGACTATGAGCTGGGAGCTCATCTCGGAAATCATGAAGAACTCGCACTCGCCGAGCTTCGATGTATCGAGGCTAAGGAAGTCGGGCCACAATGAGCGCGCCTCGCTGACAATCAGTCGGATATGCTGTGGGCACTCCTCCATCTTGCAGGCCAGATAAAGGGCGGTCGCGACGACCAGATAGGGGTTCGTTCGGCGGATCTCGACCTTGGTATAGAAGCGTTTGATGTAGACCTGGGCGGTGGCCATGGCTTGCTGCCGGATGACCATTCGTTTGCCGAGACGGTTAACCTCTGAAGGCGGAGCGAGTCAGTAGACGGACAGCGGACCCGACAAACTCCAAGCGACTCACGTTGATTAAAGAATATGGCCAAGTGCCGGGGTTGCGGGAGAGGGAACATCTGAACGAGCTCGGCATTGTCGTCTTCGAGTTTCTGGCGCACATCTTGTAGTTCGTCTTTGGAGAAGAGCCAGAAGCGACGCTGAGTCGATTCCCAGTAGTTGGCTGCCATAATGACCTCCCCTGGGCGCTCGGGTCGGAGCCTATGACATGATATGTGGTAACAGCTCTATAGTTGTGATGAGAGGACACGACACAGTGAGTAGCTGGAAAGACAGGACAGACAAAGCGCCGGCGAGTGGCTAGTCAAAAGGATGGATGCCAGATACTATGTACTGAGTACGGATAGATGTCAGGGACCAACTTGTGGCTAGTGATACCTGATAGCCGATAAGCGATAGCACGGAAGATGCACGCCCGCCGGCTAAGGGGACTTTCAGAAACGAGCAGGAATAGCACTGAAGCTCATTGCTGGAACACTGGCAGCTCTCGGAAGCGGTGCTAATTGGCGGCAGCTGATTGCCTCGCTTGTCTCACAGTGGAACCCATGGAAACCCACCCCTCCCATGTTGCCGAGCTTTTGACGCCGTGGTTTCGGCGCGAACCACTTGCGGCAGGCGGTTCTACTTTTTCCTGGTCGCTGCACCTCGCAATCCCCCCCCCTACGTCAGTCCTTGTGACTTGCAGTATGCAAGTGTGTCGCGACAACACAACGCCTTCTTGAACCCTTCGCTCCCACCATGTCTTCCTAAGAGAAACAAAGAGAGAGACACACACACCCCGCTATATACTCCACGATATTACTCGTACCTGCCGCCGCCGTCGCCGCTGTCGCCGCCTTATGACTTCCTTGTCGAGCCCGAAACCTCGACTCTACAGCCCTGCGTCCTGATGCCGGCGCCGCCATGGGGGTAACAGAATGGGTTGCCGAGCGCCGGATGGAGGTGGATGAATCACAGAACCAGCGGGATAAACGGGTCGAGGACCTCTGGAGGCAATTGGATCCTAATGGCTCGGGACATTTGGACTTCAAGGGGTTGCAGAAGGGGTTGAAGAAGATCGATCACCGTCAGCATGTCCGAAGCTCCCGTACGGTTCGGTGATGGCTGACCTTGCGCTGCAGCCATGAAAAATGCCGACGACATGTTGCGGAAAATCATGAGCGTCGTCGACACGAACCGCGACGGTAAAATCCAATACGAAGGTGAGCTCCATCGCGGGAGCCTGGCGGATGCTGGAGCTATTGGCCGGGTTCCCCTGTCATGTGGCCTGAGGGAATAGAATAGCTGCTGACCATGACAACACCCGCCTTCCAGAGTTCCGCTACTTTGTCGAGCAGACAGAGACGCAACTGATGATTCTGTTCCAGTCCATAGATAAGGACAACGATGGCCGACTCGACAAGACAGAGCTGCAGGAGGCCTTCCGACGGGCTGGGCTTGTTGTGCCGATGCGCAAGCTCGGTGCCTTCTTTGGCGATATGGACATGAACAACGATGGCTACATTAGCTTTGAAGAGTGGCGGTAAGTGTGGATGTGTCCTTGGTCGTTTTACTTCTTCTTGGTCGAGTTTTGATCTGCGGCCGTCTGTTTTGTAATCGTGAGCACGTAGATGGATATAAGCGCAAGGGGTCGGGCGCACCGCACATGGCGATTTGCCCTCGGTGTAGCTCGGTGTAAGAGAAGAGGCGGGAATCTGGTCGCCACGGATCCTTGGTTCTGTCCGAGTTTGTGTTTCCGCCGGCGCGATTTTGTCTGTTTTCTCCGACAGCAGCAGATTCACTGACAAGATGACCAACCTGCCCAGAGATTTTCTTTTATTTATGCCGACACCAAACAGCCATGCACCCTTGAAGGCCGTGCTGGAGTATTATTCTTCCATCGTCACCCTCTCTGCTGAAGGTGACTCGATGGTATCGGAGGAGACACTTGAGAGCTCAGGTACGACCGGCTTCCTTCTGCAAACCCTCTTTGGATCCATTTTGAGGATCGCATCCCTTTCTTCGGACCGTGAGCCCGGCGCCACCGACGAGCCCCTCACCGACATCAACGGTCGACCCGTGGTTGTGGCCGTGCCTTCCCAGGAAGAAGCAGCCTCGCCCCTTCCCGGTCTTGCGCAGCTGCCCGCCTCAACAACGCAGCAACAGCGGCAACCACGGGGTAATTCAACGCACAACGGCAGCTTCGCTTCTTACACGGATTCCCCCTCTGCCTCGCAGCAGCAAACACCGTCCACGCGGCCGATGGTATCGTCAATATCTCCTCCCGGCTATTCAGGTACCAGCGCCAACATGAACAATATGAACATGGAGGCAGCGGTGCTGCAGGCGTGCATCGAGGCCGCAGACGAGAAGCGCGCAGGCATCCTTCCAAGACTCCCCGGCGTCGGCACCTCTCAAGCGAACCGGGTCACAGGCGATAGCTCCGAGCAAGGCTCCAGCTCCAGCTCAGATGCAACTGTAGCACCCAAGACCAAGAGACTGACTGACCTCGCTCCTGATCCAGGTTACTTCATTGCGGGTGCCGTCGCCGGAGGACTATCGCGAACCGCCACCGCTCCCCTCGATCGACTGAAGGTTTATCTTCTTGTCAACACTCGAGCGAGCACCGAGACTGCGGCTACTGCCCTCAAGCAGGGACGTCCACTGCTCGCCCTTCGCAATGCAGTTAGACCCTTCAGTGACGCTGTCAAGGATCTCTGGAAAGCTGGCGGTATCAGGAGTCTGTTTGCAGGTATGGGCCTTTTTCTTTCTTTCTTTCTTTCTTTTCCTCCCTCTCCGTTTCCTTTTCTAGCCTGCTTTTTTTATTTTATTTACACTGAAGCCTCGAACTCCCGGGGTTTCCCAATGCGCAAAGTGCAAGTGTAGATAAGGGACAGAGAGGTCTTGGGAATTTTTCACTGACTTAACAAGGCAATGGACTTAACGTCATCAAGATCATGCCTGAGAGTGCCATCAAGTTTGGATCGTATGAGGCCGCGAAGCGAACCCTCTCTAAGCTCGAGGGCCACAACGATCCCACAAATATCAACAGCTACTCAAAATTTGTTGCGGGCGGCGTCGCTGGCATGGTTGCTCAGTGAGTTCTTCTCAGATTCCCTTATTTGTTGCTTGTACTGCCAGTCACCGTCGCTACACGGCTTGGTCAATGGAGGAGTTGCTGTTGTCCTTTCTGGCATCTTTGAGCCGTCACGGTTCTCGTTGCCGTTCTTTGTTTCACTGCTGACGCCAAGCCCCTCAGGTTCTGTGTATATCCGTTGGATACACTCAAGTTCCGACTCCAGACGTCAACGGTCCAGGGCGGCCTCTCTGGAAATGCCCTTGTTCTCGACACGGCCAAGAAGATGTGGCAGGCTGGTGGTGTGCGCATCGCCTACCGTGGCGTCACAATGGGTCTGTTGGGCATGTTCCCCTACAGTGCCATCGACATGGGCACGTTCGAGTTTCTCAAAACCTCGTACAAAAAGTACATGTCGAAATATCGTGGCATCCACGAAGAAGATGTCAAGCCAGGCAACATCATGACTGGCATCATTGGGGCCACCAGCGGCGCTTTTGGAGCATCGGTGGTGTACCCTCTCAATGTCCTCCGTACTCGTCTCCAAACCCAAGGCACCGTCATGCACCCTGCAACCTACACAGGCATCGTAGATGTTGCACAGCAGACGCTCAAGAACGAGGGCATGCGGGGCATGTACAAAGGACTCACACCCAACCTGCTCAAGGTTGCTCCTGCATTGAGCATCACCTGGGTTGTGTACGAAAACTCAAAGAGACTCCTCGGGTTGGAGTAAGGAGGAAAACTTGCGAGGCAGGAAACAAGGGATTGGAATCACTACGAAGTGCCAGAGCGTGGCATAAGATGGATCTCGTATTTGAATCATTGAGGAGGAATTGGAATGCGTCGTAGAGCTGCTTTCCGCTGGCCCAAGGGGGGACGGGCAGCCCATTTTTGTTACATAGCCATCGTCCATGGCGTTTAGAAGATGTGGGGGAGATATACCAGAAGACTTGTTTTATGCTGGGGCGGAAAGAAACCGAGCTGGCGGTGGTTTTGCGAATCTACATTGGTTCAACCGCCTCAGATACATATGTGTGCCCAATACAGACGAATGCCGGCATGTTAGCGGCCGACGCCCATGTGGATGAGCACTGCTTGCTTAACCAGTCGAGGCTATGGTGACGTTGGCGACGGAGGTTGAGGCCTTTTATGAACCAAGTGCTTCCAATGAGCCAGTCCCACCCCCCAGAAGCCAAGCTTAATTCCTGGTGATATAAAAAGAGGAAAAAAGAAAAAAAGAAGAAGAAGAAAAATGCTTGATAGATTATCCGTACTTGGCACTGGGACGAGGAATGCAACGTGGTCGGCCCGCCCTATACAAAAAGCTTACGTCGCGATCGTCGTCACCCCGTGTGGCCTTGCAGGGGAGTCTCAGATCATGGAGAAGCTTGATTGATGGACACTGGTCAATAGACATGCAGACGACGTTTGTGATTCGTAACTCTTGGGAAACAAACCCCCTCCCCCCTGTTTGGAAGCGATATCCGACGTCGGTGAGCCCGGGGAGAGGGAAGGGAGACTTTTGTCAGCGTACTCTGTACGGAGTACTGTTGGTAGTAATATCGGGCAAAAGATGGCCCACCTTGGCGAGGGATTTTGGCGCACCTGATTGATAACGGCTCGCCGTGCTTGGCGACTTGGCTTCGTACCTCAGTAGGTACTCCGTAGGAGTAGCGTTAATTTGACGTAGGCGATTTGGTATTTTGACGTATCTAAGCCCCTTTCAGCAGGAGCCCCACTACTACAGCCACACAGTAGGCCCACTTGGCCCACCTACAGAATCTTAATATACAGTACAAGCTAGGTAAAACCTAGAGGCAAGAAACAGAGGTAAAAAACAGAAGTAGAAAATAAGTAAAAATAGGTAAAATATAAAAGGGATAGTTGTAGCCTATCCTAGCCTAGAGCGTAGCGTAGGAAGCAGGGTGGGATAGACTATTCTAACCCTCCCTAGCGGAGCTGTTTTGTACCTTAGAGGAGGTGGTACTTTTGTAAGCATGGGCCTGCTGTGGCTGTGTGGCGAAGCTACCAAATGCAGTTAGATACGTCAAAATACCAAATCGCCTACGTCAAATTAACGCTACTCACTTTGTAGGCATGGCGGATAAAGTTGTTGCTTGGCTTTCTGCCCCCACCATTTCCTAGTGGCATGTCCAATTGCACCGGAATCCTGGTCCTGGTCCGATGGTATCATGGTATGATAGGTAGCTGTCCAACTCTTCATCCCTTGCAGAGGATTGGTGGTAGGCTCGTCTTACATTCTCCACCATGGAAACTACCAATCGACTCCCGCCGCAAATCCGCGCCTTTTCGTTAAACAGCTTCCTGTTTCGTTTGGGCGCAAGCATGTCACGCAAGAGGAGCTGCAGCGTAGCAACTACACAGTAGGAAGCAACTGGGGCGTGTGCGTGTATGTCTCACCCGCAGTAGTCGAACAAGTCCTCGACACCGCCATCGGCCGCGGTGACGGTACGCCGTCTCGTATCTTCCCTAATCGACGAGCTGACGAGTCGCCTGTGCCCTTGTTGCGATGTCGAATTCCCTTCGCCGCATTGAGTACAGGCGCCATGGGGATTACGGTCAGTCAGTCAGTCAGTCACAGGCTCTTCCTGAGCGGGCATCGCTCAATGCAATCCTACCGTTGGTTCCTCTCTATCACTCTGTCCCCGTCCATCCATCCGTTCCTCCCCCTCCCCCTTCTTCCTGTCCCGACCAAGTGAACGCGCAAACTTCGTCGTGGCCCCAACTGCTCCTCGTTCCACCCTTCACAAGTCTTACGATAATTGTATCGTGACAAAGCATAACGTCGTCTAAGCGCCTCGCGTCCTGTCAATCGTGAAGCGCTGGTCAGCATCCCGTCCGTTGTGAGACAGAAGCTTTGCTTTGACGTGGACTGTTTGACACCGTTTCTTGGCGTCCGTTCTTCCCGTCTACGACGCTGCGCGTATCAGCCAAGTCGCTTCGCGAATCAGTCACTACCACTCCAGTTGACTGTTCTACAGACGACCACTCAAGGTTCCAGAACAAGGGGCAGGAGCTCAAACATCAGGGACCCAGCATTTGGAAACAGAACGTCGCAATACATCGGACGAAATTCAAGCAAAAAACATTGCCAGGGAGACCGAAATAGATCCCGCCGCCATGCCGGCCCCATATTCTGACGATTTGTATTCGGCTGACGACTCCGACTATGATGATCACGTTACCGACGACAACGACCTCGATCATCACCTCTCACCTACTGACGGCTACTTCCAGAACAGTACATCGACCTCGTCAGACGGAGGAATTTACCCTCCGCAACAGGAACACTTTCACAGCCAGGACGACGTAACCGACGCCACCTTTCCCACCTCTGCCGGCGTGCCGCATGTGCCCAACATCCTCGTCCAGGACCCGTCGCTGCGTTTGCAACAAGAGGGGTCCTCCACTACCTCCCAGAAAGATCGCGAAGCAAGGGAAGAGGCAAGGTTAAATTCACCGCCCGTTGGTAGGACCTCGTCGTCACCCGCCACCCCCACCGACGACCATCACTATTACGACGGTTCCTCTACTGCAGCCGATAGCGAGGCGACGCCGTCACATACAACGGCGGCGACGACGACTGCGTATACTTACACCTCCTCCAACGCCGCCCAAAGCTCCTCGTCGTCTTATACACCATACGCGCCCTCTGTCGACGCTCCCCTGCGCACGCCCCAGACTCACCCAAGTAGGAGCCTGTACTCACAACCGGCCTCACTGTTCCGTATCCCCAGAGAGGCACCCCCCGCTTACACGCCGTCGCCCACGTCCCCACTGGCGTCATCTCCCACACCGTCCAGGAACTACCAGACCTTCAGCAGCAACATGGGAGCACGCGAGGAAGAGGCCCGCCTGCTGGGTCGCGACCCCGAGAGCATGGGCGACGACTCATACGACAGCCACGACCCGAGGCCGTCGCCGTCATGGAAGGACAGAGTCCTCAAGAAATTCTCGAGACGGACCGTGAAGACGGCGCTCCTTGTCGCCTTGGTCTTTTTTACCCTGACCGGTTTCCTCAGCATGCTGGCCACAGCCGTCGTAAGCGTGGTATGTATGACCCCGCGCCCTCGCCTACTGTCCTCAAGTTAACGTCCTTAGCCGTCCGATAAACCCCCCTCAACGGAACCCCCAAAGGAGCTTGACCCCGTCACCGGCCAGCCGATTAAGGTCGGCCCTTCTGAACCAACCCAGCCCAGTGAGCCGAACAGCCCCGTGCCCTGGAATCCCTCCAGGACATGCTTGCAGTCAGAGTATCGCTTCGACCCCAAGGTCTTTGGCGTCTCTTTCAACCCCGACAAGACCCTGAGCATCATCCAAGCCGTCGAGAGTGACGCGCCCTCCCGCGGGTACCGGCCTCAGGTCACCGGCGACCTCGTCGTTCGCCGCCTGCAAGGCAGCGCTCCTGGACCCTCTGTCGAGCTTGAGGTCGTCGCCAATCACGACGGCCTCGACGTCGGTGTCGACTGGGACTCGGAACTGCAACGGCTCCTGATTAAGGTCCCTCAGCGCATCGACTGGACCAGCTCTCTTCGTCCCTGCCTGGCTGTACGCGCTACTCTTTGGGTGCCCGAAAACGCCGAGCTGTCGCATCTTTATCTTGGCACGACGCACCTCGGCGTCGAGCTTGCGGACGACCTCTCCGTCACCATCAAGAACGGCTTTGAGATTGTCGCTATATCCGGCGACGTCCACACCCCCGTGGAGCCTTCTAGCACGTATCGTCTCGGTTCACGCGACATTGCCGTCAAGACCATTTCCGGCGACATCACGGGTTCGTGGCCGCTCTACGACTCCCTCAAGATCAGAAGCGAGTCGGGCGATATCCACGCGAACGTCAACCCCCAACCAGTCCTCGAGTCCGCGCCGCGCCCCGCTGTCCTCGAGGTCACCAGCATCTCGGGCACCATCAGCATTAAGGAACCCCTAGACCAGGCAGCGAGTAGCACCAAGCCCGACGCCGTCATCCCGCCCCGCGACTACGTCACCACGCTCGACGCCAAGTCTGGCGGCATTCGCGCCTGGGTCGCCTTCACCACCCTCGCCTTGGCCGAGAGCATCAGTGGCGACGTCGCTGTTGAGCTCCTGCCCGTATTCAACATCAGCTTGCTGCAGTCCCTCGGGGAGCCCGAGCTACACACCAGCACCAAGAGCGGCAACGTCGCTATCAAGATGCTTGAGCCCATCTGGGTCGAGATCGCGAGCACCGAGGGCACCCCCGGAGGAGAGAAGCCGAGGGCCAAGCCCGACGAACCCATCGACATCCCTACCAACCCCCTGCCCGTGCCCAACATCCCCAAGATCCCTCGCGTGCCGAGTGCCCCGTTCATCCCAGGCATCGGACAGCCATTCAGACGCAGCCCCCTATGGGCCGGTAAATGGACCGACGCGTGGCCAGTCAGACGCTCCTCAGCGGATGCCTCGACCCAAACCGAGGAGCGCGACATCATGGCCAACGACCAGCCGCCGATGCGCCTCAAGTCCAGCCACAGCACCATCAGCGGAACCATGGAGATCCACTACCCGGCCTCATGGGAGGGTTCCGTTAGAGCCGAGAGCAACAGCGGCAAGATTAACATCCGCGGCAAGGGCGTCACGATTGACAGCAGGACGACCTGGCCTAGGGCCGTCCATGCGCACAAGGGCCAACCCTTGTCCTCCTCCGCCTCGCTCAGCAGTATCTCTGGTGACCAGACTCTGCTCATCGGCTAAGTCTAGGTTGGTGCAGATGGAGGATAAACCTGCGGTGGAAAGCCGCAAGGAAAAAGAGGGTTGTAGTAATAAACGACAAAACATCCAGATATGCAGGAAATATGTGGACAGACATTACGCTGTTATGTGCGATGAGAGGGGAAGGAGGAGGAGGAGGATCCAAAGACCGGGCTGGACGAAGGATGCTACATACCTGTCGTTACGGGATTCGGACTGGCTTTTTCTTTTCTTTTTCGAGAATCACGGCGTTGGGAAAGAAACCCTCATCGTTGGATGGGTGAGATTTCACATTTACACGTTTTAGCACCATACCATCGAGGTTAGCGCAACCTCGAATTTCCTATTGTTTCCAACACATAAAGACATGAAATTGGCAACAACAAGACCTTTTGAACTAGCTGGCCTCTTGCGGTGTGCTTTTTTGTCCCCCCCCCCCCTTTTTCTTTTCTTCTTTTTTTGAAAAGGAAAAAAAGAAGAAGCCATTTTGTAGTAATACACGGATATCTAACGCTGTGACCGAGACACACAAGATCCCTAAACCGCGACTCTCGTCTTCGCCCGCGCCCCCCTCAGCCTCTCCCGCCTCACGCCGTTGAGCCGCCTCCTCACCCTCTCCTCGGCCTTGCCCTCCTCCAGCGCCCTCTTCCTCAGCACCGCGGCCGCCCTCGGGGTCCTCTCGCCTGTTCTGCTGCTGCTGCCGCTGTCGCCGCCCCTCGCGATGCCGTCCAGCAGCCCCATGTCCACCTTGCGGTACCGGAACTCGTACTGCACCCACCGCTCCAGCCCGGGCAGGCAGACGCCCAGCGTCGGCAGCGCGAGCATCCGCAGCATCTCCTCGCCCGTCTCCTCGTCGCGGTTGACGGCGTACAGCGCCGGCAGCGTGTACCGCACCTTGCCCGGCGCGAAGCGTTTCAGCATCCCCTCGAGGCGCGCCCTGGCGTCGTCGCCGTCGTCGCCGGTGACGCTGCTGCTGCCGCCGTAGGCGGACTCTTCGGGGCGGATGTTGGATGGGGTGTCTGCGTCTGCGTCTGCGTCGGCACCGCCAGCCGCTGGCGGGGACTGGCCCGGACCCAGGGCTTCCCGGAACGCCTTGGCGTGGATGGGCGCGAACGGCGCGACGCGGAACACGGCCTTGACGCGCCCCCGGACGCGGACCCAGAACCGCCCGTCCCAGAGCCGGAAGCGGCGCCACGAGTACCACCGCCTCGATTTGAACTCATGCGACGGCAGCGGCTGGCGGTGCAGCTGCGCGATCCTCTCCTTGTCCGCCACCACCCTCGCCTCCGCGGGCTTGTCGCCGTCGCCTCCGGCGTCCTCAGCGTCGGCGGCCTCGGCCGGCGGGCGGTCCCGCTTGATCGGCGGGAAGATCGGGTACCGCTGGTCGTCCAGGTTCTTGGCCGTGTAGAAGTCCATCTCGGGCGGCGGGTGCAGCGAGGGGTAGGGCTCGCGGACGAGGTACCACCTGCCGGGCGCGACGGGGAGGAAGAGAACCGAGGCCTGGTTGAAGGCCTTGGGCGGGGTCGCGGGGTCGGAGGGGTCGGCGAGCGCGGGGAAGAGCCTGCCGACCACGGTCTGCAGCGACGACAGCTGCGGCGGGTTGCGGTCTGGCGAGACGAAGGCGACGAGCCTGCGCACTATCAGCGCAGCGATGAGCCGCCTGTGCGCGAGCCGCAGCTCGCGCCTCGCGTCGTCGTAAACCGACTTCCTCGTCCTCGTCCTCGTCCTCGTCCCCCGCGCCGCCGCCCGGCCGCCACCGCCGGGCACCCCCATGTCGGGCAGCCGAACGGCCAGGGTGCCGACGTTGGGCTCGAACTCGGCGTCCGAGTACCTCCGCAGCCACCGGTCCGCCTCGTGCTCCTGGCCCCTGACGCGGGCGTCGCACCGCGCCGCGAGGCGCAGGACGTTGTCCTTGCGCAGGGCGGCGGGCAGGGCGTGCTCGCGCACCATGTGGCGCACGGCGTTGCGCATGGTCAGCGTGCGGTCCTTGTTCGTGGAGTCCTCGAACCAGCGGACGTTGTTGGCCTCGCATGTGGCCACGAGCCTGTCCTTGCCGAAGCCGAGCAGCGGGCGGTAGATCATGACGCCGGCGTCCTCGACGCTGATGCGCGGCATGTTGCGCGCGGCGGCGGCGGCGGCGGCGGCCCTCGCCCTGGCGGACGCCGAGCTCGCCGCGCGGGAGAGCGCGTCGGTGGCAGTGCCGCCGCCGACGTAGGGGCTCTCGTGCCAGTCGACCTGCAAACCGGCGCGCAGCTCGGCGGCGTAGAGGTCCATGTCGAGTTCGGACCGCAGCTCCATGCGCATCGACTTCCAGTCCTTCTTGTGCGGGCGGAAGCTGACGTGCGGGATCGGCATCATCTGGTCGTCGACGTGGCCGCTCTCGTAGACGCCGTGCATGTCGTAGCACTCGGGGATGTTGGCGGCGGGCGAGATGCCCCGGAGCCCGCGGCTGCCGTGGCCGGCGAGCAGGCGCATCAGCACCGTCTCGTGCTGGTCGTCCTGGTGGTGGGCGAGGAAGAGGCTCTCGATGTGCAGGGCGGCGCAGAAGATGCCCAGGCGGCGGTAGCGGGCGCGGCGGGCGGCGCTCTCGAGGTTGGGCAGGGCGGCCGGGTCGCCCTCGACGCCCTCGGCCCTCCAGTTCACCCTGTCTATGTGGGCGCGCAGGTAGCGGAGGGTCCTGAGCTCGCGGGCGACGCCCTGGGCCTCGGCGTCGCTGCCGGGGCGGAGCCCGTGGTCGACGACGAGGGCCGAGATCTTGGTCAGCGGGTTGTCGACGACGCGCACGAGCGGGTTCACCTCGCGGAGGCGGTTGAAGAGGTAGGCGAGGGCCATGGAGTCGACGCCGCCCGAGACGGCGAGCCCGATGCGGCGCGGCTGCGAGGTGCGGGCATGAGGGAACCGGGGCGGGGCCGCGGCGCGGAGGGCGTCGGTGAACTCGATGAGGCTTACGGGCTTCGGCGTCGGGTGGAGGTATTGGCGGGTGGCGGCGGCGGCGGCTGCTGTTGCTGATGCTGCTGCTGCTGATGCTGCCGCGGTCGCGAGCGGCGAGGGGTTGGTGAGGCCCATTCCATCGTGTGGTGGCCGGGTTCGGCAGGCTCTCGGTTTCGTTCGCCTGTATGTGTGTGTGTGTGTGTGTGCTTGTAGGTCAGCGTTGTACAGCACGCCCGTGCTGGACTTTCGTCTCTTTTTTTCTTCTTCTTTTCTAAGAGCTCGACGAGATCAATCGCGTGATGTTGTTGTTATTATTGTTGCCAATTGACGAATCAGTGAGACTCGGAGAGCCACATACACACAAACAAACACACTGACACCGTCGAGCGATGGATAGAAAAGAAGGGGAAAAAAAAGAAAACAAAAATGGAGCTTCGGCCGTTCACCCGCACGCGCGCCGGGAGCTCCAAGCTCGGTCCATTCGGAGGAAAGATTTCCCAAGTTTGTCTTCCTAATTAGCCCCCTGCTCGGACGGTCCACCGAATGCCTCGGCGAGTCGGAGCTCCAACGCAGGACCCCTACTGTAGCCTTTTTTTTTTTCCTTTGCCAGCAGGGGAGGGCGGATGGGGTGTGCGGGTGAACGACCGATCGTAGCTCCGATATCTACGGATAACACCTCGCGATATCTACGCCTATCCACAAACACCTCTCTCCCTCAACCTCCTCCCCCCATAGCACTAATGATTACTTGGTCGTCGTCATAACACCGGGCTCCGGCCTTTCACTCTTTTCCACCATCTAATCGCGCACAATCGAGCCATACCAGGCTCTCTCTGTCGCACACTCGAAACCGCCCATCCAGCACGCGACCAAAAACCCGCCACAAGCCTCGACCCCAATCCGTTTCTGACACCTCCGCCTCCTGAGAACTCGAACCCCCTCGAAATCTTCTCCCTCCCATCCGAATCTCCCTCCTCTAGCGACGCGGAACGTCCAGATAGAAGGCACGCCTCCAACCCTCAAAAGAAGAAGAAAAAAACATGACCTCCTCGAACCCCCCCTTCACGACAGCCCTGCTCGCGGGCGGCATCGCAGGCACCACCGTCGACCTCTCCCTCTTCCCCCTCGACACACTCAAGACCCGCCTCCAGTCCTCGGCCGGCTTCTTTCCCTCGGGCGGCTTCACCGGCATCTACCGCGGCATCGGCTCCGCCGTCATCGGCTCCGCCCCGAGCGCCGCCTTCTTCTTCTGCACCTACGAGGGCTCCAAGTCTCTCATCTCCTCCCGCCTCGCCTCCCTCTCCTCCTCCTCGTCGGTCCTCGACGATCGCAAGGCCGGCTGGGTCGACCCCGTCTCCCACATGCTCGCCGCCTCCCTCGGCGAGATCGCCGCCTGCGCCGTCCGCGTCCCCACAGAGGTTGTCAAGCAGCGCGCCCAGGCCGGCCAGCACGGCGGCTCCTCCCTCCTCGCCTTCCGCTCCATCCTCGCCCAATACAACACCCCCGCCGGCCTCGCCGGCGTCTGGCGCGAGCTCTACCGCGGCTGGTCCATCACCGTCCTCCGCGAGGTACCCTTCACCATCATCCAGTTCCCCCTCTGGGAGCGCCTCAAGCGCTGGGGACGCGAGCGCAAGCAGAACAAGAACTGGAAGCTCGGCCCCGCCGCCCGCCAGACCGAGTACGAGGTCAGCGCCGTCGAGAGTGCCCTGTACGGCAGCGTCGCCGGCGCTGCCGCCGCCGGCATCACGACGCCCCTCGACGTGCTCAAGACGAGGGTCATGCTGAGCCAGCAAAAGGAAAGGGTTGGCGACGTGCTCAAGACGATATACAAGGAACATGGCATCCGCCCCTTCTTCGCTGGTATCGGCCCGAGAGTCATGTGGATCAGCATCGGCGGTGCCATCTTCCTCGGCAGTTACCAGTTTGCCGCAAACACCCTGACCGGTGCCGTACTATCATGATAATCCAAGGGGTTTGGGGGGGCGGGGTCGAATCGAGGCAGACAGACGTGCGCCCGTGCAGTCGCGTAGAACCATCATGCATGTGCCATGATCTGGAGGAGGGCAGCTGGCGGCGTGAAAAGAAAGATTCTGTATTGGGGGAGGGCCCGCATCCGTCCCCGCCCCCTTTCGCTGTATAAATATGCTGAGGTATCCAGCCGCATTAGATGGGCTGCGCTTGACAACTTTTCCGCTATGTACATTACTGAAAACGCCAAAATACCCGTACTGATAGAAGTCATAGGCCGCTCCACTCATACTTCTTGGTCCGCGTTATTGTACACGAACCAATTGTCCATGAGTACTTTACAAACATCAAACGACCTCTGTACCAGCCATATTCCCTGCTTGGTCGCATACTGTTGACCATCCGACCCTATCGCGAAGCCGGAGGCGGTGCTGTCGACGAAGACGACGGCACGGTGATTTGCGATGCGGCCTGCTGCAGGTACTTTTGTTGGACTGCCATGTCGGCCACTCCGTTGACCTTGAATTCCTCCGCTCGACGTCCGCGCTTTCGCAAACGTGACCTTTGTCGCCGCCACCAACTAGACAGCCGAGACTATACTGTCGCCTGGGGGGGCGTCGCGGTGCCTTGCGAGGGAGCCGCATCCGATTCCACGGCCTGGGGCTCGGGCGGCGGGTTTGGGATCTGCTTGCGGCCGTTTGCCTTGTACTGGAGCTGGACGTCGTTACCGCCCTTCCAGATGTGGGCTCGCAGGGTCGCAAGTGTCATGGTGATCGGGAGGAGCTGTTCAAGTCAGTACAGAGTATACGAGGCGCGCAAGTCGAGCCAACTCACCTGGTCGTTGCAGTACAGTTCCAAGTACTCGTGAGGCAGGAGCGCATCCGGCTCCGGATTTTCGGGTTGGGGGTCGATCCGCTCAGCAACGTAGGCCAGAATCTTCTTCACCCGCAGCATCCTATTAGCGTTGAGGCGGTTGTTGCCGTCCGTCGTTGCGATGTCGGGCAGGCTGTTCTGCCACGGCTGAAGCACGAACGAGACCTTGATTGGCTCCTTGAAAGGAATCTGGTTCGTGAGAAGAACCTCCCCCAACCACATGGGACCTCGCTGTTCAATAATGTCCGCGCCCTTTCCTACAGTCTCCACGGTGCCTTGGTAAATGTTGGCGCTGCCACCAGTCGTCTCTTCCTGGAGCACAACTTTTGTACCGGGTGGCAGCTTGAGCACCGGCGTGTCGTTTGCCAAGCTTGGAGTGACTTTGGTCTCAATTAGCTTATCGGGGTTGTCTGTTAGTGACTTATCGTAGTCGTTGCGAATCTTCTGGATGGCGCCCAAGAAACTGTCGTCCACCTCCTTCTCGTGTGTCGATGACTCCTCCGACTCCTCAGCCTTCTCGTCCACCACGACAGGCTTCTCCGGAGCGGTTGTCGAAGCAGATCTTCCAATCTTTTTGCTCCCAAATGACATGTTCATGCGGAACTTCTTTTTACCAAATGGCGTGCTAGGGGGCTTTCCGTTGGCGGCATCCTTGTCCTTCTCCTTTTCCTTATCTTTGCCCGCGTCCGCATTGGCTTTGGACTCGGCAGGAGCCGTCTGCTCAGCAGGTGTCGCCGACGCAGCTGTGGGTTTCGAAGCACCCTCAATGGGCCCGATGGCACTGGTGAAGTAGTCCTCCTTCTCACTCGAAGGCCGGCTGAGCTGAGACGACTTGTTGTCGAGCGGGCTAGTAGGCGTCGCCAACCCTTCCGGCACGTCCTGAAGCTTGCTAGAAGTGCCAGGGGTTGCCAGGCCGATAGCCATGCCGGGCGTCATGGGATGGTGGGAGCCGTTGGCTCGCGGGGTCGTTCCCGCGTTCTCGTCCCAGGAGCCGCCTTCGGGAATAGTAATTGATGATGGGGGGTTCGCACGGCTTGCCGCCAGTCTCCGCTCCACGGACTCGTTGAGCGTCTGGCGGTACGCCTCGTCTCTCTTGATTTCTTCGTCGATCAAGCCGGAAAACAAATAACGAAGGATCCATTTGCCAAGGTTGACTAGGACGATGTCAGTGAATGCTCCAGCTGAGAGGCAATGCAGCTTACTCCTCTGGTCTTCCCGGAACTCTACGGGCTCTTCCAACTCCAGGTCGTCCGCATACATCTCTGCGTCGAAGCAGTTGAACGGTTCCAGGACCACGGTCAAGCTTCCCGAGCTGATATCGATGGAGCACCATGGTGCCACTGCCTCGAGGGTGTTGACTTCTGGCTCAACGTCCTCAAGATGCCTCTTGGAGAATTTTTGAATCGGTTGGCACTACAGTCGTCAGCTGCTACTTACGCCTCTAGTAACACAGACGGGCTTACCTTGATGAGATCCCACAGGAGAACATCGCCGGCCGTGTCTAGCGTCAGGACCCTCCTCCTATCGTTCAAGAGCCTGTGCTTGACGAGACCGAACTGGCCTTCAATCGTTTCCTCCGGGTTCAGGTTGATGGGCTCGGTTGCTTGGGGCACGGAGTGGCCAGTGGCAGGAGGGGAGTCCGGGCCGGAGTTGGTCTGGATGGGGAATGCGGCCGTGTTGGAGATCCTCAAGATGGACCTGGGAGAGATCTCCTTCTTTGGTGAGTTTGCAGGCGGAGGATTCGACGGCTGCCTGGGCCTCGAAGCTGTGGATGCTGCGCGTTGGCGTCTGAAAGCCTCGGGGAGCTGTAGACTGGGACCTGTGTCGACATTGGACCAGCGGTTGATGGACGAGGTATTGGTGGCGGTCCAGATATAGTCGCCTGCGGCCACGACCTTGCTGATAGAATGAGACTCGTGGGCCACGGCGACGGAGAGTCCCTCGTCCAGGTCTTCGTGTCTCCCTCGCACATCCGTCTTGACGACGAAGCCAGAGCGGTCGCTGCTGTAGAAGGTGCCCAGCTCGGGGTCGTCCGAGAACAGCGACCAGACGCTGTCCTCGTGCATGGTGAAGGTGTACATGCAGCGACCAGCGGTGACACTCCAGAGCTTGATTGTGTGGTCGGAGCTGGCGGTCAGGACCTTGTCGCCGGCCTCGTTGAGCAAGACGCCGCGCACGTTGTCTGTGTGGCCGACGAACTTGGTAACCCTCTTGCCGGAGCGGGGGTCCCACAGACGGACAACAGACTCGGGGCCGCCGTTGGCCATGATGTTGTGACCGACGCTCAGAGCATAGACGGAGCCTTTCTCGGCAATCTCGTCTCCCCGGGTGTCGATCTCGAGCGTCTTGCCGCCTCCATTCAGGTCCCACAGGTATATCTTGCGGTCGAAGCCGCCGGAAGCGACCCAGTTGACGGAGCCGCCGGGCGGGGTTGCGACACACTTGACGTAGTCGGCGTGCTCTCCGATGGTGGCGGGGATATGGTCCGTCTCGGAGTGTGGGCGCCAGACCTTGACGGTCAGGTCGTTGGAGGCGGTAACGACGGCCGAGTTGTTGTTTGCGAGGACAATATCGTTGATCCAGGCCATGTGCGCCTGGGTTTGGGAGCGGAAGGTGGTCTTGGTCTTGGTGTCGGAGGGGGGCGCGCTGCCGCCGCCGTGGAGGTTCAGGTTGAGGTCCCATGCGCAGATGTAGCCATCGCGGGCTCCCGAGTAACTGTGTGCAGGCGCGACATGTCAGCGACCGTAGGCGCGCGCGCGCAAGAGGGAGAGAGGAAGGAAGGAAGGAAGGAAGGAAGAGAAAGAGCAATAGCGGATGTCGTGGATGATGTCGTCTCGGGATCTTACAGGATGGCATGGTCCTTGTCGACGGCGAGACCATTGACGCCTAGCCTGTGGCCGCCACCTTGGGAACCAGCGGGAAGCTCGAGGACTGCAGCATACGACGATTAGCAAGGACGAGCGGTGCCAAGACTGCCAGTGTTGCGATGGAAGTCAAGGTTCGTGTCGCTCGACACGGGTGGACGTGCGGGGTTGAGCCGTGGGCTTCAGCCAGCATAAGACAGGAAGCGTAGCAAGGCGGCACACAAACTCACCATAGCTGATCCTTTGGCGCGCCTTCTTAGCCATATCGAGCGGTAGCGCGAGGGGGGGTTCGATTATAGATTACGCATGCAAGAAGAATGAAACAATGCAGATGGAATGACGGGATGCAATGCTCAGGCAGAAGGAAAAGAGAAGCATGGACGGGCGAGCGAGCAAGCAAGAGAGCAAGCAAGCAAGCAATGGTATGTATTCTGGGGTTGGCGATGTTGCGAAGAATGGATGTGGTGGTGGCTACAGGAGGAAGAGAGAGAGAGAGAGAGAGAGAGAGTGGTGTGGTGTGGTGTGTGTGTTGGTGTGTGCGTCTGTGTGCGTGATGGAGGGAGCACGGGTCAGGCGAGGAAAGTACCTGTATGATGATGCATGGGGGGGTGGATTGGACGGGCTAGAGTAAAGTAGCGTAGACGGGGTCGGCAAGAGATGGCCTGCGTTGGAACAGAAGCGGGAAGCTGGCGCAAACCAGGGCGTTGGAAGGATCCATTGCATTGCAGGATCCATGACTGCCACCTGAGGTCGGGGTAGGAAGTAGTACCTAGTGTATCCGTAGGTAGTGTTGGGAAGGTAGAACTAGCGTGGGTAGACGGGAGGTTGCTCTTGCTGGACAGGGACATGAAGTGAATAAGGCGGGCGGGGTGTCGAAAGTGGCATGGAAGGTACGCAGGGGTATCATGGATCCTTCCTGTCTAGCCCTGTGACCTACAGTAGGTAGGCACCCCGAGGAAGGTACGTACGTGTATTCGTGTAGGTATTCGTATGTGCCTTGGTAAATTAACCGTAGGAATACTTTGATATCACTACGTGTACCCGGGCAGGTACGTATGCATGCTTGCACGCATGCATGTACTTATACGATAGATTAGGCGGGCAGGCCTACTTCCATGTACGTATCTCCAAAGAGGAGGGAGGTGCAGAGAGGTGTTGTGTGGGAGATCTGCTCCAAGACTAATTGAGTTCCAGTGGCGTCGTTCATCTTGTTGGGGAACACCAACCCACCCACATCCGGCCTTATTGGACCCTTTGCCTCGCATTGGTATGTATTCCTGGTGGCACGAACCCAAACGAGACGACCACCACTCCTTTTTTTTTTTGTACCTAGGTAGTTTACAAGTTGGATCTCGGATGTGCATTTCCACTTCTCCACGTAGGGAGTGGGAGTGTCTATCTACACTACCGTTGTACTACGGTACACTACACTAAGTGATATTTGTCCTGGGTATATGCACCTGTGTGTGTCGATACGGATACGTACGAGACACCAGATCCGAGAAGCACATGGCACGATTCACTAGCGCGCTTAGCAGCGCCATGCGTCTGGATTTGCCTACGAGAACTGCAGGCCCACCTCCTCCTTTGAAGAATGTCTTCTTCCTCAAACTACCCACCGGCGGCAGGTCATTACTAGGTATAGAAAAAGTCGGCTAACAGGAGCCAACGCCCTGCTGGGCAAAATCCCGCCAATCTCGTCTTACTCCTCATGTTCCTCGTGTGCGCGAACCTCATCCGACCAGCCAATCAACCAAACCCCCAAAAAGCATGGACCGCCGATCCCCCTCCTTCCCCCTCTCTCGGTGCTCTTTCCCCCACAATCTCGTCCGTCAATTAGCCGACGCCATTCGTCGCTGCTGAACTGTTAGACCCGCATCTGTCATGCTGCATCCCGCAGACCGGATATCCAACGCCGTGGCTTCCTCTCGTCTCCATCATCATTATCATCATCGTCATCATCGGTCCCAAGTCCTGTTTCGCTAAAGCGTTTGCTTTTTCTTCCAGCGGGTATCATGCGTTTTTTTTCCCCCTCCGGCCAAGTTCCAAAAAGAGAAGAGAAGAAACAAGAGCTCACTCCTGAGAGCTACTGCCCTCAATCCTCTAGATCCAACGGTTTTGTCGAGGCGACAAGCTGCTCCAAGCCGAGAATGCTCGTCCTAACACCCACCGCTGTGCTTGCACCCTCTCGAGTCTGAGCGCCTACACCGTCATCGTCGTCAGCATCAATCATTCTTTAGGTAGTTTCATCTTGCAGACAACCAATGCCCATGATCTCCATCATCATCACCACCACCACCACCACAACCGCCAGACATTGGAGCCAAAAACTCACCCTTCTCCAGAGCCCGCAGCTCCCTCTCCCTCATCATGCACGCACGGCATCGACCGCTCACCGGCCGCGTTGCCACCTTGGTCTTCTCCCTGCACATTGGGTCCGGGACCTCCCACGGCAGGATGTCAGGCAGGTGGATGGTGTGGTCGAGGGTGAGGGCGACCGAGGCCCGGCCTGGTACGCCGCCCCGAGCTGAGACACACTTGAAGGTGTTTTGGTACTGCCTGTGCATGCAGTCCTTGTGCATGGTATAGATGTAGGTGCACATGGCGACTGCAAGCCTCTGTGCCTGCTTGGGCTACCCTTGAAGTGAGGTGAAATGAGACGATCAAAGAAAGTGTTGCAACGGTAAGGCAAGGCAACGTGTCGTGGTGGTCGTCAGGGAAGTTGCATTGGGTGCGGCTCAACACTGTGACTGTGGTGAATCCTGTTAACGACTGTCTGCTGTGGTAGAAAGGCAGGAGGTTGCCTTGTGCGTTTGATAGGTTAGTACCTAAATAACTAAAGGGAAAAAGAGATAAAAATATATAAAGAAGAAGATTCGCAGTATCAGTTGCCTCTTTTTTTTCCCTCTTTGCTTCTTCCTCTACCCTCCCTGTATGGTTTTCACCTTGGCGTAAAGAGAGAGTGTGAGAGGGGGGAGAGAGTGAGGGGAGAGAGTGAGAGCAGCAGCAGCAGCAAATCAAAGAAGGAAGGTTGCAAAAGATTGACGACCCTTACTCTCCGGCAGCCTGTTGTTGACTTGAAAAAAAGAAGAAGAAAGAAAAAAAGAGATCCCTATCCCAAGTTGACCTGCTGGTGTAAAGTCAACCAGACCAGACACACACACCCTCCCAGGCAGGAGCCGGATGGGAGACCGTCCATGGTTGAGATGGCCGGAACGAGAACCAAAAGCGGCTGCGGCGGTGCCTGTGTACTATATGTATACACATACATATATACACTTTCTTCTTTTCTTGGCGCCCTCTCATCCGAAACACGCGATGTAGTTTATTTCATCGTCTCAGGCACGGGGGGGGAGCAAATTCCACGACAGGGAACACGCGTGAAACGCCGAGAACAATGAGCTTAATTCAATGTCCGACATCGGCTCATGAAGGGGGAATGGGGAGTAAACACCCTTGGTTTCACTGGCCTTTTTTTTTTCTTCTTATTTTATATCCCGTCACATAGGTTTTCCTCCTTTTTTTCCCCAAGACGTTCCTCTTTCCTTGGGGATCAAGGCAGCCCGGGTGATGACGGATCGGGATCTTGTGCAAGTAAAAGGAAGAAATAAAACCCCAGTCCCGATTACCCTTTTTAACTATCATTTTTTGATAACGCGACGCCGTGCCGACCAAATCTACTCTCACACGACCAAGCCATTCATGTTTGCGTGTGTGTGTGTGTGTTTCTCTCTCTCACTCTCACTTCCCACTCAATCCATCCCCCCCGACATTAGTATAATTCATCGCTTCTTGTAGAACCCCCCGGTGCCATGCTCCTGTCTCGGCTGGCTGCCGTACGCCCGGCGGCCCTGTGTCTTCTTATCGCGGCTCATGCTCGCGCCGACGGTGATGTCGACGCGCGGCGGCGTTGGGAAGCCGAAGCTCTTGGCCACCTTTGCGAGGTCCAGCTTGTTGACGTCGAAGACGGTGCGCAGCGAGTGGCTGGCGTACGCGTGCAGGTAGCTGCGGTAGCCGTCCTTGGCGCTCTTGTTGAGGTAGTAGTTCTGGCTGATGAGCTTCTCGAGCAGCGACTGGATGTTGGCGATCTTGTTGGCCGGGAAGTCGAACTCCACCACAGGCACCCGCGCCTCCTTGAGGTGCGTCAGGAACCCGACCTCCGACGGCTGCAGGAACATGAGGGAACGGCCCTTGCTGTTGGCCCCGCGCGCCGTCCGGCCCACGCGGTGGATGTAGTCGCGCGGGTCATCGGGAGGGTCGACCTGGACGATCCAGTCCACTGCGGGGATCTAGGGGGGAAGGTCATGTCAGCATCAACCTGGCAAGTCTTTTAGGAAGAAGGGGGGGGGGGGGGTTGAAAGGAGGAGGATGGACTTACATCCAAACCGCGGGCGGCAACGTCGGTACAGATGAGGGTGCCCTGCTTGGCGTTGCAGAACTCGAAAAAGGTGTTGGTCCGCTTCTGCTGCTTCTGCTTGCCGTGCAGGTCCAGCACCGGCAGGTCAATGTAGTTGAGCAGCTCGGCGTGGTACTTGACCGAGTTGCAGGAGCTGAAGAAGACAATGACCTTCTTCTTGAGGTTGCGCTTGAGGAAGGAGAAGAGCAGCAGGAAGCGCTTGTCGGCGTCGCAGATGACGTAGCCCTGCTCGAGGTTCTCGACGGTGCTGTGCTGCTTCTGCTCGTCGACGTTGACGTACAGCGGGCCCGGCCGCAGCGAGATGCGGGCGAGGTCCTCGACCTTTGTCGTCTGCGTCGCCGAGAAGAGCATCGTCTGGCGGTCGTCCTTGGGCAGGATCTTGACGATCTGCCGCATCTCGTCCTCGAAACCGATCTCGAGGATGCGGTCCGCCTCGTCGATGATGAGCGACTTGAGGTTCTTGAAGACAAAGGGCGTGTTTTGCAGGTGGTCGAGCAGCCGGCCCGGCGTCGCGATCAGCAGGTTCACGCCCTTCTGCAGCTTGTCGGCCTCGGCGCGGCGGTTGGCGCCGCCGATGACGATGCCGTACGTCTGCGAGTGGTGCGCCATCAGCTCGCGCGCGACGCCAAAGATCTGCAGCGCCAGCTCGCGCGTCGGCGACACGACGATGACGCCCGTGCCGTTCCGCGGCTTGAACCGCAGCGCGTGCAGCATCTCGACGGCCGGGATCAGGAACGCGAGCGTCTTGCCCGACCCCGTCTTGGCCGCGCCGAGCACGTCCTTGCCGCTGAGCAGGGGCGGGATGCCCCGCCTCTGGATCTCCGTCATCTTGGTGAAGCCCATCTCCTTTATCGCCGTCATCGTCTTTTCCGACAGGTTCAGCTGCGCAAAGTCGTGCGCCTCGGCGCCCGCCACGGGCGGGAGCGTGAGGTTGTCGCGGTTGGGGATGTCGGAGCCGTCGGCCTCGTCTGCCTCCTTGGCGGGGGCCCTTACGTCCTCGTCGAGGTCGGAGCCGTCGGCCTCGTCATCTTGCTGTTTCCCGGGCTCTTTGAAGTTTTCTGCGACGTCATCCTCCTCCTCCTCCTCTTCCGCCTCCTCGCTGCCGGCCTCGACCTCTTCTTCCTCCTTGTCGGATTCCGGCTCGGGCTCCTTGGTGCGCTTCACCTTCTTCGATTTTTGTGCGGGGGCGGCCGCGGGGGGCTCGGCGCGCTTCTTGCTCGAGGCTTTGATCCCATTGGAGTCGCGGGACTTTCTCTTCTTTATCGTGGCGGAATCCATTGTGTCTGTTGTGGTGTTACAATGGGTTGGGGTTTGCAAGATCCTGTACAGCCTAGCCGGACGAGAGAACCTTCACCATTTCCTGGAGAGCGGTACGGTGGTCGACCATCACCAGGAAATTTTCTTATCGGGGGTAGAAAAAAATCTGGAGCTGGGCGATAGCGGACGTGGATGATCCGTACCGAGTGGACTACGGTGCGGGGCAAAAGGTACGTATCGTGTGGGGCGAAGCAGTAGCAATAGTGGGGAGAGGAGCCGTAGGTCACGTAACCCATCATACGGCGGCCCTCTCAACATACCGAGTATCCAGAAATGCATTCTTACTTTAAGACCTTGACATCTGTCTGTTCTTCCCGGCCTTGGATACCAAAAAAAGAGCATCATCATCAAACTCCATCCCAGTGTGAGTGTGTCGAGGCTGTTCCAATCTCATAGCAAAAAGACAAAAGAGAGCCAGGCTTACATGGCTGCTCGGAATAGAATCATGGCTTCAGGAAAACTGATATTCTAATTCTGATGCATGCCAGAAACAGCGCAATATGTCAAGTATCAACGGATGACTCTCATGTTGGGCACGAACACCCCCTCCACCTGGTTCCAACCATGCAACGGTCGAAAGAATCGTCGGTACTTATAGCATCCGCACGCTCCTCACAAAACAGCAAATGAATTCAGTCGTCAAAAGGGACAACGTAGGGAAAATGTCCCTCTGTCACGTCACGACAGCCCCATCGGCCCGTCCCGAACCTGTGTTACAGTGTAACGGTTGTGCGTGCTACCGCCTCAATCATGGAATGCAATTTTTGTACCCTACTGCCCTATGTGGTGTGGTTTCGAATCCTCAATTGTCCCAAGGGCTATCATAAGACCCTAATGCAAGAGCAAAGCAAAGTAATGTGAATGCCGGATCAGGATCGCGATAGGATTGCGGAACTCTGGAGCGAGTATCTGTGGTGCCTTTTGTTGATTGGCTGATGCCGAAAAAAAAAAACAAGTTTGTAGTTCCATCGAGAATGGATGTTGGACACGCCCGTCTCGATATGCCATCATCCCTCAAACCCCTTCCCCCGCGTTTTGCCGCCTAGTAGCCCCTGTGTGCGTATCAACAAGTTTTTTTATGTCGTCCTGAACGCCGCCGTTATTAAACCGGTATGAGAATGCCGAAAGAAGTGGGGTTTGGAAACATTGATCGTCGTCAAAGAGAAGAGTAAAAAGTCTTCTTGAACTGGTGGCTTCCAGTGTTTAAGTGACCGGTGCGCCGCATTCCGCGTTTCCTCAAGCTCCTGGATCGCCATTCAGCAAGTCGTTCCTCGCTAAATCACCACTCTGACCCAAAGATCTTCACATACACTCCGCTACCGGGTTCTCGTGCTTGGCAGTGGAACCCTTGCCGCGCCAGGTGCTGACTGCAGGGATGTTGGCTTCGTAGCGCACTTCCTCGGTTCCATAGGCGCGAGGTGTGAGCTTGATGAGCGTGTGCAGCGGCACGTTCATCCAAGGGCTGTCGGTCTGGTTCTTGTTCATGAAGTAGGCGTAGATGCAGCGCAGCACGGCCTGGTGAGTGACGATGAGGATGTCCTCGCTGCGCTCGAGCTCCATAATGATGGGCTCCAGACGGATGACCACATCGCGGTACGACTCACCGCCGCGGTAGCGGTAGTTGTACTTGTCCTCGTCGCGAGCGGCAAAGTCCTCGGGGAAACGATCCTTGATTTCCTGGTAGGTGAGGCCGTCGCAGACGCCAGAGTCGAGCTCGTCGAGCGCCTTCCACTGCAGCTGGTTGTAATCAGAGGGGAGGAAGCGAGCAGTGGCAATGGTCCGCTTCAGCGTAGAGGTCCAGACAGTCAGAGGACGGTCATCCTGCGGTCTTTGTCAGCAGGCGACAGGTGTGGAGATCAGATGAAGGAGCAACTTACACCAACCGACTTGCGGACGAGCTCCGGAAGCTTTCGGGCGTACTGCTCGCCGCGGGGAGAGAGCGTGGCGTCGCCGCCGATGCGACCATCCAGGTTGTACATGGACTCTCCATGCTATCCAGTGTTAGCAGACAAGGTCTAGCAACGAAAAACACAACAAGCACTTACTCTCGACAGCCAAATGGAGCGGGGCCGGATGTGGAGGTTCATGAGGTAGTACACGACGCGACTCTGGAGGTAGTCCTGGATGCGGTTGATAATGACCTGCTTGCCGACGTCCATGATCTTGAGGTAGGTGTAGTCCTTCTCGTCACCGTCCTCGTCGAGCGTCTTGTAGACCTTTTCATAGTTGCGGATGCGGTTGCGGAAGTCTAGGGCAGCCTCCTCGGGGTCCTGGCCCTCGTAGTCGGGCGAAGTGGTCTTGACGTCCCGAATGTTGGCCATGATGAGGTTCTCGTCGTCGCACTTGCTCTCGACGAAGAGAACCTCGACGCCCTCCTTGGTGCAGATGTCGAGAACCCACTTGCGGCGCTCCTTGGTGGAGTTGGTGGCATCCAGGATGCCAATGACACCGCCTTGGCGGAACCAAGCCAGCATGTCCTCGATGGCCTTTTCGGCGGCGGCGCGACGTCTGCGCTCACCTTCGGCGTTGTGGACGTCAAAAAAGTCCGCCGAAGGGTGGGCGTCCTCCTTACGACGGTAGGTGCCGACATTGAAGGTCTTGGCCTTGATCGAGAGCCAGCCGAGATAGCGTTGCGCTAATGGGGACGAGTCAGTGTTGAATCCTCGCTGTTTTTTCTTTTTCTTTTTCTTTTTTATGCGCAAAGCAAAGCACTCTGCAAAAGACGCGAGGTCCGCGGACCAAGGTTCCAAAGTGAAGCCTGGGTGTTTATTACTCACCTTTTTGAGCGATGAAGCTCTTGCCCCGAGCGGGCAGGCCGACCATGACGACGCATATCTTGGTATCCTCCACCTGGACGCCCACACCGTTAGTCTTGGCAGGCATCTTGATATCGATGGGTAGGTAGTCTTGGTTGTTTGGTGTGCTGGGTGGAAGTTGCTACGCTGAGACAAAAAAAGAAGAAGAGGAGCAAAACAGGCGTTGTGCCCATGAGAAAAAGGGCCTGGTTGAGTGGCAAGGCAGGGAAATCTCGGTGGAAGGCAGACAGCTCGCGTGATGCTCCCAGCCGTGGCAGTAGGTAGCTCTATGCCCAAAAGGCGGGACCCCTTCGGGTGTTGACTTTTACGGGCGGGTGCGGTGACTGACTTGGGGGCCGGGGTGGATGTACTCACTCCACCACGGAACCACCAGGACAAGGCTCAGGCAGACCCTGTGAAAGAGCAACTAGCAGGGGTTGGTATCAATGGGGCAGCGGGCAGGTAGGTTGTGAAAACAGTTGAGTAAGGGCTGTTTGCATGTGCATGTGTCTGGTTTTTGTATATGTATGTGCAGGTGTGTAGGTGTAGGTGTGTAGGTGTAAGAAGATGCAGGTTGCCTCTGTGGTTGCACAGGTTTTGGGGGGATGATGTATGAGGAGAAGAGCAGCGATGTGACGTTGTCTGAACTGAGGCCAAGGTGAAAGTGGAGGTAATATAGAGTAATGAGAGGGTGAGTAGCGTGCACGACTCTACAAATGTGTGAATGGGGTTTAAGAGAAAGGTAGGTAAAACGTACGTAAAAGGGGGAAAGGGAGGGGGGGGGAGAAAGGACGCCGAGAGGACATCCCGAGGAACAAAACAAAATAGGTAGCTTGGGGCCAACTTGGCCACCAGCAAAGGGCAGAGAGCACATGTCCAAAGTGGTGGTGATAGCCAGCCAAGCTGGACTTGCTTGGTCCAAGGTACTATAGCTCTCAGGAAGCTGCTGCAACGGTGAGTCGACAGACGGACAGACAGACAGACAGACAGACAGAAAACAAGCGACTAGCTCGTCTCGTCCATCCAGGTCAGACGGCCCCAATTCGACTCGGATATCGAACCCGCTTGCAGGAGAACAAACTGACGAAACCCATGCGCACCGGCTAAACAACGTTGGCGCGGCCTCCAGAGCATTCGACACATGCGCGTTGAGTCGAACATTAGCGATGCAATTGGCATGACGATTGGCCCATTCCGGGATGCTTCGCCCAAGTCCGATTGCAGTTGGATCATGAAGGCCAATAAAAAGGCATCTCGTCACTTTTATCTTTCCGTCCGCTGGTCCGTAACACACACACCCACACCCACAAACGCCACGGCTCTTCCCCAGTGGATGATGGCCTCGTGGATGACGGCCTCGTGGATGACGGGTGTATGCGCCGAGGGCCAGGGACTTGGCTCGGCACGGCATTGCGTGGAACGGCAGAGGTCGGTCGCCTTCTCTCTCAGCTCCTCGTCCGTGGTCAGTCAGGTCAGGTCAGGTCAGGTCAGGTCAAGTCAAGTCTGCCCACCCCTCCACAACCCCATCCCGACTCCAATCCTCCTCCCCATTCGATACCCCTCATTTTCGTGTCGTGTGCCCGCCTTCCCCCCGGGCCCCCTGGTCTGGTTTAGCCTAGCCAGAGAGAGAAAGGTTCGGCTGCAGAGGTCCAGCTCCAATGCCACGTCCATCCCCGCATCGATGGGGACATGGTGAATCCAGATCCTTTTGCAGAGCTTGCCAGCCAGCTCTCTGCTCCGATGCCCACCTCCAAGCTCGTGGCCCTCACCGAGCTCAACCGAGGTGGACATCAGCCCACGCCAAAAAAGACTCCAATCTGACTCGCCAGCCATAGCCGAACCCGTCACACCAAACATCGGAATTGGTGAACTACCTTTCCCGATGACGACGGCGCAAGCGCAAACCCCTCTCGTTGCCGAGGAATGCAATGGAGTTCCAGTCCCGAAAGCCACACTCGTTGCCAGAGACATATGTTAGGAGCCCGCGGGTATTTCTTTCCCCCGTTCGCGACAGCCTTGTCATTCGCATTCGCTCCCGGCCAATGCCCGTCTTCCTTCCGGCCATTTCCGGCTATCGGAATCCTTCAACATATCGAGTTGCCAACTTATTCATCGCCCACAAAGCAATGTCTTCAAGACCGCAACGCAACGCAACGTTTTCTGATTCTCACAACAAGAATAAAAAAACAAGAGAAAATGACGGAATCATCTTCAACCACTTCTCGTTTTGCCTCTCAGTCCTCTCTCATAGCTCTCCATGAACATGAACAAGGTCAACGCCCACTAGCAGCTGACACCAACCCCCACGGAGGCTGCCAGGGGTTATGGAAACCACCCGGGAAAAAAGTCTTCTGACCTTGAACGCGGAATGTACTGCCGCTGCACTTGCTAAGAAAACTCTCTCGGGATGGCCAGGGGGGCCGTACGCTTCTTTTTTTTTTTTTTTTTTTCCTTCTTCATTTTGTTACGGCCAAAGCCCGGCACCAAACCAGCAAGTCCAGGCGTCTGGACTCTCGGAACCAGCAAATCGGCACCGTTGCCAGATCGCATCGAGGCCAAGGTGTGGTACTGTCCGACACCCCTGCGTGATTATTCACACCGCCAGAGACCAGCAAGCACGGAACCGATTGGGTGCGAAAAGGAGGAAGAAAAAGTAGGTCACTTGACGATGGCCCGCGACCCTGCGAGCCAAGCGGCAGGTTGCAAAGCACTGCTGCTGCAACGCAGACTGGCCGACAAAGTACAAATCGCAACGACCAAAAGAAAACGTTATGAAGGCATACAAAAATACACACACACACACACACACACACACACTCGGTCAGAGGGAAAGGAAACACGATCGTCCGTACCTTGCTAAAGCTCCAGGTGTGCTGTCTCCGAGGCTGGCGCTTGACGTCCTCAGCGCCTGCCGGGATTACTCCGATGCCCATGATGGATGCGTTTGAACCGAGGAGAGGCTGTACTTCGCCGTCGCTGAGAATGTCTTCGATGGCTCGGTACAGTTTGAAGAGATCCTGCTTCTGTCTTTCTTCTTTCTTCCTTGCTAAGGCGTTGCCGAGCACGGGGGGTATCGGAGGGGAGCGGAAGATCGGTACAGCGACTGCCGAACTGGGGGGAGGCGACTCGAAGCGATCGTGGCAACGGAGACGGCGCTAGGAGACAGGAGGAGAGAATACGGGTTCAAAAACACCAAGGTATGACTGCTCCCCGATGGCAAGGGCGTCGCTTTGAGGTGAGTTGGCGAGAGAGGGAGAGAGAGAAAAGAGTGAAAGAGAGGGGGGTGGTGAAGGGCTTGGATCGCGAGACCTATTGATTCAAGTGGCAGAAACGATTGAGCCGTCAGTAAGGGTGAGGTAGGTCACCGTAGATCGGTCACAGCACGGCACAGCACAGCACAGCCAGAATAATCCTTATCGATAAGCACCCGACGAGCAGCAGCAGCAGCAGCAGCAGCAGCCGCCAAAGTGCGACAGGCAGGACCCCCCCCCCCTCCCCCATTGCCACTCCCGATAAGTCCCGACTGAAGCACTGGTTTCAGCGTCCATTGTGGAGCTAAACCTCCCACTGTCTCTAAAACCACTTCATCTGGGTTTGACACACCCTGGAACTTAATAGCAAGGCACAACTGCCTAAGCATCTGTCAGGAAGGTAGCGATCAAGCTTTGCCTGAGACTTTGTAATGCCTAGTAGATCGAGTTGAGCTGTCAAAGAAAGCAGGAGCCAGGCGGCCTTCATTGGACATAACCCTATCTCACAGCTAACAACCCCCCCTTTCTCTCTCTGTCTGGTAAAACAAATGTTTTCCGGTCATCTTATCTTGACCCAGTGATACTTCTCAGCAAATCAGTTGCCCGTCACATCTGTGTCCGCCTTGGCGGGCACGAGTCCCTTATACACAACCGACAGGTCAGCCAACATCTACATCTACTTCTCGGGCAGCTGAGGCGTTGGTCCAAACGTATCTCGGCCATAGAAACGCATCTGGCCGGCCCCAACGTCGAAATAGGCTTCGACATTGTGCAAGAAGACGGTACCGAGTATATACGGCCCCGTGCCCCCCGTAGTGATACCAACCTGGCAATAACCCGTGAGTGGGTCAACAAGGCCGGGGTATACAAGGTCCACGGGGTTGATGAAGAAGCTTGCTCCCTCGATGACGACAGCAATCTTGGGAGCGATTGCATCGCAAGGAGCAAAATATCCACCGTATTGGAACAGGTAGACGGCGTTGGGGGAGAAGGACCGCGCGATGGCTTCGGCAATAGGCGGAGGCACGTACATGAGCGTAGTGCCAGTGTCGACAATGTAGAGGAACCTTCTCGTATCCGACGTCGATCCCCAGCGGATGCCGTCGACAAGGACAGTGTAGTATGAGTACTGCCAGCTGCCTGTCGGTCGATGCGGATTAATGGTGGTCTTTCGCTCATCAGCTGGCGCCAGGCAAATGAATGGAAGGACATGGAAACTCACAATGATGAGGCTAGTGTACGCTGTGGGACCGTCGACTGGCAGACCAGTGCGGCCACCCCACGCGATAAGGCCGCTGGAGTTGCGGACAAGAGAGACGCTAAAGGAATCGGCAGAGAGCCCCTGCTGGACCATGCTGGTGAAGAAGGGAGAGTACGGGACTTGGAAGGCAGGGCGGTCCTCGTCCATATCACCCATGAAGGCGCTGGTAAGGGAGGGGAAAGCCAATCCGAGGATGCCGTTTGTGTAGTTGTTGCCCATCCAGTACGTCTTGTTGGCGAGGCCGACCTGTTGCTGCTGAACGGCAATGCCGGCCACCTCGATGTCGCTGAACCCCATGGGGCCAGACACTCGCTCACCAGAGCCGTAGCTCAAGGTGAAGTGGAGGTCCTCGGCAGGACCGTACTTGAAGCCGTCAATCTTGCTCGGGCCAAAGCCACAGGCCTCCTGGGAGTAGGCTGCTGTGCCAGCCATGTTGGTGCAGGTGAAGTTGGAAGCAGTGACCCAAGTATCACTGCTGCCGGTATCGAAGATCATATTGACGGGCTGACCGTCCCAGGTGACCTCGACAGCGTACTGGGTCCCATAAGGGGAGAGAGCCGTGATATTCTGATAAGCGGCCGAGAGACCTCGTGGCTGGGCTGCTCCAAGGGCAGTGGCAGCATTGTGGCCATCAATTTTGGTACGGAATGGCTTGAGGGCCTGAACGCGGCCTGAGACCTCATCGGGAGCAACCTCACGGAAGGCTTTGATACGCTGAAAGTTGACACCTTTGAGGGGGCTCTTGATCTCGACGCCGATGCGATGTCTGTCTTTGGCCAGGGCGACACTGGCCGACAGCGAGCCGAAGCCCAGCAGCGACGAGACAAGTCTGGCAATCTTCATGTTGCGCAGTCGAAAGTTGAAGATGGAACGAGTGTAGTTGAAAGGAGCGATTGATGGAGTAGGAGGGAGTGCAGGAAAGGCAAAGTGTAGCTTCTGCCTCGGGTTAAGAAATGAAAATGAAAGGGAAGTCAATTTCGAGATGTTTGTAAAAAAAGAAGATTAGATACAGGTGAGAAGGAGTGTGAAGATGAAGAGCCGAAGAAGGGGCAATGGTCGCCTGTGACAGACGCACGATGCCGAGAGGAAGGAGCAGCGGGTTGCCGTCGAGGCAGACCCTTCCTAGTGGGTAGGTAATTAGCCCTTGACTTCCAATCGCAACTTCCCTTTTAGAGAATATGTGGCTCAAGGATGACATGTTGGCTACGTACCTCGTCTCTTTGGGCAAGAGCTGGAAAGAGAAGGAGGTAGGTGCCCCCGTGGACAAGAAGGGAAGCTGCCGCCATTCTCGTCTATCCGGGCCGTCGCTTCTGCTTCTGTGTTTGCGAGCCTCACACTCACGGAAAGAGCCTGCCGGGTCTTTGGCTGAGTACACAGTTCGGAAGGTACGGGTCTCTCTCGGTCCGTTGGTGTCATCCGGTTGGGATATGGCTACTCCATCGACCTTTGCACATGGCGGAGGACCGAGTGAAGCTCAAGATACCTGCGTCGGGTATACTGCTTTGTCTGATACGACGTCTTCCCGTCGCGTCCTACGTCCTGAAATGACTCGACTCTCCAGACGGGCTCCAGGTTGCAATGAGGGGAAATTCCCCTGGCGCACAAGTACCGTCAACTCAGTGTCCTGTTTGTAATAGTTATACTGATGCGGACAGCATATTTTCGAAATCGGGGATAGGAAACCTCACATCGTCATCCATGTCTCTGACAAGTGACTATGGAGTCGCTGTGTCTGCAAACTGCCAGACTTTTACAAGCTGACGGGAATCCCTCCCGCGGACACCTGCAGCCGTCGTCCCACGTGTCATTCCAGGTACGGGTGGCACAAGATACGTTCATACGGAAACCGGCCATTTCATCAGGCAAACACCTCCAAGCCAGCTACCGCCGAGAGAGTCTTCCTCGACGTAGTCTCGAGTGCTTTTGGTAACCTGCCATGCAAGGGACCTAGCCCGTATGTGTTCCCTATGCTGTGCCTAGGTGGCCAGCCTTTGTGACTCGCTGCCGCTGCCACCAATGGTACTTGCTCCCAGCCGAATGAACTGCGACAAGCGGTTCTGGGTTGACAAGCCCCTTGCCTGGTACGAGAGATGACTCAGGGCGTTACGGCTGTCACCACGACGGATTGTGTATGCAGAGAGTGGAAGCTGTCGACAGTAACTTGAAACTCTCATCAGCAGGATAGAATAAGAAGCCACTGGTTTGGACCCTAGCTCACGAGACTTGGGCAGACAAAGAAGTGCTGACAATCCCGGCCTTGAAAACGTCTGCCGCTGAAAATCGGAGCCGTAATCCCACCGCCGGCCCGTTGGCATTGTTATTCCCGCATCACTCCGTAATCAGCGACCCCCCTCTTCAACAAGCTCCTCTTAACACAACACAATTCAGCCAGTAAACCGATAGGAATTCTAAGAGTGCTTCGAGATGCGGTTGAGGCAGCGGTGCACGGTGCATCAGCGACTGAAACCGAGGCGCTTCTTGAAAGGGAAACCCAGCTAACCTTGACATGATGACGACAAGACCTACAAATAGGGCTGAGGATGCACGGCCTAAGCAAGCAAAGCTCCTCGGTGACCCGTCCTCCCAAACGTCTCCCACTACTTCATTCTCGGCCTCCCTAACCTCTCCTCACCTCTCCTCATTCACTCCCTCCCTCGTCAGCTATTGGCACTGCAACCAACCAGTGAGATTCACTGGAAAGTTTCCTTTGACATATCATACACGTGTAAGAAGCTTTCTTTGGGCACATCACAAGCCAAACCAAAAAAAAAAAATAGAAAAAAGTTCACCATGGCATCAAACCTGCCCACCGGCTCGTCCGGACCCCTGCCCGCCATACAGGAGCTCTCGCCGACGACATTCCTGTACGACCCGCCCTCGGCGGTGCCGGACCCGAACTCGCCCAAACTCATCGCCATCTTCAGCTGGATGTCGGCCCAGGACGCCCACATTGCAAAGTACACGTCGCGCTACATGGCTCTTTACCCCTCGGCCAGAATCCTCCTCGTCAAGTGCCCCTTCATCCACACCCTCTCCGCCCGCATCTCCAAGCGCGAGATCAAGCCGGCCGTTCCCATCATCCGGGCCCTGGCCGACTCCACCCCGCCCTCCGAAGCCCGGCCCCAGCTGCTTCTTCATGTCTTCTCCAACGGCGGCGCCACCAACTTTGCAAAGTTCCTCGACATGTACGCCGACGCCGACCGCGCCGGCCGCCTGGCGCTACCCCCGCACGTCACGCTGTACGACTCCTGCCCGGGAGGATTCCACTGGATGCGCAGCTACCGCGCCCTCTCGGCGTCGATGCCGAGGATCCTCGCGCCGCTGGCGCACGTCTTCATCGGCTTGTTCTGGCTGCTCCACGTTCCCTTCGGGCGGCGTGGCTTCTTTGGCAAGATGTGGGCCGCTCTGAGGCAGAAGGCGCTGCTGGTGAGCGAGAAGCGGCGGGCCTACATGTACAGCAAAGAGGACCGGATGATCCACTGGGCCGACGTCGAAAAACACGCCGAGGAGTCCAGGCAGGTCGGCTTCAAGGTCAGGACGGAGAGGTTTGAGGGGAGCCAGCACGTCGCGCACTCAAAGCTGAATCCGTCGAGGTACTGGGGGTTGGTAAAGGAGGTGTGGGACGAGGACCTGAAGAAGGTCGATCCACGGCTAAAGGCTGATGAGTCTGTCTCGGAGCCGTCAAAGACGGCGCCGGAGCCCGAACCGCCTAGGTTTACCCCCGAACCGGCAAAGACCACGGTGGAGCCCGAACCGCCTAGGTTTACCCCCGAACCGGCAAAGACCACGGTGGAATCCGAACCGCCAAACTTCACTCCCAAACAGCCAAAGAGTACGGTGGAACCTAGAGCGCCAGAGGCGGCACCGGCACCGGCGCCGGCACTTGCGCCGACAATGCCCGCTCCGGTGCCTGTCAGGCCTGCGCCGCAACTCGAAGATACAAAGGCTGCTCCGCCGCCTCCAGAGGTGAAGCCGGCCAAGCCGAAGAAGGCGCCGACGCCGCCCCCGACGATTCAATGAGGACTTTCAGTGATTCTCTCTGGGATAGTCCCGTGAGTTTGTAGATAACTTGTAGGATAGACTGGCAATGCTTTAGGCATACACTCTAGACTTTGCGTCGCTCTTCTCATATTTCCCTGTCTTTATTCGCAAAATGGTGTAACGTGCATTTGCAGGATTTATCTAAATTTATCTTCATGAAATCCTCTTCGCTGCAACATGTCGGAGGGGACGTAGAACTGGCTAATGAGAGGCCGAGATCGCCAACCGAAAGCTGAGCCACGTACCTTTCCCTCCCTTCCCGGCCCCCTTGGTCTCTTTCCACCGGCTATGCATGCGCGACTTCGTGTAAGATACAGGACAGCCTGACAGCCTATATGAATTGTGGTGGCTATGCAGTCCCTTGGACTGCCCATAAGGCCGCCCCCTCTCGCACATTTCAATTCGACAGTATAACTTCTTTTAACGCTACAAATTCATCTCCTGAGACTGTTCATCTCTCGATTCTCCCCGCACAACCCGGCTTGTACGCGACCCAAACCAGGCACGAAAGGCGAACAGAAGTACCGAGGGGCAAAGCAAACAAACACCAGGATGGCGGAGGTTTTCGGCGTTGTCGTAAGCGCGCTGACGGTGGCCGAGATGGAAGCTGAAGAAGCTGTGGGACGAGGTCCAGGACGTTCCCAACGAGATCTCTCGGCTCGTCCGACAACTGGAACTTCCCAGACCCGTACTCGCCGAGATGGAGTCCGAGTTCACGCAGCAGACGCACAAGGTGTACCACAACAGCGCGGCGAGCCTCAGCATGGAATACTGCCAGCAGGCCGTGGCGGAGCTCGACGCGCTAGCCGAAGACTTGCGGTCGCGGATTGATGCGGCAAAGAGGTCCAGGAGAAACATCACGAAGCTGAAGGCAGCCTTGAAGAAGGAGCAGATTCAAGGTTATCAAGAGAAGATGCAGTTTGCTTTGAGTCTTCTGTCACTCTCGCAGCAAACCCACACAATGTACGTATGGTTTCTTGTCTGGAATCGATTTGGGCGCTTTATTAACGCAGCATGTATAGTTCTGTGGTCAAATCTCGGTTCCTGGCATTCCGGAACCCAGCCCCCCAGGCACGCGTCCAGCTTCCGAGTTGGATATCAGAGACATTCTGGGATTTCCAGGCCTACAGAGCGTGCACAGGATGGAAGGTTTCGCTCAAGCCCTGGACAATGAGACAAACAAACGACCCGATTTTCATAGATGTCCGGAGTGGCTCTCTGGATGACGTTCAGAAAGCCTTGAAGTGTAACGAGGCTTCTCTACAGGATATTGATGAGCAGGGATGGACGCTGTTGCACGTACGTGCTTTACCAATCAAAGCCCTTGAATCAGGAATCCGCTGACTGTTGTGAGCGGAATGCCGTACTATTTTCCCAATTCGATATGACCAAATATTTGATCGAAATGGGGTTGAGCCTCGACATTGTGGACAATAAACAAAAAACCCGGTCGTTCTACATGCACGCGTCAAAGCAACCTAGCGACCTAACAGGTCCATTAAGGGTGTTTCGACTTTTACTTGACACCGGCGAACTTGATGATATTATCGAGCGCTACTTCATGCCTGAAGAAGTCGACTCGTCATATTATTTGTCGGTGCATATGTGGTGTGTAGCTGGGGCCCTGGACATGGTGATCAAGAGATCGATAGGGCTGGATTCATAGTACCGACTTCCTCTCGACGCACGTTTCAGACATTTGAATTGGGGCTGGGTCCAACCTGAAGTTCTGTTTGACGACATACAAAAAAGCTGTAACCTTGAACCTGTAGATTTCCGATCGGTTCTTGGTTTTTCCGACGACAGCTCCCTCGCCAGCTTTACATGGATATATTTCAATGAACTGGCTGATAACGACATTCTCTACGATTACCCAAACGGAACGAGCGGGAAATCCCACCACTGTCGGAATCTTGCACGATGGATTCTTAGAGGGTTATCAGTGAAGGACCTTGGCCAAATGGTAACAAGACAAGGCTGGTTGAGTTTGAGCTCACCAGCCTTGCGTGCATTGTTCCTATGGCATAACAATTTGACACTGAGTGTTAGTAGATTCGCAAGGCCACGTTTTGCTCAAAAAGCGTTTCTGATATGGCTTGAGGACGTGCAGGCCGCGGGGTTAGACTTGGCCGAATACGGCAGACAGGAGCTCGAGATCTACATACCTCGCTCATGACTCGTCGCAAGGTATAAGATGGTTTCATGAAAACGCGTCACGCAGACGTTTGGGGGTGTTCGACTATACCGCATAGGGGTGGAAGCTTCTGGCGTTTACATATGGGCCTGAAGCTCAAGATTGGAGATTCATATGGGACCTCGACGCGTGGGAGTACGCCGGAGACTTTTGGGAGCAAATCGAGAACCCACCTTTGCGTGTACCGGGTGGATGGGTAGACGATGAGAGTTGGTAGGACACGGCGAGCAGTTCGCAAGCCAAACGATGAGGAAGAGGAGCTTGCGCTGGGCTAAAGAGACATAGGGTTGGAGATTGAAGCAGAGGCACATGTTTCAGGCTGTCCAATAATTGCCTGGACCCTGAATATGCGTCGTAAGGTGAACGGAACGATGGAAACCAAGGGGAGGAACTTTTTGTTGAGGAGGTCATGGCGAGTTGGCCGGCGACAATTTGCGTCGTATTCACTCTAGACTTGGCGTCAAAAATATGATAAACTAGTCATAATACGCCGCCATGAAGATGTCGTTGTCGACAGCGGTGAGGCTCGTCAGGCTTTCCGGAAAGTCTGTTTGATCTCAAGCTCTTTTCCAAGCAAAACCAGACCCAGACAAAACCCCTTTTCTCCATTATTAAACACGCGTTACCGTCAAGCCGGCACATGACCCCTCTCGACGTGTTCCTCCGTCAGGATCGAGATGGGGCGCCGGTTGATGATCCGCATGCCAAGACGGCCGGATTCCCCCACGAGAAGAGACGCCCCTCCCGATCGCCACGCCACGCCACTAAACGCGGACCAAACGGCATCTCCCCCCTCTTCCTTCTCTCCCCAGGCATGCTGCAGAGAAGAAATCCCGCACGCTGCGTTCCAGTTCCATCCATGTCGTCCGTCTGTCTTGGTTACCGTGTCTTCGTGTGGCCCGTAGTACCTGCATGCTTCCCGATCGATGACGGCGCCAGGATGCGCCCATACGCCGATTCCAATGCCCGTTACCAGTCCTTGTGAACACCAAAACACCTCGCCAGGAGAAGAGAGCAGTCCCCGAATCGAAATCGTATTGTTGATTAGTCGTTCCATTTGCCATCCATCTCTGTCGTGGAGAGGGGAGTGACCTCATGTCCTCGCTCTCTTCTTCGACCTCCCCTCTCCGTCTTCCCTGCCACCGCCGGCGCCGGCGCCTCGCTTGCTCGAGCTCTGCGCTATTGGTGCCGACGCCGATGCCGCCTGTTGGTACTGCTGTTGATATTGCTGGTGCTCCTGGTCTCCAAAGTCCATGCCGGCGACACCCTCGTCCTCGCCGGCGCAGGCGTCGCACTCCTGGTCGAAGGCGTGCGTCTCGACGTCGACGCCGCGGCGGCACGAGCCGAAGCTGTCGGCGTTCTTGGCCTCGAGACACGACAGCTCCTGCGAGAGGTCGGCCCAGGTGAGGGACTCGTTGCAGCGGGTGCAGGTGCCCGCGAAGAGCACGAGGCGACACATGGTTTGATGTTCGAGTACCGACAGGAGGGGGCTCGAAACTTGGCAAAAGGGAAAGGGATGGATAGGCCGATATGTGTGTTGATTGGTGTGTGTAGGTAGGTAGGTGAATGGCGGATGGATGAGACGAGTCCAGGGTTAGGAGGTTCCGACCGTTTGTTGGGGTTTTCTTTCTTTCTTTTCTTCTTCTCTCAGCGTCAATTGAAGTGCTCGCTCTCGGAACGAATGAAAAGAGGAAGAAGGGAAAGAGTTTGCAACGGTCAAAGTCTGAGCAAAGGGGGGAATGTATGATGGGAGAAAGAAAGAGAAGACTAAGAAGCCTCGAAGGATGAGCCAGCGGCAGCAGACACAACGCTTTAGAAGTGATCGACACAAGGGGCTCTAGCACATCTCGGGAGCCCAATCGACCGCCAAGAAAACAAAAAACAAGAAAACAAAAAAGCTACTAACAAGACACACACAGAGAGAAGAGAGTACGAAAACCCGGGGTAGTAGGCCGGGAACGAGCAGATCGGGGAGGGAACGAGATCAGCGCAATGTCAGAGTCCCTTTCCTGTCAGCAAGAAGCCAGACGAGGGAATACAGGGGCCCGGGCTTTCGCATAGGAGGAAAATAAAATGAAATAAAAAAAAAGGGCATCAGTCAGAAGCGCCCTTTGCATATACGGCTAGCAACCGCTTTGCAGTAGTCCAGATGCAGAATTGCTAGTAGCATCAACAGTTAGCGGCCGTAACAGGCCGCTCCGCCTCCAGATCCCTGTGCCCGCTCTCGAATTGCCGTGCTCTTAAACTCAAGACATTTTCATTTTCACCCCTGCACGTACGTACACGGTAGATATCACACGCAGCCCTCTCCCCCCCCCTTCCGGCAGGGTGCCCGTCGGGGAGGAGGTGGGCACGGTAAGCTCCCCTTCCCCGGCCCTGTCTGTGGGACGGGGGAACGAAAAAAAGGATGAAGGAGGACGAGGAAGAAGAAGGAGAAGAAGAAGGAGATGACTGTCAAGCAGAGTGAGATGGATGACAAGAGTGAAGGGACAGGACAGGAACTTCCAGAGCGACAAGCCACTCGCGACGCAGCGGTAAAGCCACCTTCTGTGCATCGGCTCCGGCTAACAAACGCACACCATGGGTTTGCCGCGGCATGTTCCATTCCAAAAAGCCCTGAGAACAAGGCGGCAGGTATGGTGTCTAAATGATGGACCCGGTCTTCTCATCAGGTTTTTATGAGACATGCTAGGCCTCTTTGGCGTTTGCTGGACGAACCCGGCGTCGTGCGTGTGTTTCTCCCCTCCCCCCTTCTTCGTAACACGCTGTTTTCCCCGCCGAATATCGGTATAGACCCAAAGGGGGAACAGAAGGCAAAACGCACGTCGAGCTTCTCTGACGGGAGGTTTTATTTTTGAAAATGGATGTGGGAGTGGCGGGTGGTCAAAAAAGGTTGAGCAAACCAGTGGAAGCATGCATCATGGGCTGCGTAATGCAGTGCTGCATGTCACTTTGCATGCTGCAACATGAGTCAATGACAGCTCGAGCATGGGCGGCATGTATGGATGGACGGACGGAGCAAAGCTCCCTCGCAAACAGCGCATCTCTTTGTCTTCAAGTCACCAGCCTGTCTCGCCCAGATCCGCATATCTGAACTGCCCAGACATCGCATCTCTCGTTGTGTCACTTCCATCGATCCCTCACAAGATACGCGAGGCCGCTTTCCCAGACATGCAACTCTCCAGAGACTTGTTTTACAAAAGACATGGACTCGGGCAGCCTCTGTTTGATTTGTGTGTACACCGCCCCCGTGTCATACCCGCTCCCCCACGACCCTGCGATGCAACGCTGGATCGGGCATCTGCGGCCAGAATACGGATACAGATGGGGGCAGAAACATCGTGGAACCGCTGATGCACGGGGAAGACACTCCAAACACCCGAGGATACTCTCACTCCGAAAGCCAGCTGTTTCTCTCGCTGGAATCGCCTGGACCCCGTCCCCCTTCAGCTCTGCGGCGTCTCTCTCTCTCTCTCTCTCTCTCTCTCTCTCTCTCTCTCTCCTTTTTTCACCATCTGTAGCATTTCTCAGATACGCATCCCATCCTGCTTTGCTTCTCGCCCGGCTTGGCCCGCTCGAGATGAGAAATTCCAAGTGCGTTGCTGCCCCGTGTACACACGCGTGCGCAGTGGTGGTGTGTGTGACGGCAAACGACATACATCATCCCAATACGGCAATCTCTTCGCCAGTCTCTGCGCGGCGGATGCCATGTCATAACCTTAACCTTGCCGCATGGCTCGGCTCCGGGGCCGTACCACGAGATGACATGACGGGGATATGAACAAGGGGAGGCCTGTGGCTCTCTCTCTCTCTGAAGCAAGCGACATTCGCCGATCCGTCCTATCTCCCCCCCCTTCCTTCATTCATTCCTCCCGCGTCGATCGGACAGAACAAATCTGCGGGCCGTAGGTCGGGAGCGCAGGACCGGGCCGGCACGGACGCGAGACCCATCGGCACACGCGCGCAAGGCCCCAAACGACCGACGCAGACGCAAAATAAGCCTCGACGTCTGTTCGATGACCCTCATGAGGGAATGCACATGTCGCGCTCGTCCATCAAACGGCGGCACCCTGCCGACGACCATGGCTGGCCAACGTCCCTTTCTCGGTGCTACCCCCGAGCCAATGTGCGTGCTCCTGTGCCCGACATGCTCTTGACTTTTTTCGTCCCAAGAACGTTGTCTCGTCAGCCACCGGTTCAGATCAAGGCGCGTTGGCATTCCTGTCTGTACCAAGCTCCCTCTGTCCCTCTCTCTCCTCCGCATGCAATGGCCCCCATCTCATTCTCTGCCAGGCTCACAGGCACGCAAAACCCCCAAACGACTTGAGCGCCCCATGTCCCTGAACGACCTGGACACTCAATCTCCCCGTTCCTTATCGTTGGATCAGTAGGCGGGTGTCCTGGCTGTCAGGAGTTGATCCGCAACCCGCATCTCGAATAGGTAATGTCCGTGTGGCCATGTGCGAGTCCGGAGCAGGTATCTCCCGGAGATCGTAGCAACCGAACCAGATTCACTCTACAGACGAGGCTGAGGATGCATGTGACGACGAGGTTGGAGTTTGCTTGTCGTCAGCTTCCCATGTCACAAACGCAAACGAAAAAGTACCTGAAGCGGTTTCTCTTGTGCCACGGTAGTCCTTGTTCTGGGCAAACGCTGTGCAAGCTGTATCTCATGAGACGCGTATACTCATGGGAATCGATTGACTCGGTAATTAATATTAATACAGAATCGCAATGCTCCTGTTACTTTTTTTTTTCCCTCCTTCTTTTTCGTGTCCATCGTCCGTCTCTGATCGCATCGTCCACCAGGCAAAAGAGAAAAAAAAAACAAAAAAAAAAAAAAACAGGGATATGGGGAATCAGTAGCATCAGCTTTGCGTGAAGAGAGAAACCAGCGTGGTATCATATCCACAGAAACCAAGAAGGAGACCTGGGCTGTACGGGAGAACCATGATAAGAACGCGAGCAAGCTTTTCTCGAGGTGGAGCATTGACCACGGAACCCACAGAACGATTCAGTCAAGACAGGTTTGAGGTAGTCGACCGTAGACCAAGGTTGCGACTTGTCTTAGGATCCATAACCAAATCTCTCTCGCGTCAAGACCACCGGGGGCAGGCGTCTCGAAGCGTCATCATGGCCAACCCGTCAAGATTCCACATGGGGGAGAAGCATGCAACTGCCGCAAAGTCCATGGATGTCCGAGGGCCAGCACGACAGTATCCCAGCCCATCACATAGGCTGTCAAGGGCGTGGGTCATGGGCATCTGGCAGTAGAACCATGTCGTAGAGCGGCATCACGCACCGTTTCCATGTCAGGAGTCCAGTTCCCGGTCATGCCAGTCAAGCATCATGTGCAAGCGAAGAGTGCCATCATCATCGTCAAACGTCGAAGGCAATGGGTGCACCGAGAATTCAGCGAAGCGAAACCAGACGCAGCTTGTCTCCTCCCCCTCTTCGATGTCCGTTCCAGTTCGTGGTATTGTCCAAGAAAAGAAAAAAAAAAAAGGAAAAAGAAAAACACAAGTTGGCGCTGTGCTGTTCCGAGTCCAGCAGTATGGAGGTATCAGTCGTCGGATGATTTGGTAAGTGTGCACTGCCATGAGCCAAGAATCAATGTGCATGTGCGGCGTTTCAGTATACGTAATGCGAAAAGAGGCATCATGTCGAGGTCGGCAAGTGATCAATCAATCACATCACACAAGCATGGCCCCCACTGGACAAGAGCACATGCGGCTTCCCCTACGAGGAGCCTGGTGGAGGCTGAGTACCGGGCTGGCCGGCTGCACCGCCTTGTTGCTGTTGATATACGAGGGACTGGTACCAGAGGGCGAGATAGTTTTGGTATCCTCCGTCTGCAACATGTTAGTATGCGTTCGACATGTTGCCCGTGTTCTTCATGCACTTACACTGCGCGTACGGGTCGGCGCCGTCGGCTCCAACGGGAACTTGGGCAGCTGGCTGATTAGTTGATCCTGATGCTGGTGGGTTAGATGCCTGCTGAGAGTAGCTCCTTTCATAGTCCTGGTTTTGGCGACCGCGACCGCCGCCGCCGCCGCCGCCACCACCACCTCCAGAGTTCTTCTGGCGCTGTTGTGAACGTTAGTAACCATATGGCGGCCCCCTGGCAGACTCGGGAATTGACTCACCACTGCGTCAACCTTCTCCTCGATCGCCTGCTTGGCACGGGTGATGCTATCACGGGAACCGATGAGAGCGATTTCGCGCTGAACCTCGCCTGGTCCGGAAGACTGTGCAACGTTGATCTTGCATCCGGTGCCGTTTTGCATGTCCCTGATGGTCTCGCCTCCCTTTCCAATGATCATGCCAACGGCCTCGGAGGGAACGTAGATGGCATCGTGAATCTTGTCGGGGCCGCCTCCAGGACCGGAGTCTCTCTGGTGGCCGGCGTCCTGCCTCGGGGGCTTCTTCGAGGGGGCGACGGGCTGGCCGTCGTTTCGACTGTCGCTCTCAACGATTTCCATGATGAGATCCTTGGCCTGGGCAGCGGATTCGCGAGAGCCGATCAAGTTGACAGGACGAAGTCCGTTCACGCTCTTGGATTCCCCGACAATATTGATGTGGCAGCCGGAGCGCTCTTGCAGATCCCGAATGGTCTCTCCTCCACGTCCAATAATCAGGCCGACGGTTCTATCGGGGACCATGATCTGCATGCAATCCTCGCCGTCCCGCAGAGCTGCCGCTCCTGCTGCCGCCGCACCACCAGGGGGTCCAGCGCGATTATCACGGGGAGCGGGACCCTTGGGATTGGCTGCGCCACGGTTGATGGCACCCATGCCGCTGTCATCGATGATACGGTTAATGGCCTCCTTGACTTCGGCGCGTCGTGCTCTGGGACCGGTGATCTTGCATTGGCGGAAAGGACCGTTATCGCTGGAAGGAAGGAACTGAACCCGGCAGGTGGACTCTGACTCGATCCGACGGAGGTTCTCGCCCTGACGGCCGATGATGAGGCCAACAAGGCTCGACTCGATCTGAATAGTCTCGGCATTGTCATCACCGCCGCCGCCGCCGCTACCTCTAAGAGGGGAGCGCTCTCTGCCGCTGGGGTTGCGAGGAGAGAAGGTGTTGCCGCGGGGATTGGGGCTATAGGAGCGCTCGCGGCCGTGGCCGTATTCTCGCGGAGCAGGACGTTCATCTCCTCGACGCTCGTCTCTGTAGGGGTTGAAGTTGTCGCGGAACTGGTCGCGACGGTTGGAGGGCGAACGCGAGCGCGAAGTCCTGCTGTAGCCGCGAGAGTCCGGGCCGCGGGGAGGCTCGTTGGAGTAGACAACGGGTCTATCATACGAGGTGACGCCCTTTTCCGCAGCAAATGCCTTGGCTTGCGCAATGGCGTCGGCGATGCTGACGGTGCCAGAGTTGACAGGGCGAATGGAGCTGAGATCCAAGCTGCCGCTGGCCGAAGGCTGAGGCAGACCCGGGTAAGCGGCACCATAGGGAGGAGCGCTCTGCTGGGGCATTGGGGGGTATGAAAGGGGCGCTTGGGCGCCGGGAGGAGGAGGGTATCCAGGAGGCATGCCGGGCTGGCCTTGGGTGGGCGTCGAAGATGTGCCTCTTTGTGCGGCGCCTAAGGAAAGACAAAGCAGTCAGTCAAGGGGATTCATGGGCAGTGCATACAACAATACAATGCTTGGGTCGGGTCGCGTCTTGGGCACCTACCTAGGGCGGCAAGGATAGAGGAGATATCACGAGGTGGTTCGGCCATTTTGGCTGTCGCGTGCGAAGATAAGAGTACGCGATGGAAGAATGAGTTGCGGCTTTGTCAGAGAGAGGTGGCGGGTGGGAAGACTTTTGAGAGCGAGATGAAATTTCAGCGCGGCGCAAATCTGAGTGAGTCGGGCTGAATCCGAGAGTGGGTTCAATCAGGTGACAGATATCAGTATCAATGCCCAGCAAAGTCACAGAATTGAGGTCAAAGTCGGCGAGGAAGAGGGCGGCCGTGTTGATTAAACGAAATTCGCACGCGCAGGATTCGCAAATTGATGTTGTCGGCTTGGAGGAACGCCGGGAGGCAAGTCGAGCGCGAGACGTTTTCCTTGGAGGTTTGAAGTTTTGATGAGACCGCCTGCCAAATCCAGCTGAGAGATTTGCTCCTTCCCGTGGGTCGTTACAGCCTACTTAGTTGCGATGTGGAATGCGCAAAGGCCTTGTCGGCAAATAGGTAGGTAGGCACAGGCAGGGGCAGGATGGCAGGGGGGGGGGGGAGGGGAGCAGGAGGTTGGCAAGTGGCACTGGAGTGAAAATTTGGAAGAAGTCGGACCTTTGTTTATCCGAGACCCTCACTAGGACGGCCATCGATAAGGAATGCCCCGATAAGATATCTCTTGATAAGAGAGAGAAACCCATCGATAAGAGCACAGGCCACATCGGGTTGGATCACAAGTGTCTCTCTCATTCACAGACAGGAGCTTCGAACCTACCGTCTCTCTGCCGCAGACATGGCTCGCTCGCAGCGTGCGTTGAGTCCGGCAGCGCAGCGAAGCGCCCATCGTTGCAGAGCCCAGGCCAGCACCGGCCAATCATTCCCTGCCAGCATCAAAACTCGAGACGACTCCGCATGCACGATGTACATACCTAGGTAGTACGGATAGGCAGTTGGGAAAAAGGAAGAAAGGCGCACAGGGCAGGTGCGAGTGAGTTCCTTGTTTAGTGGGGCATCTGCCATTCGAAAAGAAACTGGGAACCATATCTTTACTGTGGGTGGTACCTAGCCGACGGCAGGAGAGATCGATGGTACCTTGCTTTTGGGGTCTGGATGATCGCGCACGAGGAAGGACCTGCCTTCGCCCGACCCTCGCCCGACTGCGCCTGCCTGCCTTCCTGCCTGCCTGCCTTCGGCAAGACGAGGGCAACGTCGGGAAACCAAGGAAGGAGAACAAGGCATGACCCGAGGAGCCGCCCTCCTTCTCTTTCTTGCCTCCCGACTCTTCTTATTTGTACAGGTAATGTCTGTCTACCTAGGTAGCCTTATTAGTAAAGTATTGTAGGAAGGTACCTGGGCACCCGGGCTGGGATGAACACTTCCAGCATGTCACTGCTACCTAGTGGAATCTTCATCAAGTAAGCTTTCGAACTGTCTGGCCAGGATCAACCGTCAAGACGCCGTTCCTGTCGCAAACCGGTTTTCGCATTCACTCGCTGTGTGGCAAAAAGGCTTGGCACGGATCATCGCTCGTCGGCCGACGTGCCTTTTGGATGCATGGAATGCCTAACACGGACGTGACGGAGAACCAAACACACCAGTGACAACATGCAAAATTCCCGCCCATAGTGCTCGACCAATGCTTTGCTCTCGTTTTTGCAAATCTCCGCCTTTACGGACACTTGCCAGCTGTTTACAAGGGTTCTCTCTTGGCGACGTGAGCCGAACAAACCTTCTCTGTCCACTTATTGGATCAAACTTTGGCAAAGAAAAAACGTAGGGGGGTCCCATGCAAGCGCCAGCCATCTGCCGCCTCCATTCGTTCGCTGTCTGACGATCTTTGCTGTGTTCCTGCTTCACTTCCTAATGTAGGTATGCTTTCCAGGCCTCGTCGTCGTCCTCGCGACCTCTTCCTAGGTAGTCTCCATGACCCTTAGTGACCCTTCGTGCAGTCCCGCAAGACCCAGGTACCTCTACCCTCCCGGCGCCTCGGCCAAGTCCAGAATCGAGAACTCGTTCTGAACACCCTATTCCCGAGCCAGTCAACTCACCGTTTCTTCGCTGATACCAACCCCTCCTCCTCCTCCTCCTCCTCCTCCTCCTCCTCTTCCTCCTCCAGGCACAGCCACCAGCGACTAGCAACCTGGTTTGCTCTTGCTGGCGTGACTCGCGACGGGGATACGGACTGGGGCGGACCATCGCCGCCCGCCTACGAGAGGTGGCACGGCGGGAAAGACTCTCCGCAATACCTAATGCTCTCTCGGGTTGCCAATGGCGTCACAGCGCATTCTTGCCGTGAGCTCTCTCCCACCAGTCCGAGCCTATGAATGAGACCGGGTTCACGTTTAAATGCCATCCATCCTCTGCTACACCCCGGAATGGCGACTTTCGGAAAGATGGGCACCATCCATCTGTGGCTCCGTGGTGTCCCCTTGCTCAGTGACTCAAACTTTCGATTGGTATATCATTCGAGCTCGTCCCATCCATGAAGCCATCGCCCTGTTGGCTTGTATTGAGTTGGCCCTTTGCTCACCTGGTACCGCAACCACCAAGTTCTCACTCGGCAAGTCTCAAGCAAAGAGTCTTACCATTCGACAAGACCTCATTGTAGGAGCTACAAGCAAAACCACAACACCACTCACCATTCTCGCCAAGCCGGCTCATCGCATCAGCTCTCACACGCTCAGCCCTGTCTTCGAGACGGACCGGGTTTACTATTACAGGGCTAAAAATCGACCGATCTGATCATACGGCTACACGACATCGAGCCTCAAGAGCCCCATCTCGTCTTCCGGAAATATCCCTCTGCCTTAGCAGCGTTTGGGCAGCCGCTCATCGTGACCCCGGACGACGCATTTGGTTGGCTGAGGGAAGCCGTAGAGCGCGCTTAGAGAACGGCTCTACCCAAATCCACCCTGACCCGGTGCCGCCAAACGAAACACCCATCTGGGCCTGGTCGTGGTAATTTCCTTTCAAGGCCGCGGCCAAAAGTGTCTTTTTGACCACCTTTCTTTGGCATTGTGGTGTGAATCGGGTAAGCCGCCTTTTCTTTTCTCTTCTTTCTAATTTCGACTCTCGCCCTTGTTGCGCGGCTAGAAATTCCCGGGGAGGGATCCTGTGCGATGCTGCCGGGCCTGCTGCTGCTGGCCGTGTTAGTCGGCTTCCTTTTTATTATGTGCACTTCCCAGTCACGCTCCTCACCTCCCGCCTCTGTCGTCCTTCCAAGTCATCCTCGTCCTGCGTATTCCTCCTCTCCCAAGACGTACCCACAATGGAATCATAGAAGTTTGTTCAGAATCACTGTTTGACGGGTTTCCTTTGTCATTCTCCTTACCTCCTCTCTCTCTCTCCTTCCTCCTTTCTGTTCATCGAGTGATTCACCTAATTTTCCTCTAATCGACCTTCATCACCACATAATTTTCCCTCCTCAACGTCGACTCTTCTCTCTTCTCTCTCTATCCTTCGATTGCAAACTTGCTGTTTTTATTTCTTCTTCACTTTTAACTTTTATTTGCTGGTCAAAAAAACAAAAACAAAAAAAAACACTTGCATCATCTTCTCACGCTCGCGATAGACTCAAGATGTTTTTCCCACGGAACCAAAAACAAGAGGCCTATCCGGCCGTCCCCGACTCCCTCAGGTCGGACTCGCTCGAGATGTCGGAACTTAGAAAGACGCAACAAGCGCGAGCCGACACTGATCCCTACATCACGCCATACCTCAGTCTCCAGGCCAGGCTCTCCCAGATCTGGCTGAACCGGTGGACGATCCTGCTCTTGCTCGTCCTCGCCAGAGTCTTGCTGCTCGTCGTCAGCCTCAACGACAATGTCGACGAAGCGAATCAGAAGGCGCTCTCGGCTTGCACAAAGGTCGAAGATATTGGCAGCGCCATGGCGTCCATGCCTCACTACCTCTCCGTTGGCGTGAACGAGCTATCGGCCCAAGGCATCGAGAAGACACTCGACGGCATGGTCGCCGTGCTCGGTTTGGTCATCACCGGTGTCCAGAACCTCATCATCTTCGTCATCAATATGCTGACCTCGATGTACACCTGCCTCATCACCGCCTTCATCCACGGCGGACTTGATGTCGCTTCGGATGTCACAAAGAAGTTCACCGATGCCATGAACAATGCAGTGGGCAAGATTTCCAACGTCATCGACAGCGAGTCCAAGAGCGTGAGCGACGGCATCAACAAGGCTGTCGATGCCATTGAGAACTCTGTCCTCGGCAACGTCCTGCCCGACTTTCCCAAGGTTGACTTTTCGGGACCCGTCAACGACCTGCGCGACCTGAAAATCGACACCAGTGGCTTCGTCAGCGATCTCAACAACCTCAACAACAACATCCCTACTTTCGAAGAGGTCCAGAACATGACCGCCGAGGCCATCTCGTTCCCGTTCAACCTCCTCAAGACGACGGTTGAAAACGCCTACAAGGGCTACAGATTCGATCGCTCTGTCTTCCCCGTCGCCCAGAAGCAGGCGCTCACGTTCTGTTCGACCAACAACAGGATTTCCGAGTTCTTTGACGGCCTACGGGACATGATCCGGAAGGCCCGCATCATCTTCATCGTCGTTCTCTGCATCCTCGCCGTGCTGGTCATGGCGCCCATGGCGTGGATGGAGATCAGACGGTGGAGGCGCGAGCGGAAACACGCAAAGATCATGGCCAGCAACCAGTACGACTCGATGGACGTGGTCTACATCGCCTCCCGACCCATGAGTGCCACCTGGGGCATCAAGATTGCATCCCACTTCAAGGGCAGGCGCCAGATCCTTGTGCGCTGGGCCATTGCATACGCCACGTCGCTTCCAGCTCTTTTCGTCCTGGCTCTTGCCATCGCCGGCTTCTTCTCCTGCCTTTGTCAGTACCTCCTCCTCAGGGCAGTCGAGAGAGAAGTGCCTGCGCTCGCCAATCAAGTGGGCGCGTTCGCCGGCGAAGTCGTCAACTCGCTGGAGGACGTTTCCAGGTCATGGGCCAGCGACGCCAATGGTGTCGTGCTGTCCACGCAGAACGAAATCAACAACGACATGCTCGGATACGTCACCAACGCCACCTCGGCGGTCAACGACACGTTGAACACGTTCACCAGCACCATGGCAACCGGGCTGGAGACGGTGTTCAACGGCACCATCCTCATCAACCCCATCAAGGACGTCGTCCGCTGCACCATCGGGCTCAAGATCGAGGCTGTGCAAAAAGGACTGACGTGGGTTCACGACCACTCGCAGGTGGCGTTCCCTCTGTTTCCCAACGACACGTTTAGCCGCGGGGCCGAAGAGTCCGTCTCGGGGGATTCGGACCTCCAGACGTTCCTTGCGTCCCCGTCATCCGTGTCAACGGACGAAGTCACGGGTGCCATAACGCACGTCACAGATATTCTCCGCCGTGGCATCATCCAAGAGGCTCTCATCTCGACAGGGATCCTCCTCGTCTACGTCATTGTCGTCCTCATCGGTGTGATGCGCGCTCTGGTTGGCATGGCCATGCCAGACAAAGGCCGCAGCGAGGGCGGATTGCGCTACACAGGGGACGACCGCCCGGCCATGAGCCCGAGAAGCCCTCCCAGATCCCGCGACAACGACTCGCGATTCCCTCAATTCGGCAGCGATGCATCTGCAGTGGATGATGATCACTATGGCGAGTTCCGAGATGAGAAGGCGGTCAAGAAGACGAGCGTACAAGGTCGCAGAGTGCAGCCCATGGAGGGCCATCAAAGACAAAGCTCGTACGGCCACCTCGACACAGCGTCATCTAACAAGTTCTAGACGGTATCTAAGAAGCTTCACCAAGGAAGAAAAAAAAAGATATTGAAAAGTAGAAGAAAAAAAAAGAATGGAGGAATAGGTGGAGACTGATCTACCTCCGGCCTGGGCTGGACCGACGCCGAGAGATATCCCTCATTTACGACAGGTCTGAAGATAATACGAAGAGCACGAAATGCACAGGCGTTGGATTGTGATGAGTAGGTATTTCAATATTCGTGTACAGGGAAGGGAGGGAGAAGTCTTCAAAAGATACCAACGGCTCAATCTGCCGCACCGTTTTGTCTTTCGATTCTACAACGGGTCTCAACTTTTTTGCGTTCGGAATCAGTTCATCAAGAGAATGATTTATTTTTCTTGTGCTTGTAGCAGCACCGCCGGCTCTACCAAGATGTCTTATTTTGGTATATATGTATATCTCGAGGTAGTTCCAGATATAAAAACACACTGCTAGCTGCAACCAAACACAACGTTCTGTAGGGTGAGCCCAGACTTTTTACATGTGACTGTAACCGTGGGGGATTGTATAGTTAGGGGCAATATGGTGGAAGATGAAGTGGGACCAAGGGATGACCCTTGAAGGGCGAAATGTCGATTGAGAAAGAATCAATTCACTGTCCGGAGTCATTGACTTGGGACAGCTGATGAGGAGTATGTGAGCGTACAGTATGTGTAACGACGTAGGTACCGGTAGGTGTATACTCACTCTCACTCAATGACTCTACCTACTCTATGTGGCGAGTGAGTTTGTCCGTCCTTGCCTGCCGGAGCGGCAAGAGGTGTGGAGAAAGAAGTGGGGTAGGTATCTGGAGTTACCTCTTTTGGGCATCTCCGCCCCGCCTCGGAGTGTAACGGCACGAATGGCGGGCTCCGACTTTCTGGCCCGCGGGGAAGAAGCCGTGAGGCAATCGTACCTGTAGGTAGGTACATGGTACGTACATTGTGTGATGCTGTACGTGCCACTGGGACCGTTGGATCATTGATTGCACCAGTCAGGAGGCTCAATTAGGGATGAACAGGGCGCTATCCGGCATCGGGGAGGTGGCGGACGTGGGGATTCCTGTCGTAGGGCTCAGATACTGAGATGCTGTGTTACTGTTAATGCTCTTACTGAATAGGCGGAGCTCCCGCTGAATCGGCCGTCCCGCCTTTTCGTACGCCCCCCCGACACTGATTCCCGTGTCCATCCCGCACCTTGAGATCATTGTTTTCCTGTTCCTCCCACTTAAAAGTACCACCGCCCTCGATCTTCTTTCTCTCCATCTTCTCACGGTACACTTTCTATATACCCATTGTCACAAGAAAGTATCACACACAATAATCATGGAGGGCATTAGACAAACATTCCAGCGCTGCAAGGCCCAAAATAGGGTGAGTCTTTCCCCCGCCCTGTCTTTTTGCCCCTCGTTGCGATCGCGGGGCCAAGACGGCCGACCCTCACCGCCAAGACTCGCAGCGTTCGTTGGTCAGACGGGAAGCAATTGGACTGACAATCAACCTTTTGTTTAGCCCGCACTTGTTACATATGTTACTGCCGGTTACCCGACGCCCCAGGACACCCCCAATGTCCTGCTGGCTATGGAGAAGGGCGGTGCTGGTGAGTTGCTCTCCAATCCTTGACGATACTCCCCAAAGGGGGGAAGAACCACGACTCTGACTGCGAGATAGATGTCATCGAACTCGGCGCTCCTTTCACCGACCCTATCGCCGACGGCCCGACCATTCAGACATCGAACACTGTGAGTGGCGGCGGCGGCTAGAGCACACGTGCATTGGCAAGCGCCCAGGGGAACTGACAGCAGACAGGTCGCGCTGCAACATGGCGTAACGATCCAGTCGACGCTCAAGATGGTCAAGGACGCAAGAGATCAGGGCCTGAAGGCGCCCGTCATGTTGATGGGATACTACAACCCTCTCCTGAGCTACGGCGAGGAGAGACTCTTGACCGACTGCAAGACATCAGGCGTCAACGGCTTCATCGTCGTCGACCTGCCCCCCGAGGAGGCCATTTCTTTTCGCAAGCTCTGCACAAAGGGAGGGTGAGTTACAACCCGTCCCCCAACCCCCCGCGAGGTTACGCAAGACTGACCTCGCCCCGACTCTAGACTCTCCTACGTCCCCCTGATCGCTCCGGCAACCTCCGACGCCCGTATGAAGATCCTCTGCAAGCTGGCCGATTCCTTCATCTACGTCGTCTCCCGCCAGGGTGTCACCGGCGCTTCCGGCTCCCTTAACGCCAACCTGCCCGCCCTCGTCGAACGAGTCAAGAAGTACAGCGGCAACAAGCCCGCCGCCGTCGGCTTCGGTGTGAGCACGAGAGACCACTTCCTGAGCGTTGCCCAGCTTGCCGACGGCGTCGTCGTCGGCTCCCAAATCATCACAACCCTTCAAAAGGCGGCCCCTGGTCAGCTGTACGACGACGTCGCAAAGTACTGCGCGTACCTCTGCGGCCGCGACAACGCCAACGACGAGACCACCCGCGAGGTCGGCATGGTCGAGGCCATGGGCGCCGCCAAGGAGCCCACCGACCCCACCGTCGACGAGGTCATCACCGCCGACCAGGACAGCTCGCTGGTGGCGGAGCTCGCCGCCATGCACGGCAAGATCCCCGACCGCTTCGGCGACTTTGGCGGCCAGTACGTGCCCGAGAGCTTGATGGACTGCCTGTCCGAGCTCGAGGAGGGCTTCAACCAGATCAAGGACGACCCGTCCTTCTGGGAGGAGTACCGCTCCTACTACGATTACATGGGCCGCCCCGGCCACCTGCACCTCGCGGAGCGGCTGACCGAGTACGCCGGCGGCGCCAACATCTGGCTGAAGCGCGAGGACCTCAACCACACGGGCTCCCACAAGATCAACAACGCCCTGGGCCAGCTCCTGCTCGCCAAGCGCCTCGGCAAGACCAAGATCATCGCCGAGACGGGCGCCGGCCAGCACGGCGTCGCGACCGCCACCGTGTGCGCCAAGTTCGGCATGGAGTGCACCGTCTACATGGGCGCCGAGGACGTCCGCAGGCAGGCCCTCAACGTGTTCCGCATGAAGCTCCTCGGCGCAAAGGTCGTCGCCGTCGAGGCCGGCAGCAAGACGCTCCGCGACGCCGTCAACGAGGCCCTGCGCGCCTGGGTCGTCGAGCTCGACACCACCCACTACATCATCGGCTCGGCCATCGGGCCCCACCCCTTCCCCACCATCGTGCGCACCTTCCAGTCCGTCATCGGCAACGAGACCAAGGCGCAGATGCTCGAGAAGCGCGGGAAGCTGCCGGACGCCGTCGTCGCCTGCGTCGGCGGCGGCAGCAACGCCGTCGGCATGTTCTACCCCTTCGCCAACGACCCCTCGGTCCGCCTGCTCGGCGTCGAGGCCGGCGGCGACGGCGTCGACACGGCCAGGCACAGCGCCACCCTCTCGGGCGGCACCAAGGGCGTCCTGCACGGCGTCAAGACGTACATCCTCCAGGACGAGCACGGCCAGGTCGCCGAGACCCACTCGGTCTCGGCCGGCCTCGACTACCCGGGCGTCGGCCCGGAGCTCAGCTGCTGGAAGGACAGCGAGCGCGCCAAGTACGTCGCCGCGACCGACGCCGAGGCCTTCATCGGCTTCCGCCTCATGAGCCAGCTGGAGGGCATCATCCCGGCCCTCGAGACGGCCCACGGCATCTACGGCGCCATCGAGCTGGCCAAGACGATGAAGAAGGGCGAGGACGTCGTCATCTGCGTGAGCGGCCGCGGCGACAAGGACGTGCAGAGCGTCGCCGACGAGCTGCCCAAGTTGGGGCCCAAGATTGGATGGGATTTGCGTTTCTAAGAAAAAAAAAAAAAAAAGAGATTCTCCAAAGAGTGAAAAAAAAATCGGGAAACCGATTATGTGTTATGTGCCGACACGATGAAACGGGCATCTACACATTTTTGCAGACAAAAACAACAAGAAAACAAAAAGGGGCGGGGCGTACATGACGAGAGATGATATCCATTGTTCGAACCGAGGGGGGACGGTTCCGGAAAGCGACTTGTTTGTAGACACGCAAGAAATCCGAAAAAAAGTTTTATAGATTTACTTTTTCGTGAAGAGTGAATAGCTTCTTCCCCCTCGCGCCCCCCCCCCCCCGTTTGTGCGTAGTCTTCTGTACCGTGAGAGGGAGGAAATATTTGTACATATGATACAATGACTAGTTTCTTCTTTCTTTCTTCCATCTTGCCTTTTTGGAATACCAGCAAAACGTGAATTCTACACTCCTACACACACACACACACACACGTAAGCGCGGGCGCGGGCGCGTGCAAAAACACTATGACCTCTTTTCCTCAACGGGCGGTTCCTTGATCCCTTGGGCGTGGAAGTCGTCGTCCTCGTACAGGGCGCCGGGCTCGAACAGCTCGGCGTCGTCGCCGATGGCGAACTCCTCGGCGATCATCTGGCTGGCCCTCCGCTCGAGGGTCTGCCTACTGGTAGCGCTGAGGCGGTTCCCGGTGGAGGCGTCGATCATGTAGTAGACGAGGTCGGTCTGGTCCTCGGGCATGGGGGCGCGGACGCCGAGGGCCTCGCGCTCGGCGGCGTAGCGGGCGCGGAAGGCGGGCGAGTTGGCGACGAGCCAGCGGAGCCTCCAGCCGCCGGGGCCGAGCTCGCGGACGCGTGCGGGCTTGGCCTTCGTCACGTAGGCGTCGATGCCACCCTCGCGGCGGACGGTGCGGAGGACGCGGGTCGTGAGGCGGGCGCGGACCCAGGCGCCGAGGGCCTCAGACCAGAGGCGCTTGCGGTGGACGTTGGGCCGCCAGGTGCGCGGGGTGACCTGGCCGTGCTTCTCCGAGACGTTGTGGCCGTGGCGGATGCGGGCGGCGCCGTAGAGGCCGTTGTTGGACTGCTTGTAGAGGAGGCGGGGGCCGTAGGGGTAAGGGGGCACGGGGGCGGCGGGGATCTTCTGGAGGTTGATGGTCTTCGTGGCGAGGGGGGAGGATGTCGAGAAGGCGCGGGCGGAGGGGGCTGCGGCGGTGGTGGTGAGGGTGAGGTTCTGGAGGGAGACGAGGAGGGAGGACCCCGGCCTCGGGGTGATGAAGCGCATCGTTTGTTTTTGTTCTGCTTCTGTGTGCCCTTGTCGTGTCCGGGAGAATTCGTTTGCAGGGAAATCGGATCAGACGCGCGGCATCGGGTCGGACGGACGGGCGTCGGTGTACGGGGTATCGTCGTCGTCGTCGTCGTCGTCGAACTCGTGAGCTTGCGTAGCTGGGGATGATTTTTTGGCAATGGGCAGAGTTTCGGAGCTTCGAGATTCGGGCGCGTGGATGTTCCGCTCCATACGGATTGAGATGCTTGATTGGCTCAGATCGACTGGGGTGGATCGCACTTTGGGGGTGATGAATTGAGTTGAATCAGGTGACTGCGATACGTACCTAAGGTTGGCCTAAGCGGATCACGTGACGGCGTGTTACTTTCGTGACAGGGCTCCGTGGTCTTTGGGCCGGCCCGTGGCTCGAGCGAACCCCTCCACACCGACACATCGAGACCGGCGCACCGTTGGTAGTAGCCTGCTGCATCGTTGCGCCTGGTGAACAAACCGACATTCGACTCTCTGAAATCAAGAGACGTGATACGGCCCGGAACCGCAGAAGAGAAGAGCCTGTTGGTGTTGAAGAACAGACGAAAGACGAAAGACGGCCAGCCATGTTACCGCCGGTCGAGCCATCCGTCCTCCAGAACAATCCACAGTTCGCCGAGCTGCATCACGCCCTCACGACAGCGATCCTGAACCTTGACGGCACAACCAGGAAACCCACGACTAAGGAGCAGACCTCGGCTCAGAATGTGAGTGTGCCTCCTTGGTCCCTACAACGGCCCGGAGCTCATCATCGACTAACATGAACCCCACGATGGCTTGACCCCCTTCCCCAGCTAACACCACACTAGGAACTCGCCGACCACAGGTTCAACGCCGCAAAGGAACATCTTTTAATCAGTGCAATCTCCAACACCGCCCCTCCCGAGCCCAAAGCAGTGTCGGTGAGGATAATCACCCGCAGCAAATCCGCCTCCCAGCCCGCCTCGGCGCCGCAACCGCAACAACTCCCCGACTCCCTCCTCGACCTCCTCCTCCTCCTCCCGCCACTACTCACGGCGACCACCGAGCCCCTCCCCGCCGACGCCCTGGCGATCTTGCTCTCGAACCCGCCCTTCACCGAGTTCCAAGCCCTCCTCCCGCAGCTCGGCGAGCTTGTGTCGGCGACGCTGCACGCCTCGGCCGTCGCCCTCGCGCGCATCGCGAACCCGACAACGAACCCCTCCTTCCTGCACCGCAACGTGCCGGCGCTGCAGACGACGTACCACCGGCTCGAGGCCGACGTGCGCGAGGCGAAGCACGCGCTGGCGCGGGAGCGAGTGCGCGTGGCGGGCAGCCTGACGGGGCTGTTGGACAAGTACGCCGGGGCGCTGACGCTGCTGGTGCGCGCGCTCGAGGCCAAGCACGGCGTCGTGGCGCGCAGCCTCGAGTTCCGGGCGGCGGAGGCGGGGCTGGAGGCGCAGAGGGCCGAGGCGGATGCCGTCGCGGCGCGGGAGGGGGTCCGGCGGGAGGTGTACTCGCCCGAGATGGCGGCGGCGCTGAAAAACTACTCGGCGCACCTGCGGGACGCGCGGATGAGGCTCGAGGGCACGGTGGCGACGCTGCGCTCCGAGCTGGAGGGGTACGGCGTCGCGGGCGGGGGCGACGGAGGCAAGGAGAGGATGCTGCGGGAGATGGCGCGGAAGAAGCGGCAGCTCGAGAGGGAGCTGGAGGACGCGAGGAGGGACGTGGCACGGTTGGACAAGGCGTGAGTGAGCGTCTTAAAAAGGGAACGCCGGCCGGTCTGGAGAAGAGCCCTGGAAGGCACCCAGAGGAACAAACGAGTTAATGACGGGGGCAAAAGAAAAAAAAGCAAGCGTGTTGGACATGTTTACATTTGAAAGACGTGCCGCTATATTGTACACAGCCGGGACGCAATGCGTAGTCTACCAAGAGAGCCTCCAACGTCTAATGTCCACCGGGGCCTAGTCTAGCTCGGCGTCGCGCAGAAACAGATGGCCCATCTCCAAAAGAAAACCACTTCCATCTCCACCGCCCCCCCTCCCCTTTCCTGTTCGTACAAACCTCCTTTTTTAGGGTATGAAACTACCCTTTCGGCAGAATCAAATGAGAATACTCTCTACGGCGGGAGAAAAAGGGGAAATTTAACCCTTGACCTTATAGATGGCCTCGGCGAGGCGGCCGACGTTGCCGGTGGTGATGCCGGCGACGGAGATGCGGCCGTCCCTAGTAGCGTAGACGGAGTGCTCCTTGGCGAGGGTGTCCATCTGGTCGGGGGTCAGGCCGGTGTAGGCAAACATGCCGATCTGGCTGGTGATGTGGGACCAGTCGTGGGCGGAGCCGAGCTTCTCGAGGTTCTCCTTGAGCAGGGCGCGCATGGTGATGATGCGGTCGGCCATGCCCTTGACCTCGGCGAGCCACTGCTCGTTGAGGGCCGGGTCGTTGAGGATGGCGGAGGCGATGCGGGCGCCGTGGACGGGGGGGTTGGAGTAGAGGGGGCGGACGAGGATCTTGACCTGGGAGTCGATGCGGGCGCGCTCCTCGGCGTCCTGGGCGACGATGGAGAAGGCGCCGACGCGCTCGCCGTAGAGGCCCATGTTCTTGGCGAAGGACTGGGCGAGGCAGACGTTGTGGCCCTCGTCGACGAAGTGGCGGACGGCGAAGGCGTCGGTGTCGGTGTTGCCCGAGGCGAAGCCCTGGTAGGCCATGTCGAAGAAGGCGTAGTGGCCGGCGGCCTTGACGGCGGCGGAGATCTCGCGCCACTGCTCGGGGGTGGGGTCGACGCCGGTGGGGTTGTGGGCGCAGGCGTGGAAGAGGAAGATGGAGTTCTTGGGCGCGGCCTTGATGTCGGCGAGCATGCCGGCGAAGTCGAGGCCGATGGTCTTCTGGTCGTAGTAGCGGTACTTGTTGACGGTCAGGCCGGCGTCGGAGAAGACGGCGCCGTGGTTGGCCCACGAGGGGTTGGGGATGTAGATGTTCTTGGCGCCGGGGTAGAAGCGGGCGAGGAAGGCGCCGCCGATGCGGAGGGCGCCGGTGCCGGAGATGGACTGGGTGATGGCGAGGCGGCCGAGGGCGGAGGAGTCGGCGCCGTAGGCGAGGACGGCGGCCGACTTTGTGAACTCGGGCACGCCGGTGATGCCGGCGTACTCCTTGTTCAGCTTGGCGGCGACGACCTTCTGCTCGGCCGTGCGGACGGAGGGGAGGACGTAGGGCTTGCCCTGGTCGTCGCGGTAGGCGCCGACACCTGGTGTTGTTTTTTGTAAGTCAATGTTCAGTCGGGGGGGGGGGTTGGTTTGTCTGGTTTGTCTAGCTTGTCTAGCTGGCCGCTAGCTAGCTTGGGACAGCTGACCACAATGTGGCTTGGCGGGGGTTTATCGTACCGAGGTTGATCTTTCCGTCGAACTTGTCGGCCTTGAAGGCTTCGGTGATACCTGATTATCTCGTGTTAGTCGCGGTTGCGAGCTTGGAGGTAAAAGAGCTTAGGGTTGTGGTGGGGGGGGGGGGGGGGGGGAGCTTCGAGTGCGTCATACCGAGAATGGCCTGTTCGTCGCCGAAAAAAAAGCGGCCCAGTCAGTAAACCCAGTCTTGGGTAATTTTCTTTCCTTTCTTTTTCGTTCTTGTTGCTCGTTCTTCGGAGTCGACACTTACATCCTGTGGCATTCGTTAGCAAACGTGTGGCGCACTCAATTGGAATCCGGGAAGAGGCGTGTGCGTGAGACATACAGGAGGACCTTGGGGGACGTTGGCCCAGGTAGAGCCGGCTCGCGCGGCCGAGACGGGGAGAGCGGCCATGCGGCGCACGGCAGCCTGCCGGGTTGCGATTCTGGCGGAGGACAGCATCTTGATATCGGAGGGTTAAACCGAGAAACAGACTTGGGGGATGAGGAGGAGGAAGAGGGAAGAGGAAGAAAAACAAAGAGGTAGATGGCGGTTTGGGGATAGAAAAGAGAAGTGGGTGGTACCAAAAAAAAAAAAAAAAGGATTCCGTTCCGAGACAGCGAAGTACCGACAGGCAGAGAAAAGCTGCAGACAGACAGCAAAGCAGAGTGGTCCAACCAAGGAATATGGGCTGACTTGTGACTCTGCCGCCTTTCTGGGGGACAACAAGCACATGAGTCTTTCGCCGATTGCTTGGGTGGGGTGTGGTGAGGCTGGGGTGGGGGTGTAGACAGTAATTCTTTAGCGAGGGGAAGAAGGGTAGGGTGGGGGAAGGGGCGTGTCAGCATCGGCCCGATATGACGACTTGGAGAAAAGACCGGAACACTGTGAATGGACCGACTCAAGGTTGGGTCCACTTATCCTGATTACTCATGCGGCAAAGGAAGATCGGAATTTCAGTTTTGCCGCTCTCCGCACTTCTCGGTCTGTGAGGGTCTCACGGGGACGGACGTCAATATCGACACCCCCTCAACCCCCCCAACCCTGCGACCCAGGCTTGTTTTTACTGGAGCGCATGCTGAACACGTTACGATGTTACGATGTTACGATGGACCTTCCGGCTTCGGACGGGATGCCGGCCGTCTCTCTCTCTCTCTCTTTTTCTTTTTCTTTTCTTTTGGCCTGCTCACAGCTGCCTCGACATGTGGTTTCGTCACGGACGACCCGCATTCGTAGCTGGCCGGATGCGTCATCCATCATGCTGTTATTTGCCCGCTTCGAAACGAGTTTCACCCGCCTGAGTCGTCCTTCTTTGTCGCCCGTGTTGTGTTTCGACCTCTCTTGATCCGCTCTTTGCCAGAAAAGAAGGCAAATCCAGTCTGCAAGAGAAATAAAGAAATAAAGCTTCCGGGGGGGGGGGGGGGGCGGTGAGCCACATGCCCGCCGATCCCTGATGGTCTTCCCCGCCTGGTTGGCTAACATTTCCCCTTTCGGCCACGCGTATTCGAATTGGTTGGTAGTACTTCGTACCCTCCTCATGCATGTGTCTCTGCATCTTCAAATACACTGTCTCTTCATTAACAGTTTGTAAGGCTACCATGCTAGGAGACATTCACGAGGCATCGGCATCGGACTACGGAAAGAGCCGTACAGCCGGCTGGTCAAGCGTGGGTACGATGACTCGTTAGAAACGCTACATTTTATCAGATGGCTACGGCTACCGTAGGGCTGAACTAGGACCCCCCATATTCTCCATCTGCAGTGCCTTCCTGCTTATTTATGCCTTGGGAGGCAGCACCGTCGGCACAGGAGGACGCGTCGTCGTCCTGGGCAGCTCGGGCACGACGGGCGTGGGGATGCACGCGCACGCGCTACTGACCCTCGCGACGGGCTCCTTGTCCTTGTTCTCGACGCAGGCTTCGGCGGCGTACTCGGGCAGCAGGCTCTCATCAGTCCTCTGGCGCGCCGTGAAGTTACCGCAGAACTCCAGCGACTCCTCGAGGCGCCCGGGGATCGTGTTCGCGCGCAGCGCCCGGAGGCAGTTATCGGCGCTGCAGTCCGTGGCCGCCTTGAGGCACTCCTTGGATGTCATCTTGACCACGAAGCTGCCGCGCTCGATGGTGTGCACAAAGATGAAGCCCGACTCGAACTTGGCGTACGACGACCAGGACCCCGCAAACTGCACCACGCCGCCGCCCTCCGCCTCGTCGTCCTCGGGGTACACGTCGAAGAAGCCGACCTCGCAGATGCCCGCGCCCGTGGGGTCGCTTGTGACACTCGACACGTCGAGCACGTTGATGCCGTTGCCGTAGTTGGACTGGTACAGGTAGCCGTTGAACATGTACTGGTTGTGGTCGATGGAGCGCCTCTTGCCGGCGTAGTGTCCCGTGTACGCGGGCTTCTCCAGGTCGCGGATGTCAAAGATGTGCGTTGTCGGCAGGCCCTGCGTCATCGGGCCCACCTTGGCGTCGCGCTCGTCGAATTCGTCGTCCAGGAAGAGGTACTCCTGCCACGTCTCGTTGTTGACGACGCCCTGGTGGATGTACTCGGCCCCGGGAAAGTCGCTGATGGAGATGATATTGGTGACGTTGCCCTTCTTGTCCGTCACGTCGTAGATGGTCAGCGTGTCCTCGTTGTAACCGTAGCAGATGTCGCGCCCGTAGTACCGCGCGTCCGGCCCGCGGTAGACGAGGCACTCGGCGTCGTGGACGTAGCCGTCGCCCGCCGCGCAGCCGGGGCTGGTGACGTTGGTCGGGTCGCTGATGTCGAGGAAGATGAGCCCGCCGCGGCACGGCAGGTTGTCCCGGACGCGGATCGTCTCGTTGCCGCCGACCGAGCCGCAGGCGATGGCGTAGTTGAGCTCCTGGTTGACGACGATGTTGTGCGTCCGGCCGACGGGGAGCTCGTCCCAGTGGCCCGTGAGATCCGCCTGCGTGAAGTTCTTGGGGTTCGCCGGGTCGAGGTCGAGCACCTTCTTCATGTCGAAGAACTGCACGCCGTGCTTGATGGCCTCGGATCCGATGACGACGATGTCGCCCACGATGCGGATCTCGCGCCAGTTCGACCCAATGGCGTCGTACTGCGGCAGCCGGCCGAGGTAGACGAGCTTGCCCTCCTTGCTGATTTCAGCAAACGCCGTGCCGTCGTACTGTCCGATGGCTACGAACTCTCTGCCGTCGGCCGAGGTCCAGCCCCAAGACGAGGACCCTCGTCCTCCCCAGCTGCCTAGGGCCTCATGCGACAGGAAGTGGTAAAGGTCGATCTTTTTTTTGAAACAAAGCGTCAGTTGGAAAAAGCCGAGCAAAGCCTCTCTCTTCTAGACATGACTCACGTTTCCGCACCGGAAGGTGTTGTTGGCGTCCCCGGGAATGGCGGCCGCAAAGCCGTCGACGCACGGGGTGTAGCCGAGCTCGGGGTAGCGGGCGCTGTCCATCAGGCCGGCCTCGGCCTCGGCTTCCCATTGGGCCTTGGGCTGACTGTTAACAACATACGGTTCCCGAGTTTCCCGAGTAGACGGCATCTCGCGTGCCACACACATACCATCTTGATGCCCATGATGCGGTGGTGAACCTCGCCCGACGCGTATTCGGCCTTGGTGCCGGCGCCAGCTGCGCTGCTCAAGCCAACCATGGCAGAGCCCAGGAGGGCTGCGGAGTTGATGCGGACCATGTTGGGCGGTGTCGCTGTGTCGGAGACTCAGCAAAGAGTATCACGGCTGTTGACGGACTTTTGGTGTCACCTGAGGAGCAGAGAATGCGACTATGAGTGTGAGACGGATAGAGCCCAAGCTGCGAGAAAGAGAGGACCGCGGCGAGAACTATAAGTACTCCGCCGACACATCTAATCCTTCGTCATACACCGGCTCCCTCCCCCTCCCCAAGAACCAGTTTAACAAGACGGCTTCCATGTCCCCCCTTGCATGGCAGACATTACTGTGGAGAATGCCATGAACTGGTGCTCTTGGGGGAGGCTGGCGAAATGCAGGCGGTTTTATTTTCTTTCTTGTTTTTATTTGTTTTTGCTAACAAAACACCGTACATGGTACAGCGAGAACCCGAGTGGAGGGATGCACCAAGACGAGCGATGCAACCGTGAATGCTTGGCCACCGCGAAACAACTTTTGATAAGACGGTGCTTGGTTCCATACACCGCGGGCCAAGCTGACCTTGGCAGCCTTGGCACGAGAGGGGCACCGCTCAGCAACGCGGGAACCTCGACTGGGCTCGCCGAGAACTCTAGTTCCTCCAGGCCATCTGCATCTGGAAGGTCGACACAGGCTTGGCTATCTTGTGTGAAAACCATGTAGGCAGGTGTGCGGGATATTGGGGATTCCCATAGCAAGCCCAGAAGCCCGGAAGCCCGGGATCCTGCCGATGACGTCCGAAGGCGAGGAGGGTGAGATCAGGTTCCTAAGCTGGGCGGTCGTTCAGATGCAGTCAGCATATACGGACTTGCGGCTAAGTGGAAAAATGAGAATACGCAAGCCGCAGGTTCGTTCGGGAACCATCGGGGCTCATTTGTCAGTGATAATGCCACGGCTGTGATGTCACTGGTGTGGTTGGAGTTGAAACAAGGCACCGTTGATTCCATTCGACCTCTCATCTTCTGCCGTCCAAGTATACATTGGGATGATCCGAACGATTGTCCGCACCACGTTTTGACAACACCAGCTGTGACGAAGCCTTGCCTAGTACTGCTTCAGATTCTGTCCCTTCTGTCAGTACCAATTGAATGTGGTCGATGGTAACATGGCAAGTCTGGCTCTGAATAAAGCCAAGTGGCCCCGAATAGGGATTTACACGTCAACTCAATAAATGATTAAGAGTATGTTGTTACGGCCAAATGATCAAAAGTGATATTATAACCCAACTATCAGGACCATGATCGTACAAAAGCCACACTGGTTGGAAGACACATCATCTCCTGGAGAGGCTGTTGTGGGAGCAAATGTTAACGCGGGTTTCATTCGAGAAATAGGAAAATAAATAAATACATAAAACACCGCACGTGCTCACCAAGCGATGATCCATCGTATCTGTTCCCCGTATCTCGGCGTGCTGCTGGATCCGACGCTCGACTTTCTTACTGTTCTCGAAACATGATATGAGAAGAGAGATCATCCCCAACTGCGGCGATGTCACCGCTGCGTCTGTCTCCTGCCGATGCCCCCTCGATCCGGTAGGGCTCACCAATCATAAAACAACGGAAGTGATGTATAAACCAATAGCAGTCCGAGCAATGGGAAGTTGGGATGAAGCGCAGGGCGTTCTCCTCGCCAAACCATGGCAGAGCCTCACGGCCACACTACGTACTGATCGACAGAAGCGGACCACGGTTGCTTTTTGCCGTTTCCCCCTGCAGAACGCGGCGACAGCCCGCTTGCCCTCTACCTACATTAGTCTAGGTCTGCCCGGCTGGAAGGCTGTCCCGCTTCACGAGCAAAGCTTAAGCCTTGAGGCTTACCACGAACTCGCAGACGAGTGTATGGTCAGTTGAGTCGGAAGATTCGCAGCCGAACCAGACCCCGCCCTCGCAAATCTCGGCATCCCAACATTGGGCATGGCCTTTGGATGTGTCACGACCATTCTCCTGACGCGGATTGAACTCCGCGCTCTGATCTTGAGCTCCGAAGAGCCCGCCATGGCCTTTCCCGGAATCGAAAATCCGCTTTTAATCAGTTCCGGATATAGTATTACCTTTTTTTCTGATGTCATGTTCTCTTTTCCGAGTCCTCGTCGAAGCCGTGGCCGGGAAGCCGTAGCCGGAAACCCAAATACGGAACGTCCACAAAAGCCGCCAAAGTTTACTAGCCGGAGCTTAAATCAATACGATTCGCCGGAATCTCCTGCAGATACCTCATTAGGATATCACCAATCTCGCAAAACCCGCCTCGCCCACTTAAGCGACTCAAGGCGCGATAGTTCACGCGAGAAGGCTCTCTCATTGAGGGCACTCGGCTGCCGTTATCGGATCTCAGAGACACTGAAAGGTCATCGACGACGGGCTTGGGTAAGTGAATATGGTCCGAATGAAGTTCATACGACATAGGGTGGCAGGCTCGCAGAGCTCGAGCTCCCCAAACTGCCATCTTTTCCGCAAGCCACCTGCAGCCGTCAGAGGGACCTCCGGCCGATGTTGTCGCGACGCTTCTTTTGTGCGGGGAAAGGACAAAAAGGAACGAGATGCGATAGGTCAGAACTATCCCCGAAGCTCGCGTGTTGGTCGTCTGTTGTTTCGGCCCTTGTACTATGGGATGACCAGCTCGAGCCCCAGGGACCATCGACACTGCGCGAGGCAAGCTCAACGACTTCGCTGACCCGGTACAGTGGACGTGATGGTCAGGCACCCGCGGGCTCGGTGAGTAATGTCTCCTCCGGACGACACTCAATCGAATAATCTATGGACATGTCCACGGCTTGTTGCCAGCGATAACCTTGGCCGTAGAGCAGACGTATGTAAACAGACAAACATGCGGTTCCCTCTCGTTTGGGCCTATGCGCGGTTGAGGCTACTCCGCGCTCGAATGCAGCTCCCCCGCCTCGCCGCCCCACGCCATGGTCACGTTCAAACTGAAAGATATATCCCCCCAGGTCCTTGAACATTCCGAAACGAAACCGGCATCGTCTTATCGTCTTATCATCATAGTCCATCTAAGACCACCGCTCCAAGAAAGCAACGGACAACCCTCCAGTAAAGAATCCTATGGTCTCCTGACGTGTCTAGTTGAACATTCACATCATACCAGATGTTTGTATCCCGGCATTGGCTGAATGGACGACGAGACCCCCCTCCCCTTTCGAGGTGACGACACTAGAAGCATAATCTTCTGCGCCTGTCTGCAAGGGTGGATTGCGTAATTGGCCAAGGGAGAGAGATGGTGTCCAGCACCTCCACCGACCTCGCACCTCATGAGGCGGTCTCGGCATCTACCCATTGCGGCAAGCCCATATTGCCCCATGGGGCACGGCAGCGATATGCTTGCAAGGCAAGGTACAGGATCCATGATAGACTTCGTACCGCCGAGGCTTACCCCGCATGGTCTCACCTCCAACCTGTCGGATGCCGGGGATAGGTAGCTGGGATTCATGATGACTCTGAGAAAATGTCGAACGCCGTCAAGGAAAACAGAAAAGCCACCGAGTTTCTATGGGTAAGGGGCCTTTCGTCAGACCGGGTCAGCCTGGATGAATTAGACTATGGCTGGGCTCAACGGCCTAGAACCATAACGTCTTCAGTCAATTGCCTCGGCCTCACGGCTCGTGAAAGTCTGGTCAAGAGTATTTACATGATGGTATACCTTGAGACCCTTTGGAATATGAACAGCGAAAACCCCGACTGAGCTTTTTCCCCCTTTTCCCCTTTTCTTTTTTCCCCCTTTGGTCTGGCAGTTGGGCATTGCGATACTTCCCAAGAAAAAAGGGGAAAAAAAGAAAGAAAGCTCCCTGTTCACGTAATCCACCAACAGATACACCCAGCTCTTCAACATGAGGCTCACCATTCTAACATTGCTTCTATGCCTTACTGTGGTCTTGGCCCAGGAGGCGATGCCCCGCCTGCGCTACAGGACCGTAATTCAAGACCAAGGGAAAAAGGGCAAGAAACCATATCCCGTTAAGGGCGGCAAGGACGAGCTCGAGAAACAAATCGACGATATCCAAAAAAAGGTGGCCGCTGCCAACGAAACAGTCGTACCCTTCAAGGGCGGCACTCTCAAAGGTCTCACTGGGCTGTTGAAAGTGAACCTGGCGGTCACCAACCTCGGAAAAGCCATCGACACTACCACCGCCGTCGCAGGCGCAACCAACGTCCTATCAGCGGCGGATTCGTGAGTTTGGAGCCTCTCAGGAATGACCAAGCGGGCTTGTGCTGACACTCCCGCTCCAAAGAACGCAGGTTGGCATAAAGTTCCTCGGTCTTCAGCCCGATATCAACAACCTGCTCGCCAACCTCAAATCCAAGCGCAAGGAATTTGACAAGGCCGGGTTCAAGATCCTGGATGTTAGAAGTCTCATTCGGGACTCTGTTGCCATTCAGCAGAGCAAATCCGATGACTTGGGTCGTGCTGTAAGTCGAGGGGCCCTGGACGCAATTTCCCAGCGTCGGCTACCTTTTTTTTTCATTCTTTTTTTTTTTCACTAACACGCCACAGTTCACGAAAACTCTCGACGCCCAATTCCAGCCCATCGCACAGCTGATCAGCGGTGAGATCCAAGGCAACTTCAGCGACGCCATCGAGGAGTACAAAGGCCGCGGCGGCAAGATCAAGATCCCCACCAAGCTCGTGCCGAAGCTCTCCCAGATCCTCGCGAAGCTGGCCAGGGCCCTGGGGCTCGGCAAGATGGACAAGGGCATGATGGTGGACAAGGACATGATGCTGCTGGTCGGGCTGGTGGCCCCCGAGACCGATGCCGCCACCCCCCGAGCCCGACGCCGCCGCCGCCGCCGAGGGCCGCGAGCGCCGAAATCGCCGTCGCCGACACGGCCGAGGCGAACGCCGCCGCCCAGGAGGCCCTGCTGGCGACGCCGGACGCGGAGCTGACGAGCCTCGGCGCGGACGAGAACGACCTCCGCGGCATCTCGCCTGTTATCCTCGACGTTTTGCGCTCATTCGAAATCATCTGAGGCGCGGATGCAGGACGGACGCAAGCGATTTTCTTCTCTTCTTTTTCTTTTCCCTTTTTCTTCTATCCACGCATCCTCCTAGTTTTGTTCACGTTTGTCACAGGCTTGGCAGCGGCAGCGCTGGCGGCATGGCGCAGTAATAATCAACGCAGTAATGAAGTGATGGGGCACATGACTCTTAGTCCATCGAGACTTCCCCCCCCCCCCCCCCCTTAAAGAAGTAGCGAATCAAAATTTCAATAATCTTGACGCCCGGCTTCGGATTCCGACGAGCCGCCGTGATGTGAAAGAGATGGTCTTGGCGCCATGCCCAAAGTGCCGAAAAGTGCTCCCCCCTCCAACTAGCCGGGACGAGTGGAAAAGAAGAAGAAAAAGTTTAGATCAAGGAGCCCGGCCCCGATTTCTGGGCAAACATTCGTTATTTTAGAACGAAACATCGGCGCGCAATGTCGTCGTACACCAAGGCGGGCCGAAGCCAGGCGGCATGAGAGTTTGTCCATCCAGGAACAAACTTCTTTTCGGTATATAGGGAGTATCTCCGGCGGCCGACCAGCAATGGTAGCCGGGGGTAATGGTCTACCCCCCTTGTTTTGAGTTTTATCAACTCGATCCCAAATTTATACAATGTACATACAACCCAGCCGGAGGACGGATGCAGCTCGTGGCTGGCCCAGTTCTGGCTTCCCTGATCCCTTAGTTTGAGCCTCACTGCCTCTTCCCCACTCTCATATTCGTCCGAGGTTCGCCTCATTGGCGGTTTTGTTCGCGAGCCGAGCTAACAACTTTATCCTGCCGTTGTTGCTCCCGGGGGGGGTGCCGCGGCGGCGTCACCGGTGTGGTCATATCGCACACCTGCCATCCGCTCCGTCGGAAACAGGCATGTCAGCAGCACGTCTTTAGACCTTTTTTTTTTTTTTTTTCGAGTTGACCGTTCTTCCTCTAAATCTCTGTTGCGGGGAAGAGAGAGATCTCATTCATCCGTTCGACGTCTTGGTCTCCGTTCGCCCAATGTCCTCACTTTGCCAACGGCCGACCCACGCATTGGAAATCCTTTGGGCAGAGGAGGGGGGGGGTGTTTGTTTGCAAAGCGGAAGTTGAAGAAGCCGCGTCGATGCAAAAGGGCCAAAAAAGAGACGCCGACCTCTTCGGCTAAGCGCGCCGCCATGTAAAATAGAACACGGCAAAGTAACCTCTCCCAGAACGGTAAGAGTCTTATCGAAGCGAACAGCGGGAGGGACAGATCGAATCGGGCGTAGAAAATGGCGGGGGTGGGGCAGGACTCAGCAAGCCGTGGAACCCTACGCAAGGGAGAGCCCTCAGGCCCGGCTTCCGCGCCGGTCATGCGAGATGCCAAGGTCTTTCCAGGTACTACGCAAGGCGCGAACCAGGGCGTTTTTCGTGCCTGGCCGGGTGTTAATCGCGTCAGCAACGCCTAGCCTCAAAGAATTCTTGCCAATGTGGCGGAAATACACGTGAATTAACCCGCAAATTCACAGTTGCCCTACAGCGAATCGTCAGGGAATAGGCGGTGAAGTAGCCCCACTTTACAGATAATCTTACCAATCATATAGCCAGGATTAGCCTAGGATTTCCTAACTAAGAAATAAAGAGATTTATTTATTCCTCTAGAATTTAACTATAGTTATATATATAATAATATAATTAATTAACTATTATAATCCCTATAATTAAATAGTAGTAATATAGTTAACTATTAATATTAATAGGTAATTAATAAATAATAGGGGTAGCTAGTAGTTCTAAATTGTATATAAATAGAAAAACTATTATAGGATTACGTAGTAAATTAACTATGTAATATCCCTATAGATCTACTAGATCTATTGTAAAACGGCTGTAGTTATTCTAGCTATTTTAGCGTTAATCTATACTGCTAATATCTAGGCAATAGTTAACATTGCAACATTTTCCTTTCTCTACATATAATTCAGAACCACTAGTTACCCCTATTATTTGTTAATTGCCTATTAATACGTACGGTTAACCGTATCACCATCCTGGTGTTAAATAATAGATTCCCTCGCAAATCGGCGTGCCAGAAGCGCCCTTAGCGGCGCATTCCTTAGCGTACTCGCAGTTGTCGAGGTGGAAGACGTTACCGGCCTCGACCACGTTGCCGACGCACTTGACTATGTTGTCTTCCAACGTGGCCGTCATATTGCCGGGGCCGGGTGTGTCAGACCCCCTGTTGTCGGCTCCGTACTGGAGGCAGGCCTGCGTCTGGATATCGTCGGACGCAGGCGTTCCGTCGCTGTTGGTGCAGTAGCACTTATCATACAAGTCGCAGACGTTTGCGCCCACGGCGAGGGCGGGGAAAATGGATACGATGACGGAGGCCTTCATTGTCGTAGGAGTTTGTGTGGTTTGATATGTCAAAACTGAAGATGTGTTGTAAAGAATGTAGTCTCAACGAGTATGGTTATAACGAGCGGCGGTGCTGGTGGACAAATCATGATTCAACTTTAGGATGCTGATGGGAAAGGCAGAACAATGCGGTGCCAAACATCAGGTTTTATACACATCATCCATGAATGTTTGTAAGTTGTACGGCTTTTCAAGTTATAATTCCTCTATAGTACAGTTGGGTAGGGAAGCCTCATCCTCGGCCTCCACCGTCCATTTCTCTTTGCTTAAAACTCTATTTCTGTTCATTCAAGCATACCTTTCTGCTGGTATAACAGGGCTACTGACCTAGTTAAAAGGGTGATGCGTGGTTAGAGTATAGTGGTTAATATTGTCATTCATGCATAATACAGGAGAGCAACCATTACGAGTTGCCTTGTTAAAAGGCTACACATCCACTATTAAAGTAGATAAGGTAGGTAACAGTCAGGGTTAGGAATAAGTAACTTTAAGTAATTATTTCTAGACAAATACTTACTTAAGTATACTTAGGCCTATAAGATACTTACTTAAGTATACTTAAATACTTATTACATAATATTTTAGAAGAATTTCTTAGTAAAGTAAAAGAGATAAAGATAATACTCTAGGTCTCACTTAAGTACATCGTATTTTTTCCTCACCCTGGCGACAGTAGACTATATTAGAGACCAGATTACTATCGACGACACCAGGCAATGCTTGGCACTGTAACACTTCCCTTGCTATCGTCTTTCATTTCTACAGTGTGCACTACACCCTACTAGTATTATAAAGTAAAAGCTAGACACGTTTATTATGTATAGGCACACTCTGTTTCTACTAAACATATAGTAAGAGTAAGTACTTGGGATCCGATAATGTAGATCTTGGGATATACCTGATAGGTTAAATCAATTCACCACGCTAACATATAGAATCTGGTAGAGTGTTCTTCGTCTCATCTTTCGGCCGGGAACGCCGACTCCACTGCAACACCGTCCCCACTGGGATCGCCGTCTCCGCTCGGCGAACCCCGGACCCCACTGCTGCTCGATCTCGTGGCGTAGCAATGCTAGCTAGGATGATGGGTAGCACTGGAATTTTTGGCGAGTGTTTCAGCACCTGTTCGTACAGCCATCAGGGTCAGATACGGGGTAGATTGTGATAGTCGGACTGCGCCACCCACCAACTCCTCGATACACGTAACGAGAACCCTGTTTTGCATTATGCAGTCATGCCAGCCAGCACTCTACTGGCTTAGTCCATCGCATCTGATCCGTCGCCTCGGTCGGTCAGTGCTGGAAACCCCGAACCGATGCTCTAGGGAAGCCAAAGGTACAGACAGAGCCAAGAAGGCCATATAGAACTTCATGATGGACTAAGTCAGGAAGCATGGCATCAAGCATAGTGACTATCTCCGGGGCTGGCGTTGCTGATGGTAGGGCCCCATCGACCGGCTGGGCCAGGGGAGCCACTTCCGTGTACTTGCCAACGACATTGGACAATAGCCCGATGAAAAAAGATCGGTACCTTGAAGCTGCTTATGTGACATCGGCCTTATCGTGTATTTTCGGCATCGTCCTGATCTCTATAGATTGGACACTGTCTTTGATCGTAGCCTCATTAACCCGGCGTCGTTGGCAGAGTGTTTGGTAGAGTCTAGGGATTCCCGGGTAATTGGATCGATCCGAGCTCCTGTTCGCTGCTGAAATGACTGTCATTCAGACATTCTGAATTCTTCATGTTACCGTATTCATTATACCAAGGTTATCTAGAAGAGTCTATATTTACCAGTAGAAGCTTCCTTTACTCTTAGTTTCGTGACCGTTTAGCCTGGGGGGCCGCCTTGGGGAGCGGTGCTATGTTGGACAGCCCAACCCAACACTCGACACGGGCTCGAGAACTCTCGGGACTGGGCCGGCAGTCCAAAGGGCACAAATGAACCCGGGGGCCTCAGCCCCGCTGCTGGTTTGTAAGGCTGGACTATTAGCCCCAGATTGACCTGGCACATTCCATCCAGTGACAACTATGTCGTTCTTGGCAAAGGCTGGTGGGTCAAGGCTATCCCTTGAGTTGCGAGCGGACCTCACTAACCTCTTGTGCGGGGTAAAGCAAATCAGATCACGGCATTTAAGTCCAAAAGCCAATCAATATAGAGTACTTCTAGTTATATAGCGTTTTGCCTACGCCAAAGGTAACAACAATCTCCAAATCTACATAGAGGTACATTATAGTGTAAACAGCCTTATGGGCCCTCTATTGCTTTGTCTGCCTGACTTACCTTACCTAGAGCCTGCCCTACTTTGTATCTGTTATGTATCTCCGAAAATGAGGAGTAAAAGTGGAGGGGGATCCACCCAGAGGTTAATGAGGTCCGCTCGCAACTACATAGTAAAGGGATACTGGAGATGCCATTTGTGGGGTAAGAGTAGTGTATCCGTACATCAGTTTGCGAATATGGAGTTGGAACTCTATGTGATGTTATTGGAAGCAGAGCTAACCCCACACTTCCCCGGAAGAATTTCAGCAACGATACAAATCCGTACCGAGGCGTCGGAAGCCACGAAGGCATCAGAGTCATCATGATCGCTACTGAAAGGTATTGCAACATTGGTTGGAATGGCTATGTATGTCTGCTCAACTCTCGTCACCCTTCTAATTAGGTACGTCTTGCTAAAGTCTTGATAGTTGGCTCCGTCGGCAGTTTCGATACAATCGTGCTGAGGGTGTTTGCGGGAATTAAAGATGTGAAGTGTACAATACTTAGTGTAATGCTGCACTCATACCATTCTAGGACAAAGCGGGCAAGCTAGGGCTCAGAGTTGTCACAAAAACAATGCTGTTAGTTGCAGGCAGCAATTAGAGCCACACATCACATTGTGGCATTACAACAATATGGTTGACTCAACATGTCTCAACCCCAACGAAGTCAGCTATGTCAGGCAGGTCTACTATACTGGGCGGGCTGAGTGTACTAGTCAGGCAAACCCAGCTGCTTGAGAAGGGTCAACGCGTTCTACTCTATGCATCCCTGAGGGGATGCTGCTAAGACACGACTCATGCATGTTGGGTTCGTCTCATAGGTAACATCCTCGGAACCGTAGTAAATTACACCCATGGTCTGCTCGGTGTTGCCGGCATTTCGAAGCGCGTATCGACAGATCCCTCCTTGATGTGGCTGTTGATCATGTTACTATTTCCTTGAGACAGCTGAGTTAAAATCGCGCATAGAATACATACAAAGTCCAATGATAGAAAAGCAACTAAACATTCTCCCTTAGTAGTATATCATGGCTGTATTCCCACTCGGTGGTACAACCCAGTCTTATCCACCAGACAACACTCACTCAAGTCTATCTCTAATATCTCACACGCTTTGACCCTCGCGCCAAATCACACTCGCTTTTCAAACCCTCAAATCATAGTACAATAATCTCCAAAATGAAGACCTCCATCATCAAAGCCCTGATCGTCGCCCTTGTTGCTGGCGTCGAGGTTGCCGAGGCGTGCGCGCTGTACCACACTTGCCGCTGCACTATGGCCGACGGCTCCATCAACAACACCATCACAGAGCAAGCGTGCGCCAGAGAACTTGCGAACACCCGCGGCGCCTCGGGTGACAACACCCAGGCCTACCAAATTACCAAGGACACCAACAGTACAGAGTGGTGCAACTGGGGGTTCAACGGCAAGACTGCATTCTACGTCGACAACTGCAGCTTTCGCGAGTCCTGCACCGCATGGGGTGCAACCGGCTCAGATTCTTGGTGCGAGGACAAGCAGGACTAAGGTGGTGCTGATGGTTGTCGGAGCAGATTCTGCGATACTGGGGGCTTGATCGGCTCCGCCGATATCATTTGACACTTCGAATAAGGACCAATGTCACGGACCAAGCACCAGCCACAAGTACCAAAAAACTCAAATTGTGCCGCACTAGGCTAAAAACAGGAGGGTACATCATGGTTTCAGTTCTACATTACAGAACTCTAAAGATATCGGCCTAGGCCACGTACCGCCAGGAAATACGACTTTCTTATTAGCAGATGTGCTAAAAACCCAAGTTTCCCCATACAAATTGTTACCGGCCTCCAGACTTCGGTTGAACTTTAGAAAAGGACCAATATAGCAGGTTGCCTACTATTGCCCACTATTGCTAGCGCCTGGCTGCTAGCGCCCACCTAGGTAATAGTAGGCAGGTGCTGGCAATAGTGGGTGGGCGCTGCCAGTCGTGGTGCCAGTAGGCTGCAGCTGGCCGCAGCTGTCGCAGGGGTCCTGGCAGTACATTCATTAAATTAACCTTTGGCCTTGCATCAAACTCTCCTTAACCCCAACCCTATGTTTTTTCTTTTGGGGTACAGGCGTTACCGGCCTGATATCGGTTTTGCCGATCAGGCCCTGGATTAGGTCATGGGGTTGGCGTTTGCATTGGTACTTCAAATACCCAAAAGCCAATCAATATAAACAAGATCGTTGTTAGTATTACAGGGGATCGCGATCGTGAAGCAGCAATAGTGTCAATTTGACTATTGGGTGCTTGGTGAAGATGTTGATAGAAGGGAGAGGAAGAGGTTGCTGCCGTGGATATTCGTGATGGTGTAAGTGAGCCGACGAGGTGGATCACGTGAGATTGATCACGTGACTCCGGATCGGCTCCACCATCGACCGGTTGAATATCCCGACAATCATTGTTCTTTCCAAACATATCATACTGTGCAGTCGTCTATAGACACGTATCCATGAGTAACATTCCAAAGCTTTGCTAGAAACAAGCACGGAGATCAGTGCGTGTAGTCACGAAGGAAAATCTCACCAAGGGTTTAGTAAGGGCTCCATTACCTAACGTCTAGAACAAGGACCCGAAAATAGGGTTTGCAGCAGGTGATTGAAGCTTTTAGCATATGGGTGATACGGTCTGGGGAGGTGAGTCACATGTGTCCACCGGGTATATAGACCGCTGCACTAGACCATCATCACTACCACCACGGCTGTCACCACCTAATGTATCCCTAGGTTTCCCACCCACGTAGATGCAACTTTCAGCTGAACTGGAAGAATCAGATGTGCTAGATTAATTTGGACTATCTGTTTTGTCGGCAGCCGGACTTTTTGCTCTATGGATATTCCATATATTAGTAAAAGTGCAGTTGGGTGACATAGGGGCCGTATTCCTCTTGCGTTGATAATGCCCAGCAGTTTATTCCTGTTCTCAATATGATGTCCGCCTGCTACTGTCGCTATTGAAACATGTTGCGACATCATGGTCAGTTGACTAAGCATCTCGGCCCTTATACAGTTGTTCGAGGTCTAGACAATCGTCGACCATGTTCGTCTCAGCAACTTGAAAGCCGCCCATCCCTTTCCAAAACCGATTCATTCACCCTTTGGCGATCTTGTGTGCCCTTTCGTTTCTGGCAGCATCTGGGAACGGCCAATACTCTCTTCCCAGTATATTCCGATGCATTAACCGAGAATGACATGTATTTATTCGCATACTCGCCATCATCATCATCCATCTCAATGATATTGATCTGTAACACTTCCGGATCGACATCATCAAGGGGAACTAGATGATCAAACGTCACACCGTAGTAATCAATTTCCCTATTCATAGACACGTTTTTTTAGTTTTAATCAACCTAGTCAGGAAGAGATCAGGTCTTACTCTAATGTCATGTTTTCCTTTCTAACCCATCCCATGTACTCGTCCCGTACAACCATGTCACCGCGGACATCAGGACGGACGTCCACCCCATAAATTTGCCAAAACGCCAGTTCTGCAAGCGCTAGACCAGCCGCCTGAGGAAACTTCGGTGCTTGGTAACTGGTTTCCCAAACCATAGATGGTAAAAGCTTTTGAATCGATTTTAGCGGACCTTCGATCTGGATTCTGAGGGGCTGCTCAATACGCGGTGGATGCAGATGGCCAGCAGGAGATTTTGATGCAGGGCGGGATGTGGAGTTCAAGAGCCATGACAGCACGTTGTGATTGATTGACCGTCTGAAATCGAGTAATATGGTAGACTGAGGAATTGCTCTGTTTTGAGGGCTAGGTAGGTGGACTTAATATACTCGAGAGCTTGGGCATGTGGCTATTTTCATTCGGGCTACCGCAGCGCGACCAACACACCAAGAGATTTGCCTTGCCTAGATGTATTCTTGATTTATAAAATGTGTGACTAGCCGCCAATCTTATGCATGCATGCCAACAAGCAGTTATTAATCATCATTAGGTAGCGCCTTCTTGTGCGCGCTTATGCACGCGGTGTTTGCTTTGGCTGGTAAGGCTGCTGGCATACCTCAGGATAATGCCATGTCCATGTGCTGAGTGCCATTGGTTGGCGTGGACTATAAATGCACTCGGCTCCGCTAGCCCGACAAACGCAGTTGTCGGTGTCACTCCTAAGCAACAGTAGTGTTCAAGGCGGGGCTAGATCAACAGATGTGATTAAGGATGTGAATCTCGGGTTGTTAAATCTTTACTTCATGTCGTCCAGTTTCCCGACCTCTCAGTGCAGTCCAGTAACCTTGGCCTGGCACTCCAGAAATTTTCGTAATAGGTTGACTCCTATACTACTAGTCGATATATGTTGTTGAAGATATCATAGTTCCCGGCTTCGGTTGTAATTCTGAAACTCGATGACAATGTAAAAAGGTATACCCACCCAGTTAGCAAGCTTTGCCGTAAGTTCTCTGAAGAAGAAATAAAGAGGGGGAAGAGAAGCGTAAGAACTTGATACAAGTATATTTGGACGACAAGAAAAGACAAAAGTATCTTGGAAAACTAACAAGACCCTTTGGTGACGAAGTGAAAGTACACCCAAGTCAGTACATGTAGCTGGAGGCTAGTGGCGAAAGGCTCTTCGATGTTGTAGTACAACTCCGAGTAGCAGCGGAGTGTACCAGCTCGAAACAAAGTAAGCAAACAAGATCGACAACGCATGACAACGCTGGATCAGCTTGGCACCATTCTGGCTTTTGTGGCGAAAACTGACAAAGCCACCACAATGACCATTGGCACAAACGCATATAACAATGTTCTGACACGGGACAGATGAATAAATGGACATTTACGTCTCGACAACTCAGTCTTCTCTGAGCCTCAAGCATGAGGAGACTGGTAAAGGATTCGAAAAGGCCGAACTTCAGCGGATCTCTCGGGCCAGAACACCATTTGCGGTTAGCTTCATGCATGCCCCTCAGTAAGTGACACTATCTTACATACGAGATAGGCAGGACTGAATGGTTGAGGATAAGTAGGGAGTAAGGCTTATGCCACAAAAATCGAAATAAAGTCACGGCAGCCCTCTGCGAACCGGGTTTGAATAACCCAACACAGCAATTTATCGATTGCCCTACTGTCAAACCACATAGAGCACGATGACTTCCGCGCAAGAACCCGACGAAATGTCTTTTGATTAAATCATTGTGGGCGGTGGCACCGCTGGCCTGGTCTTGGCTTCTCGGCTTAGTGAGGATGACGACGTAGTTGTACTGGTTGTGGAAGCTGGCGCGGACAAGAGCGCCGATCCCCTCGTCCTTACCTCCGGTCTCGTGGCCGGTCTGTACGGTAAGGAAGAGTATGACTGGAACTTCACTTCAGTCCCACAGGTGAGCACGATAATCACTGCGAGTCGTCCGACAGGAGTGACTGACAGGCCACAAGTCTGGCTTGAACAACAGAAGAATAAACCAAGCCAGGGTTAAGATGCTCGGCGGCAGCTCTGCTTTGAATTTCATGATGGTGGTCTACCCCTCAAAGGCCATCTTGGACACTTGGCCGCTCTCGGCAACGATGGCTGGAACTTTGATACCATCGCGCCGTACTTCCGCAAGTTTGGCACCGACCACCCGCCTCCCCAGTCTGCGAGGGACGCCGTCGGGCTGGCCTACCATGACGAGAAATTGAACGGAAAGGGACCGGTACATGTGTCTTACGGAGAGGGTTACAATACCACGAATGCGGCTTGGATGCGCACCTTTGATGAGCTCGGCCTCGGTATGACTGGCGATCCACGAAGCGGCAAGGCTTTCGGTGCTTTTCAAAACCCCTGCAGCATCGATCCGGAAACCAAGGGCCTGATCGGCACCGCCGATATTATTTGACACTTCAAATAAGGACCGATATCACGGACCAAGCACCAGCCACAAGTACTAAAAAACTTAAATTGTGCCGCACTAGACCAAAAACAGGAGGGTACATCATAATTTTAGTTCTGTTAAATGTAGCGAAGGTACACGTGAATTAACTAGCAAATATGCAGTTAACCTATAGCAAACAGTTAGAGAATAAGTAGTAAAATAGCCTTACTTTAATAGTAATTTTACTAATAATATAGCTAGAATTAGTGTTACACTTTAGGTGCTAGAAAATAAGATATAAAATTTAATAACCTCCTCTATCTAAAGTAGAGGACTATTTTCCTTAAAATACATAGGGAATTTCCTTAGCTAATACTCTACTAATTAGCGTAATAATTCTCTAATAATAGTAGGGTAATTATCTAGTAATTCCTAGATAATTATTAGCCCTTTAGTAGGGAATTATTAGCTAATTGTCTACCCTTTAGTTAGTAAATAGCTAGTATAATCTGCAGCTATTAGCCTAACTTAGGTAATATGACACAGCCTTCCTGGCAGCCGTTGCGGTTCTGACAGGATGAAGCTAGGCTGCGGTAGTGTCGTGAAGTGACGCAGTGTGAAGGCGAAGCGTAACAGCAGAGCAGTGAAGCAAGACGAACAATAACAAGGAGCTGAACAAATGACACAGGACAAGATAGGTAACAGATAGTAGGTGTATTCATGGTTGACCCTCCTTCTGTGAAGGGTCACCTACTGAAGGGATATATACCTGGGGCACACGTGACGTATCACGTGTGTGTCAGGTATCTAGTCCCTGCTATCTATCTGTCTCCTAACTACAGGCACTTGCCACCTTGTCCTGTGACATAATAGCAAATTAGCTAAGGAATAGACATTCTATTATATAATAATTAGCTTAGGATTTCCTAACTAAGAAATAAGGGGATTTCTCTATTTCTATAGAATTTTACTATAGTTAACGTACCTATATAGCAAGCAGATAATTATAGTAAGCAGACTACTACCTTATTACACCTTAAAGGCTACTTTTTACCTATTTTTTAAAAATTAAAATTAAGCCTAAAAAAGGTCTAGTTTTTTATAATATAATTTAATAAGAGTTATATTATAATAAATAATACTCTAGAAAATATTCTCTTACCCTAACCCTACTACTAACCCTAACTCCTTATTAAGAGCTTTAGATAAAAGCTTAAGTTTATACCTTTATAACTAGGTAGAGAGGAATTTCTAAAATATTATTTATCATAATATAACTCTTATTAAATTGTATTATAAAAAACTAGACCTTTTTTAGGCTTAATTTTAATTTTTAAAAAATAGGTAAAAAGTAGCCTTTAAGGTGTAATAAGGCAGTAGTCTGCTTACTATAATTATCTACTTACTATATAAGTAAGTTAGTTATATATATAATAATTAATTAATTATTATAATCTTTACTATTTAATAAGTTTTATATTATAGAACTCTAAAGATATTAAAATAGGCTATAGACTATAATCTTTTTATATTAATTCTACTAAATCTCTTAATTTCTTTATATAAATTAGTATTAGGCTCTAGATTTAGGTTAAGTGTTAGAAATAGACTAATAAGGCAGGTACTACTATTACCTACTAATACTAGTGCGCCTGCCTACTGTTACTAGCGCCTAGCTGCTAGCGCCTGCCTACTATTCCTAGCGTGCACCACTATTACTAGCGTGCACCACTATTACTAGCACCTGCCTACTGTTAAGTAGCAGGCGCTGGCAGCAGTAGTCAACAGTGGGCGGGTGCACTAGCAGCTAGGCGCTAGCAATAGTAGGTAAGCGCTGGGAGCCGGGCGCTAGCAACAGTGGGCAGGCGCTGGCAATAGTGGTGCACGCTAGCAATAGTGGTGCACGCTGGGAATAGTGGGCAGGCGCTGGCAGTAGTAGTGTTAGTGAGACACAGCTGGCCACAGCTGTCGCAGGGGTCCTGACGGTACATCCGTTAAATTAATCTTTGACCTTGCATTGAAATCTCGTTAACCCTAACCCTATATACTTTTATATCGGAGTACGGGCGATATCGCCCTGATATCGGTTTTGCCGATCAGGCCCCAAGACTCGGAGTTTCTCCGCAACCGCATACTACACCCCGGAGGTCGCCGACAGACCCAATCTCGTGGTCCTGACTGAAACGCTGGTAAAGAAGGTCAATTTTAGCAACAGGGACGGCGACGTCTCGGTGACGGGAGTGCAGATTGTCACTGGAGACGGACAGGAGAAGACGGTGTCAGCTAGAGTCGAAGTCGTACTTTCGGCCGGGACTTTCCACACAGCACAACTACTGGAGCTGTCTGGTATGGGGGGCAGGGAGCTGCTCGAGAGCCACGGCATCCCCGTCGTGATCGACAACCCCAACGTGGGGGAGAATGTTCAAGACCACCCGATTGTCTGCCAGAGCTTCGAGGTCAACGACGGAGTGCCATCTGGCGACGTCCTACGAGACGGCAACGTACTAAACACTATTGTCGGTCAGTATCAGGCCACGCGCGAGGGACCTATGGGTCAGAGCACGCTCAGCAGTGCCTACCTGCCAGTTGCCGGCCGCAACGGTCTCTTGTCAAAAGAGGAGAAGATATCCATTTTTGATGCCCACGAGGAACATTCAAGCAGCACGTCTGGAAAGCTCATCCGGTCTCTCATCGAATCGCCTGACGAACCGAGCAGCCAGTATCTCCTCTTCCCGTCGCAGATCACCATCAATGACCATCCAGCCAACATGGCCGAGTACATCATCCCCTCTAGGCCAGAGAACTATATCACCATCATGACGATACTCAACTATCCATTCTCCCGCGGCACAGTCCATATCACCAGCGCCGATGTTGCGGTATTGCCAGCGTGGGATCGAAAATACAACTCCAACCCCCTCGACCTGGAGCTTCTGGCTCGCAACGTGCAGTTCGTCGAGAAAATCGTCGGCACCGAGCCCTTCAGCTCGCTGTTGAGACCCGGCGGCAGACGCCTGCCAGACTTGAAAGGGGACGACTTGAAGGACGCCAAGGAGATTGTACGGCAGAGACAAATCTCCGTGTTCCACGTCTCAGGCAGCTGTGCGATGCTGCCGCGCGGGAAGGGCGGTGTCGTCGACGAGCGGCTTCGCGTGCACGGCGTCAAGAATCTTCGCGTCGTCGATGCGAGTATTTTCCCGGTCGAGCCCCTTGGAAACATCCAGAGCACTGTATATGCGGTCGCGGAGAGGGCGGCGGATATGATCAAGGATGATCGGAGGGCAGGGGGGAAGAGCCGAGCTGGACCCCATAAAGTGACTGGAGACGATGCATTGAACTCCTGAACGGGTCCATATTGAGGATGACTGTGACTACGTCATATTGTGCTATAATTAGATGATGAAGAAAAAATCTCGAGAAAAGAAGAAATGCCGAAAAGACTCGCAAGCCTTGTCCTTGTTCGTGATTCGATCTTCGGGAGTTCCCAAGCAGCGGCGTCGTTCAACCCAAGTCAACCAATGGCAAAGATGTTGGAGGGGATATAGCTAGACACATGGATATGAAGCTCGCCGGCCCGCTTGGATCTGGATGTGGCTGAAAAGAGGGTTGCCGTTGTCTTACACTAGTGTCCGATGTCTCAGGCCGCATCGGCGCTTCGATGGCGCGCGCCCGATCTGTTGAACACACGTAGAAATCAAGAGAACCACGAACGTCGCGTTGAACACACATCCCAACGCCGATGCTACCCCAACGACTGGGGTCGTGCCAAGGTTCGTCTGAAAAGCTTAACGCATTGCGGGTAGCGCGTGCGTACGTGGTCTGAAGAAGTTGACAGCTGACTCGGCATAAACAAAAATCATGTTTGTCATGTTTCACCAACAGCGAATGAATGGGGCATGTATGCAGCTCTTCGACTCAGGCTACCTACCTGTACGGCATCTTCACCTCGCAACGCTCGCTCGCTTCCTTTGTCGATCGACAAGATGGTCGGAATAAAGAGCATTGATGCACGGACGGGCACAGCCTCTGGCAACTTGGCAGAGGCCATGCGGCTGTTTATTGCAGCCCCGACATAGTGGAAACCTTGAATATCCGTACAATGATATCTTTAGATTCCGTCAGTTGCGCACGCAATATATCCGCACGGAGTGGTCTCCGGCAGAGCCAAAGGAAAAGACGCTTTGGCCTTCCCGACGAACAGCTGATTGGTACCGAGTCCGCACATGGAACACGGAGCAGAGGTCGATCAGCAACCAGGATGCAGCCGACCTGACCTAC